AGGTCAAGGGAAACAGAAAGAGACACAACGATAAGAAAAAACCAGGAGTCAGGGATGCCAGAAAACAGGGAAGTCAAAAACAATGCAAAAGTCAAATAACCAGAATTACCAGAATCAATAACGCGATCTCGGACAACCACAAGGGAAACCACGACAGGGCACTGAGCAGGATGAGAACTGGGCCTAAATACCCCTCCCCTAGGTCTGATAGACTATAACCGGCCTTTGACCCCAAAGGCAGTTACCAGGTTTCCATTTGCATAATTGCTGCTCAGCATTAACCCTTCTGTGGACTTGGTTGCTGCTCGGCACAACTTTTCCTTTGTGGACAGTAAATGTCATGGACCACATTTTTATAAGCGGATGAATATGTGACAGAGGGCTCTTCATGCTAAGGAGTTCGTGCGGACTCATGATTCCGCAACCAGGAGTGAGCGAATCCTTGGACACAGGGCTACAACCCTCATCAAGGCCTGGGCTCAAGGTGATGAGCGGTTCTGGTGCAATGGGACTTACCTGGCTATCGCTTGTCTTACTCTGCAACACATGGAGAGGACTCCTGAAGAGCTTGTGACATCGAGAGAGTTGATCCTTGAGGGTTCTATGAAATGCCAACCCCTACCAACTACGCTTGAGAGCATGAAGCATCAATCCACAACCATGGACAATGCTCTGCCCGTGGTGGACATAGGGTGAACGAAGACACTGAGTCACAACTGAGTCTCCGATCACAAACCCCCCCTAATGCCCTGGGGTTAAAGGGCATAGTAAACGATGGAGCACCGCTCCCAATACCACTAGCTTATGGAAGTCACATCGCCACGCTAAGCAGCCATATTGGGCTAAACCTTGTATATACATAGACGCCCACGCTCCACATCACACTCCATCTAAAAATAGAGGACTTCATGACACCCAGCCCTTACATCATGACACAACCTAATCGACTCGACCACTCAAAGGGAGGTGGCTTAAAAGCCCAAACCCTGTACCAGTGACACACTAATCACCCAGGTGCTGAACCATTGCACCGCTCTCCTTAGTCTCCACACACACCCATGGTAAAGGCGGTCGACTCGTTACAACCAATCAGCCCGTTAACAAAAATGTGCATTGTTTGTTTTAGCTAAATTGCAAAATGTTTGGAGTACAGTTATCTTGCTATATTTTATGCATATGCTGTTGTGGCAAACCCAGACAAGTATGTATCTCTAATAATGCATTGAAAAATAAATAATTTTTTAAAAATCATGGGAGGTGTAGTCCAAAACATCCGGAGTGCCAAAGGTTGCCTATGCCTGCCCTAGTTCATATTTTGATATGATGAGCTGCTGTAATGCTTTAAAATGAGTCTAGCCTTCTAGTTTGAAAAAAAATAAAAATCTAAATTGACTTTCTCTTTAAACTTCACATACCTGATAGAAGTATACCTGAGGGTATTGCTGTACCTAGAATAAGTAGCTAAGCAACATATTAAATATTATACTGCAGTAATCAGCAGGAATGTTACAAAATACAAATCAAATAATAAACGTGTGTGTAAAAAAAGTAATGAAAAAAGTTGATAACCACTACAGCTGTGATGAAAAAATCAACGCACAAGAATGTTGAAAATATATGATTTTAAACGGGTAATTAAAAATGAAGAACAGCTAAAATATTCTAAATTGAGACAAACGCCAAGAATCAAAATACGGTTTAACCACTTAAGGACACATGACAAGTGTGACATGTCATGATTCCCTTTTATTACAGAAGTTTTGGTCCTTAAGGGGTTAAAAAACTAAAATGGGTTTATCTCAAACTTGTTCCTTCAACATCCACATATAGTTATACCTTGCTATGGTATACAAAGGGGGTATAGATTTACACAGAAGATAAAGCGAAGTCCAATTGTTGAGGTTGGCATGCATCAGTTTTAGAAAATACGAAGAAAAACTGCAACATGTATGTGAAAAAGCAAAGAATTTATGAGACAAGCCAATTACTCTATTAAAATTCAACCTTTAAAGGGTTTATCTGGGGCTTGTCTTGGTACATTTGACCCAATAATTTTAAAAGTTACTCTCCTTTTCATCTGTTCCGCGGAGTTGTTTAGTGGGTTACCCTCTTGCTGCAAGCAGACCACTCCAACTTCAGAATGAAAAGCTCCAATCAGTAGTATTTCAATCTGGTCACAGATCTACCTTAATTCACTTTCAGCCTAGAATGGTTTCAACTGCTTTTTAAATTGATGGCAGCCATAATGTTTATGAGTATACAAATAAAAGTGAGTAAATTGTACACAATAAATTTATACACAGAAATGGAGTAAAAATGATGATGCAATCTACAAAAGAAAGGAACAAACACACATAGTGTTTTCTGCAAATCACAATATTCCAAAGTATATGTGTGGAATATAACTCACAAGAGTAGAGAAATATTAGGCTCTATATAGAAGATTCCAAAGGTGCCTCTACAAGTTTGGATGATTACTCAGATCAGGACCACAAGATCTCAGGGTGCAGCAATCGATTCCAAACTTTAGTGTATAAAACTAATTAAAAACAAATAAAATATGTAGGAAACAAAAGTACTAATAAGCAGTGTAAAATAGCAGCCCAAAGGCTCAGACATAAGTCACCACGTAAGTAGTCCACAGTATAGTCCCAAAGTGTATAGTGCAAATGTGTTTCAACTTCAAAAGGAGTCTTCTTCAGTGCTAACCAGCATCCGTAAATGCATTTCAGCTCCATAAGGAATCTTCTTCAGTGCTAACCAGCATCCGTAAATGCATTTCAGCTCCATAAGGAATCTTCTTCAGTGCTAACCAGCATCCCTGAACGTGTTTCAACTCCTAACTAAGTCTTTTTCAGTGCTAATCAGCACTATTATTGGTATAATGTTGATGAGTGTGCACCATTTAGAGAATCTGGCTGTGTTTTAGCATGGGTTGAGCTGAACACCCAGCTTGCACAGTCTTAACTAGGATCTGGCTTTCTCCAGGGAGGAGAGAGAGCCTTCCCTATTATGTGCGTGGTGTTCGTACACCAGACAAACAAAATAGACAAAATTAAACTAAGCAACCTGGTACTAAGTATTTTGGGCTGCTGAAATGCTCTGTGCATGGTCCCAGGGTCCTGACATCATTCAGCACTGTGCAAACTCTAATGTTTCACTCTCATGTTAAGTGTGATGGGGACATTTCCTTGGTGTCCCCAGAACATGGGACAGCCTCGTACTGGACTTCCTCATGGAATCTCAAGTATTCTCCTCCCAATGTCCACAATTTCACTCTTTTACTTTTGGCAATAGACTTTTTATTTTTTTCATTATCTGGTAGGGCGTTACACTAAATGCCCCCTATGGATGAGCCACCACTGGTCTTGCCAAAACTGGGACTGCTTGAAGGAATGCACTTATTAAGGCAGTTGACGCACTTTGTAGTGGTTATGGTATTAGTATGCTGCGGGGTCTGTCCATTTTTTTGTGCTTAGCCTACAAATGCAAACAAAATATGGACAGAAAATACAAAATGGCAAGAGAGGGGTCATGCCACAAATGCGTGGGTGATTCCCCATTCTTTGCTAAACAACTCAAAAATTGATTTACATAGAACTAGGAGACTGAGCCCATAGCCTACTAGCACCATAACCATCACAACAGGCTGTAGACTTTATCATGCTTTTGCCAATGATCTAAGCTCTGTATTGGTAACATAAGCTCCTACGAAGGAACTTCTGGGTCTCAGAAGATTGTAGTGGAGCCAGGGAGTGGCACTTGGGGGAAGCTGTTCAATAGGGGGGCACCAGAACAATCCTGGCACCATGACCTCTACAGTGAGCTGCAACAGTTAGGATGCTTGGAGTGTTCCTTTAATTTATTGAAATTAATAAATTTTACTAGAAATATCCAACCTTCTCTGAGGCCTCAAGTACTTGTGACATTTATAAGCTACTGATGAAGATAAAAAAGAGAAGAAAAATAGGTGTGCCGTGGAAATGTTTCTCTCATTTAAAGGGACACTCCAGGCACTAAAACCACTACAGTGAATTTAACCTCGGGTTCTCCGGGTACTGCTCGCCACTTCTACTACAGCTCGATGAGAGCTGTGTCCAGTGCTACAAGGCCTTATTCATTGGCTGAGAGCAGAGAGATAACAGCTGTACTAGAGACAAGGAACGGCATCGGACTGACCCCAGGTAAGACAGTTTGCGTGCTAACTGGGCACCACCAGGATACTCATGACACCATAACCACTACAGTTCACTGTTTCAAGTGCTCCTTACAGTGTGTATCCTAATCCAAAAATTGTTGGAAACAATTGATATAAAGTACGATATTTGGAGCAATAAGGAAAACATTTCAGTCATTGAAAGAAATATGTGTTGATGAAGCAATGAATGAACAATTGTTTGTAAAGTAAATAAATATCAAGCACACCAAGGTATAAACCAAGCCTACACATCACACCTCAAATGTGTGGGAGCCTGGACTTCCTGTGTGACTCGTTTACAATTCCGATTAATTAAAGGGACAGTTTACGCATCGCATAGCACTATAACAACTTAATCGAAATGAAGTAGTTATGGTGACAGGACGCCTCGGGCGCGTTCTTAACTGACCGCTATCAGCCACTCCGCACTTCCTGAATCTGAAATTTCAACGCTAGAGGAAACTTCAGGGTTAAACCGTTAGAAAATGGTCTAAACGCTTTACGTTAAGAATGTGCCTGGGGGTCAGGGGGGGGGGGCGGGCTCCTAGTACTATAACAACTTAATTTAGATGAAGTTGTTTTGGTGCCTGGCGTGCTCTTTTATCTCCAGCTTCCCTTTAAATTAAATAGGGGATATGATTAACTTGAGAGATATTATTAATATTAAAACTAATTTACATATAAAACACTGCACAGTTGTTAGTGTGACATGTGGTGCCTGAGGGGTTAATGACTTGGATTTACCAGGGACCTCTCACGTGCTCAGTGAATGCTTGACGTCACGTTCCATTTCCTCAGGTAAATGCTCAGCTCAGCAGAACACCTGGCTCCTCCCCATCCCCCCACAGACAAGGCCCCGCCCCCTTCACACACACCTTTGGCTGTGGCGGTTACGTCACTGGTCCGCTGGCTGTAAAGACAGGTGAGGGCGGAGTCAGTCAGGAGGAGGAGGAGGGGGAGAGGCTGGGCTGGAAAGGAAGTGTCTCATACTCTCAGAGGCAGCCGGGCAGCTCGCACACGGAAAGCTGGAGGGTGACAGGCGGTGTGGTCGGGGCTGTAACATGTTACCCTCAGCGGTGAGAAGGTGGCTGAACAGACCCAAGGTGAGCAGGGTGCTCTGAGCTGGCTGGAAGCTTGGATTCTCAGTACTGAAAACTTTATAGAAAGTTTACTCTAAAGTAGTAAAACTACTTTCCCTGTGATGCCATGGGTCTGCCTGAGTAGAATGGGAGTGGGAAACATTACCACAAGTCCAATTTTATGTATAGCATAGCCCTAGTTAACTTTTCATATGCTAGCTTTTGTGTGGCAAGGAATCACGGGAGTTGTAGTTTTAGCACAGCAGGGGAGTGCTAGATCCACTTGGTTCAATCATGATGGGAATTCACATGATCACTTCCTATAGTGAATAATCCCCTGGAAAGCAGTTTCAAGTTGTAATGAGCTAATTTTGGCCATTTTGCTCACTAAACACCCAAATGTTTTATTTTATATTTTGTTAATTTGGCATCAGTAGCCCATATTTTGAAGTTCAAATTTCACTGCAATTTGGTAACTTGTGCTGTGTTCTTTCCTCATTCCAAGTGTTAAAGGGCTAGATTGTCATTCTATCTTTACTTCCTTTTATACTTGTGTTTTAAAAATATATTTTCTTGATCAGCGATTACATTACCTTAATACTAAATTTTTTTTTTCTCATTCCAAGTGTTATAGGGGTTGATTATTGGTGCCTCTCTAACTGTACTCTTATACTTGTGTTTTAAAAAATATTACTTTTTTTTTCTTTTTACTCAGAGGTTGCAGTGAGAATACAAAATAGTCACTGTTTAATTGATTTACCTAAAATGAAGCTTTACGTTTAATTGTTTTTTAATTGGGATTATAACTAGAAATGGCTTGCAAAACCTGCCGATCTCTTGTCTACAGCCTTTACAAACCTCCCTCTGCGGTTGTCCAGACTTCCCAATGCAGCTCAATGAAAAATCCGTGCAAGGCAGGTGACCTGTGCAATTTCTGCCCTTTGAGTTTAGCTCCACTGAGCCAACCAAACCGGGAAGTAACAAAACATGTGTTTCGAAGCAAGACGGGTGTAACAAGCTTAATTTTATAAAAGTGTTACTTTCTATTGAAATCTGCACTTTTTGCAAAATTAGGGGAAACTCACAACACTTCTCAGCAAGCTAAAATGCTTTAGAGGTCTGAAGTGTTACTTCAACCCAGGGGTGGGGAGCTTTCAGCACTCAAGATGTTTTAGACTACATCTCCCTTGATGCTTTGTGAGCATTATGCGAGATGTGGTAAAAAAAACAAAGGTTCCCCAACTCTGCTTTAACCCTTTAGTACATAGGTGAGGTGAATCCCTTGTTATTGCGGCAATTCTTTATCTTTTATTGTGACAATCCTAATTGTCCTAATCATTGATCCACAAGGGTTAATAGAGTATTCTAATGTATTGAGATGTAGATTAAACAAGCAACTATTGTATAGACAATCAATCTATGAGATTGGGAAAAAAGTAGTTGCAGGTTAAAAGGTAAAATATTTTTTGGAGCTCATCATGTAATAAGTGTGTGTATGTATTGTAAATGATTTCTAGAGCATGATCATCTCAAGATCGAAGTTCTCTGGACTGACTAATTATCAAGTGGTTTTTTGATCACCCCCAATCACCAAGTGGGTAGGTGGATGGAGGTAATCCTTAAATCACAGGCGCAACTTCTGGTAACAAATGCTGTCATGTGCAATGTATGATTCATATTTAGAGGATATGATGAATACTTAATTTTTAAATTTCTCCCTTCTTTGACTATTTGCATGCCTGACTTATTAACTAGCCAGCCCGAAAGTGCACTGTTTTTGTTTGCCCTCTATGTAAATAGATTGCCTTTTAAAACACGTTCGCTGTGTCAATATTTATTTTGTTAAATGGCAGATCTATTGGAATTCTGTATAAAGAGCACTTCTGGATCGAAGTTGTAAAAAGTGAAGCGATTGCAAGTGTAGTTTCTAAAGTTTTGTGCCAGAATTGCTCATTCTATACAGCTCACAAATGTATGGGGTGAATGGGTTGGGTCTTGCAGTAAACCTTGCATTCAGACGTTCACGTCACAAATATGATGGAAGCCTGGGGCTTATATGTCAAAAAGGTAATGATAAGGAGGAGCACTGATTAACGAAATCAACTTGTCGAGGAAAAGTGTGTTTTTTTGTTTTTTTTGTTGTTTTTTTTTGTTTTTTTTTTTTTTTTATATATTGGTTGTGGGTTTTAATTTGCTTTGGGATGTCAATATGGTAATAATGGGGTTGGAGTAAAAATATCTAAATGTATGTATTTTGCTGATTGCTACTGAGATAAGCTTGGCCATGCAGTGTTCTTCTATGTGGCTTATCTTAGTGGACCTACCTTGAAGGACCTTATAGCAGCATGGGGGGGGGATGAAGAAAGGGTACCTGGTGGCACCCAGGTAAGTTATCAAACACAGTTTACCCTGGGAGGGTGCCAGGGCACTACTGGCACCATGTCAACTAGGTATGGTGTGCATGTTCCTTTAAAAATAGCAGTTGAGGTGTTAAGTAAAATCCACATTGCGAGAGTGCATGTGAGGGATGATGAGTTAGCAGGCGGCATCCAAAGGGCTTAATGCATTTTATACTTGAAGTGGCACTTCCTCCACATGTTTCAAATGAGTACTAGCAGTAGATATTGTTTGTTTCTACTCCTATTTGTTGCTACTCCCTATTTGTTAGTTTATGAAATAGTGAATTGATTACAGCTTAAAGGAAAAATCCAGGCACCATAACCACTACAGCTTTCTGTAGCATTTATGGTTCCAGAATGCCTTGGTGCTCCCCAAATTCAAGCGGTCAAACCGCTTGACTTCTTACCTGGGGTCAACTGGCACTACTTAACACCTCCACATCTGATGCCAGAGGACTGGAAGTTCTGGAGAAGAACTGAGTGTCAGTTGTTAGCACTCTTCACCCAGGAGAGTTAATAGACGTTCTTGCTTTGGAACCTTCAGTGATAAAACATTAAAACAAAAAAACTACAAGCAAGTTGTATTGTTCCTTTTAAGAAAAACAAAACCCAATAGGTAGTCATTGGTTTTAATACAATTTTTTATTTTCTTTAAGGGTCATTGAAATATGACACCATGTGCAAATTTCAGCAGACCTATATCATTGGCATGCAGAAGCCTCTGAGATGGCACAACAACCACCACCATTATTCCTGGATACACCAATTAAAAACCTACACTAAAATAATCTTTTAATGTTGTTCAGCCTTTTATGGAGCCATAACTGGCAACTGGCTTTCTGTATCAATGCTAGCAGAGCATAAACCTTGGCACAGGGCAGTAACAATTGTAAACCATCCTTTAGCCCATTGCTCTAGCTTTGTTTACCACTAAGAGCAACAAGTTCACTGGTAACGAAAAAACATTGTATGACTTCACAGTATTGTCTCTTTATCTACTTTTTACCTCTTTAGTATTGCTGGCTAGAAATCCTGTGTAGGGTTCAATTATGCAGCACATCTTAATAGACCATATAATTAGGAAGGAACACCTCTGGTGAAATGATAAATACAACATTATCAACCCTCATCATTTATATTGCCCAACTTGTTCTGCCATGCTTTATAATTATTATAGAGGGGGAAATTTTAACAATAAATGAGACTGTTGCAAAATGTTACAGAAACAATAGGTTTATGAGGACCCTGCTCAGACGAGCTTACAATCTTACATTAATTGCACAGTATTGGAAAGGATGTCATTATTTGAAGTATCCTGTCAAAAATGAAGAAATAGATATAATGTAAGACAGGGCTTAAAGGACCACTACAGGCACCCAGACCCCTTAAGCTAATTGAAGTGGTCTGGGTGCTGTGTCCCTTTTGCACTTAGTGCTGTAATGTAAAACATGCAAGAAAAGGATAAGTAAATGCTTTGTCTCTATATACCAAATCAAAAAGAGAGGGAGATAGATATAAGGCAATGTGGTCAGATTGGTGGTACCAGCGCCACCTATGGGCTTGGACCCAAAAAATAATATATGTGCTGGTAATAATTGTAACTGAAAAAACACACGTGAAATGATTAACAATTCTATCACTAATTTGGTTATGGTAGGTATATACCAGAGGGAAGGACTATAACTGATTGTTCCAATTACTGTCGCATGTACCCTTTAACAAAATATCTATAACTTTATTTGTCCTGTCACTGTAAGGGGTACAATGTGAGAAAAAAGAAAAACAAGTCTTAGATGACTAGTAGTGAACTAACAGTATTGTGACTGCTCATCGTTAAGTAGTGTGTGGTCAAAGTGCAGCGAATAATGTAATTGGCTGTCCACTTAACAATCGCTTGTATGACCAAATGCAAAAGAATAGTCTGTACTAAAGAGCAGATAACTGTCCGCTAAATAGTAATCACAAGGTTACCCTCCAACCTACAGAGATATGAGGTTGGAGGGAAACTTTGTGATTACTATTTAGCGGACAGTTATCTGCTCTTTAGTACAGACTATTCTTTTGCATTTGGTCATACAAGCGATTAAGTGGGATTTCAGTTTCTTGCCACTGCAAATTTGGAGGGTCCATCACATACTAACCAGGTGTGAATTTCAAGTCGCTAGGGCTAAATGTTGCATGCCAATTGCAAGTGGGCAACTAGGCATGTGGAAATTTTGATCCCTGACTTTGATTGCATCTTGTGATTTTATTGGACACTATATATTTATGCATTTTGTTATACACAAATAATGCTTTGTGGCCAAAACCACATTTTTATTGCGCAATATGCCCAAACAAAGATTTACATTTTCACACCTTCTGTTTGCTGCATGTTCCACTGTTTGTTCTTCCCTGTCTAATTAGTGACAAGTACACAGCAACCAAGTCAGCTTGCCAAAAATCTGAGCTGCTCATTCTAACAGTGGTGATGTTATTGTGAAAATGCAAAGTCAAGGAATAAAAACATTCTGCTGTAAAGTAAGGCCACACAAGTCTTCAGAACCGGTGAATAGTGTAACAATGTCATTGCCTGCAACCTGACATTCAAGAATGATTCTTAAATAGTTGGCACAGGAACTCACCCATTGGGTGTTTTCATTAATTAGGCTTGCATGGCCACACAACTTTTTTTTTTTTTAATGGTAAATTAATTTTATTTTTAAACCATTTAATTCAGTGTAGGCAGTCTGCATCACTAGGGTGAAACTGCTTGGGAAAAGAGCATGCGGACACTGCATGTGTCGAAGGTCCATGTGACTCTCCACTTGTATGTCTTGACAGATTCCTTGATGCATTCTGGAGAAAGCTGGAGCTCAAGCTTCACCAGCTTACCCCGCTAAAGTCGGGTGATCTTACTCTGAAAACCACCTCTACACTCCCATCAAGCGCGGCTCAGATGGCCCCAAAATGGGGGCAGAGTGTGCACAAAATTATATTGAGACTAATTGTTCTGGTCCAGGGCTGAAGCTGGGGATGTGTCTGACTCAAGGTTGAATCAAGACACCAGCCTGTTTGCTACTGGGCTCTGATGCCTGTAGACGATGTACTGCCTATAGTGAGCATAAGATGAACTTGGCACACTGTCTGGGCAGAGCTCTTGGTCACTCACTTTTACCATCCTAATAGAGCTAGCTAGGGGAATTCTCTGTCCTATGACTTATGCTTGTATCTAGTTTCCTGCTATCTGTGGGCCATCACCTTGCGCACCTTGTATCATTTGTTTCTCTCATCCTCTCACCATTATGATGGCCTGCTAAGGGATTCACTTTAACTCTTAAATCGCAGTTACCTCTAATCTTCCAGTATTATCTATTCTATGAATAGAGTGGGGGTTCCCAACCCAGTCCTCAAGTACCTCCTACCAGTCAAGGATTTAGGAATAACATTGTTGTCTAAAGTGTTTTTTGTTTGTTTGTTGGTTGTTTTTTTTTTTTGGGGAGAGAAACACCTCCGACACAATTGGGTAATCCCTAAGTCCTGGACTGTTATGGGGTACTTGAGGACTGGGTTGGGAACCATTGCTTTAGAGCACAGAACTTGTTTTATTCACGGTTTGAATGACTTACTTAATCAGCACTGTTCTTATTTCCTATTTTTTTTATTGCAAAAGAGGCTTGTCAAATCTTGCATTGTCCTCGTACACTGTTGATTAACATTGACGTAATGTTGTGCTAGCTATTACTCCTTGTGGACACATCCTTGCTCATGTCATTTATTGCTTGTACTGGAACTCACACTAGTACCACTGTAATACATTTTAAATCTATGCCTCCATGAAAACAATGATTGACAAAAAAACTAATTAGAAAATCACTTGCATACAGGGACATTGATTCATACACAAATCTCCTTACATGCATAGAGATATATTTGTATTTTATGCTGCTGTAAGAGTAAATAACTAATTGGCTACTAGCACACATATACCTATAAACCTAAATAACCAAGAAGTCATATGGCTTTGAAAATACATACACAAACAGCCACACGTATACACAAATGCACAATCAATTGTATTGCCCTTCTCCTATTGTCAACCTATTTAATTGGCCATTCCTCCCATCCCCTTAACCTCATTTCATTAAAAGCTTCCAGTGCCTGCCTAGGGAGCACATCACTCTCTACACTGGGTCTGGACAAGGTTGGGTTGATAATAAACCACTAGGGATTAACTCTTCTCACCCTTCCACCCCACCACATCAAGGTAAGCAATAAGGTGGGGGCGATGAACTTTCTTTTCTTTAAATCATGCCCGTGCCCCTGCTGTTCTATGTACATGCTTGTGTAGAGCACTCCTAGAAGATTGCCTGAGCGTGCATGCAATTGTACAGAAATTTGAAAGATTCACGAGTGGAAAAACCAGCGGTAACCGGGGGCCCACTGTGAGAACTAGGGAAAAATGCTAGCATTGGGTCATCTGCTATTAGTTCAGCCATTAGTGATGAATCATGGAATAGCAAAGTAGCGAACAGTGTGCATGGGATTGTGGTGTTTTTGGTTTTTCTCACCCCACTATATATGGTGCAAGATGGAACATTGAGCATTCACATTTCTTGAAGTGCCATGTCAGCTTCAAATTTGAGCTTCGTGAACCCTAGCCATCTGGGGAGAGGAGGCAGACTTATGGAAAATTTGTTTTGAGAGTGAGCAATGGCATGTTCACCCCAACTTGTTTGTTTATTAAAGCAGCCACCGATTGGTTGAGAGCTGTCGGAGAGGGCACTAGGTCCAATCCCCTGTTTTAATATTTTGCCTTCACCCGCTGGCCATGGTGATCTGTCCACCATCTACTGTTTAATTTACAGTTTCTCAGCTGATTCTACAGGTAATTGGCATGGGAAGGATATCCCTGTGGGATGGTGCCTTTATAGGGACTGGGCATCCCCATTTAGTATAGTAGATTTATCCCCATCTGTCATACTGGAGGTCTAAGCCCTCCATTCTCGAACAATAGGAATGCTGCCCCCATCCCAACCAAAAATAATGCAAAATAATTCTTGGTGGCTTGTTTATATACAGCTAGAAGAAAAAGCTGTTAAATTGTACAGAAAATGTTTCATTTTGTTGAAGCCGAAGGAGTTGCAATAACATTGTTAGAATGTCTTCATATTTAGTATTAACTGTCACAAAGCCAAAATTTGCATTTTGTGCAACTTCATAAGCTTGGATTTCATTCTTATTTTTAATCTATGTATCTCAGTGCTGTTAATGTATTTTTCATCGGTGCGTGATGAAAATAAAATACATACACCCTGCCCCAGAGCTGCGTTAAAAAAAAAAATTTAAAAAAAAATTAAATTGCACAATTTACAAATAACTAAAAAATGTAGATGGTGCCAACATCAAAAGGTGCAGAAAAATTCTTCTGCAGACTTCCACACTGTTAGGATTCTTTCCTAAAATGAGAATTCAAAGTGAATTTCACATTTAAGACCGGAGCAGCCAAACAAATGGCATGCCTAACTTGTAAGAGTTTTTCAATTTTGCTTATTTAGACCTTGAATTTGTCATTCATTCTGTTTACGTGTTGAATTCTGACGTTTGTAAAACACCCAGTGATATAATAATAATAATAATAATAATAAACTGTTAATGTTCTCACTCTTTTTGTTTTTGTCATGGTTTTCAGTACAAAACGTAATATTGTAAAGTGAATCTGGTGGGTTGTGTTTTTTTTTATTTATTTATTTATTTTTTAAGTGCTTCTGTCACCATCTGCATAATTTTCAAATTGCCATAGAACCATGACTACTCCGCTTGCTGTGCTGTGCAGTGCCTTAGGGGTGCAGGGAACATTGAGTTATACTTAACTGAATTTGTTCTTCGCACCGACCGGTATCTTATTCCTGCCAATCCTCTTCAGTTCCCAGTGCTTCAGGTACCAGGAGTTGACATCAGCTTTGTAATATCGCGCATGCTCAATAGTATAAGACTGAGGTCTATGGAGGGTCCCACAAGATTGGGATCCTCCATAGAGTGAGCCCTTTTCACTTTAGTTTTCACTGGTGATGTCGTAGAACTTGTTTTAAAGTTTAGAGTAAAGCTACCTTATTCACGTTTTGACTGAATTTCATTGAAATTCCAACCCACTCATTGTATTTGATAAAGTTATTACATTTAACAAAACACTACTTTTGGATTTTAAGTAGGTTTTTCTCCTTATTTGTAAATTTGATAGAAAATCTGCTATAACAATGTATAGATAAAATCGTATGCTCAATCTAATGAGCATATTTTATCTGGGATATTTTATTTTGGGATATCTCCTTTTAAAGACATTTTGAACATTTTTCACTTTGTTTGAATGTCTTTGAGGAATGAAACCCTGTGGTAGAATATCTTTAACTTTTAAAGTTCTGCATCTGTTACCTCTATCAAAAATCAATGGATATACTGTAGAACCTGGAAGAAGTACTTTCTTCTACTGGTTTTCTGGTATCATAAATTGATCTTAAAGTGTGAGAGGTCCAAAGAGAAACAGACTTTTTCAGATACCTTTGTGTTGGCACTTGGCGTTTAGAACATTGGGCCCCTCGTGTTTAATATGTATGTGTTTGTTTATATCTCCCGCTCTCCAAAAATGGGACCATGCTTTTGGCTTTGTCTACCTCGGGGGATGTAACTTTCTTCCTGCAAGCCCTTGGGTAGCACTTCTCCTTGGTCTTGTCCGAGGCCGCCTCTTCCACATTGAAGACCAATATCTCACATAAGCAGAGAGGTGGATTAGGCCAACAGAGAGTAGTAGAGTCACCTGTGAGTCCATTGTCTTGATGTTAAGTTAGTTGGAGAGAGTCCTGCAAACTTTATGGAGCCACTGTTCATGTAGTTTGAGTCTGCATGGACCTATGTTTTTTTTTTTATTTATTTATTTTTTGAACATTGTAGAGAGCCTGATTTTTGCATTATCGGTGTTTTCTTTTATTGGGTTCTTATTTGTATGGACTTTTTTTTTTCATTGTATTTGTTCATACTATGTTCTTTAAACTGTTTACTACTTGCTAACCTGTGAAAATATTAAAATAAATCTTTGGAGTCCCTATGTAATCCATAGTTCATGTTTGGGGAGGTGCTTACTTTGATGTATGTAGGGCAGACTGTGACATGTATCTTTCTTTGGAACCCCTGGTCTTTGCCACCCACCAATTCGCCTACAAGAATAGCATAATTCTTCATTTTAGTGTGTTCGTAGTTTATATAAAATAAACCTAACCGTTCATATTTTGTACACCTTTTAAAAAAAGTTCAGTCTTCTGAGCCAAAAAGGGTGGAATAGAAAGGCAGCATGTGCTGCAAGCTTATTTTGTAGGGCTTAACTGGTGTACAATTGTTAGTGACTTTCTTTTAAAATTTTCATTTTTCTAGAAGTCTGATCCACGGCTGTTGGCGAGGTTTTTCTACGTAGATGAAGACGTGAGTGCGGTTATGCATGACTTGCGATGTTTGGATATAGAGAAGGAGCCTGCAAGTTACCTGATAGTACTCACACAGCTGCATAACACCCAGGTATTTGTGACTTTGCCATTTAGATTTACAATGTATGGTATTGAAACAATTCATCTTTTAGCCCATAAAATGTGAACTGTAAAGAGTCAAGTTGAGACATTCTGATTCACCTACTGTAAACTAAACTAAGTCACACAAAACATAGCTTAGTTTAAAAGGTGTGTGTGTGTGTGTGTGTATAATATATATATATATATATATTTTTGTTTTTTGCGCAATAAAATACTTTTATAATGTTTAAATGCTCTTCAATATGCTTGATAGGAATAGGGTGTTTTTTATTATTATTTTTTTAATGTCATTATAAAATACAATGTGTGTATGTGTTTGGCAGTTTATTTTTCTACTTTTATTATAAAGATTGTATATTTTGAGTTCTTAGTCAGTAAATCTTTACCAATACATTTAATTGCTTCATGCTGTGACTTCACAATTTTAAGCAACAGGTTGTAACGATTTTCCTCTTCCTCTAAGTACAATGGCTTATATATATATATATATTTTTTTTTTCTTCTCCTCTTCTTTTTCTTCTGTTATAGGATCGCATGTTACTTCTCTTTGAGCAAATGTTGGAACAAGTTGTACCCAAAAAGCGGCGACCACGAGATTACTATTGGAAATTCCCAGATGATAATATGCCTGGTTACATGACCACTCATCTCCTGTTTGCAGCAGAGGTATAATGCACTCTTTAAACTTAATGAGGACACTCTGTCTCACACCAGTCAAGCCATAAGACTTGCTTTTCCCACAGAAATCTCACATTTCCATTGATGTTACTACTGCAAGGGAGCCTGGGTGAGCACATGCAAATTGGTTCAACAAAGACTTTTTTTTTTTGCATCATCATATTCTATTTTTATACATGTATACAGCAAACAAACTCCAAGGAATCCATATTTAAAATGGAATGAGGCAAAAAGGGGATTCTTTGTTGAAGGACTTCCAGCGTCACCGGAATCCCCACAGGAAAGCTGTGGTTAATGCTTTTCTATAGGGAAATCCTAATGAGAGTGCGGCCATTAGGTCTCCCCCGTCCCAATCACTTAACATGTTCTTATTTTATTTTTTTTACCCCACTGTAACATTCTTACGTTTTGTGTGTGTGTGTATGTATAATTTTATTTCCTATCAATTTAACATTTTTGTATACTTTTTCTAGCTCATGGTTGGTGGTACATATGTTGAGGTAGAAGAAACAGATGGAGAAACAATACGTCCTTTAGCACAAGAACTGCTGCGCAGTGTTGTGAACTTGCGGAACGTATTGAGAGAACAAAGCCTTGAGGATCCTAGCATATACCCAGAGCAAGCACAAAGGGCACTTCTGCGATATGACTACCTGTGTGCCGAGTTCGAGTTACGGTCTGTGCTTTTTCTATATTATTGTACTGCTAAAGTCGTGTTTTTGTCAGGCATACGTTATCTTTTTAACCCCTTAAGGACACGTGACATGTCATGATTCCCTTTTATTCCAGAAGTTTGGTCCTTAAGGGGTTAAAGAAACACTTCCTACACACCAAAACATTGGCTTAATTAAATGGTTTTGATATATATATCATGTCCCTGCAGTCTCACTGCTCAATTCTGTGCCATTTAGAAGTTAAACCACTTTGCATATGCAGCCCTAGCCACACATCACCTGGCTGAGACTGTCTCCCTAAACACTGCCTAAAATTTAGGTTGTTCGCTTCCCTCAAAATTAGTGTTTGGAATGTATCTTCTGCTTTAATTACTAGTGTGTGCTGAAGGTTCCCTTGTGTGATTTAAAGTTTAACCGTGCAGGAGATAAATTTAAAAGTAAACACTGCGCTGTAAAAATTAAACTTTTATTTTATTTCATGCAGGCTGTGAGTCACAGCAAGGGGGGGCTAGGGTTACTTCAACCAAGAACCAGTGTTTTTCACCCTTTTGGGGGTGGTCAGCCTCTCCAAAATAAATCTAAATAAAATTCTCTCTCAGCATGATCTTCCAACAATGACTTCACACTCACCTGAGTGAGAGGGAGGACCGTGTCGACACAGGTGGAGGGGGGCGGTGCTGCTATTGGTTGTCTGGTGCCAGCAGGTACAGAAAACACCAATTTTGAACATAATTGACACTAGCTAGCCCTGAACTTTATTCTGGGTTGGCCAATGATGCTGCCGGAGGTAATTACTCCTCTGGCAGTGCATGGGTTAATCTGTATGTGCAGCATTTCGTAGCAAAATGTTGCACATACAGTCTCAAGACACCGTGAGCACTTATATCACTGAAGTGGTCATGGTGCTTGCAGTCACCCTTTACCTCCAAAACTGCAGAAGACTGAACAGTGTGACTGCAGGGCATGATCTATACACAAAAACTGCTTCATTAAGCTAATGTTGTTTTGATGCTTAGGGTGTCCCTTTAAGGCTTTTTTGGAATGATGAAGAGACATTAATGTTGTGTGGGGGTTTTTTTTTCTTTCATTTTTAACATCAGAGAAGACTTCTTAAAAACTTCCATGCACACGTGTTCAGCATTGACTATCTTTCTCTCTTTTTTTTAATCATTACACAGCTATATGTCACTGGTGTCAAATGTAAAGACTCCTGAAGAAATCTATGAGCAGCAAGAAGTTGCTGTGCTTTTCTGTGAGACTGTTTCTAGGTAAGCACCACATCCCTAACTAATTTAGAAACTGGGCACTCCTGGTGAATTACTTGATTTTGTCCAGTTTAAAAAAAAAAAAATAAATAACAAAATGTAAACTTTATTGCCTATGTTTTCTAGCGATCGACCGATTAGATTTTTTTTTTTTTTTTTTTTGGAGCAGATACTGATAACCTGTGCACTTTCAGGCCGATAGCCCATAACTTGCCGATATTCTGTACATTTACAATTTTGAAAAAATAAACAAATTCTAAAGGTAAATGCACAAAATATACATGCCACATGTAGTGGATGAAGTGTGTTTTAGAAAGGGGAACTGTGTGTGTTTGTGCATATATTTATATATAATGAATGCAGAGTGTGTTTGTGTAGTGTGTGTGTATATAATGAATGCAGTGTGTGTATGTAGTGCAGGGCTCGAGAAATCCCAGGTCGCCATGGTGACTAAAGATTTTGCCAGGGCGCCTGGGCATTTGTCAACTTTTTATCTAAATAAGCAAATAATGGAGCTGGCCGTTGGGTGATAGTTGCAGCCGGCTGCCCTGAGCTTCATGGAGGCGGCCGGCTCAGTGGAGCATCCAGACGTCGGCTGGGGCAGTGTGCGAGGGAGCAGTGATCTTCCAGCGGCTCTTCTCTGCACCCTCGCACTGTTTAATGATGCAGGGAGCCGGAATACGGCGTCATTCCGACCCCGGCATCACAGGGAGCAGAGAGGAGCTGCATGGTAGATTACTGCTCTCTCACACAGGAAGAGAGAGCAGCCCCACTGGACCCCAGGGAAGGTCCACTCAGCCCTTCCAAAAGGTAGGGAGGTTAAGTGGATAAAAAAAAGTGTGTGTGTGCCCCTGGCTGTGTGTGTGCGCGCCCCCTTGGCTGTGTGTGTGCGCGCCCCCTTGGCTGTGTGTGTGTGTGCGCGCGCCCCCCTGGCTGTGTGTGTGTGCGCGCGCCCCCCTGGCTGTGTGTGTGTGCGCGCGCCCCCCTGGCTGTGTGTGTGTGCGCGCGCCCCCCTGGCTGTGTGTGTGTGCGCGCGCCCCCCTGGCTGTGTGTGTGTGCGCGCACCCCCCTGGCTGTGTGTGTGTGTGTGCGCGCGCGCCCCCCTGGCTGTGTGTGTGTGCGCGCGCGCCCCCCTGGCTGTGTGTGTGTGCGCGCGCGCCCCCCTGGCTGTGTGTGTGTGCGCGCGCGCCCCCCTGGCTGTGTGTGTGTGTGTGCGCGCGCGCCCCCCTGGCTGTGTGTGTGTGTGTGCGCGCGCCCCCCTGGCTGTGTGTGTGTGTGCGCGCGCCCCCCTGGCTGTGTGTGTGTGTGCGAGGGGGGATATAGTATTCCCTTGTGGTCCGGTAGCTTGTTAAGTACTGGGGGGGCCCGCAGCAAGCTGTTTCTTACCTCCCACCAGCTCCCTTCTGCTCCCCTGTGTAAATCTTGCGGCCCTTAGTGCCGCACGGAGTGTTAGCATGGTAACCCATGGCAACACTCTGCGGCCGCGGGACTCGCGAGATTTACACAGGGGAGCGGAAAGGAGCTGCTGGGAGGTAAGTAACAGCTTGCTGCATGTAATGGGCCCGGCTGTCCTAGGAGGTATTATCGGCATCTCTATTGGCCGATACGATATTGCCGAAAATACCGAATATCGGCCGATAATATCGGTAAAGCCGATAATCAGGCGATCCCTAATGTTTTCCCACTCCTTTTTAGTAATGGTTGTACAATAATATGCGTATTTGCTATAATGCAAAGCTATGCTCAGGCTTGCATTATCAAACTAGAATAGAAGGAATTCTATTGAGAGCCAGCTTTGCTTTCTTAAAATTTTTTGTTCTGTTTAATTTTTTTATTACAGAGCTTTGCAAAAGGGATACATAACCCAAGAAATGATTGATGACTATGAACCTGAGCTAATGATTTCTATCCCACGCTTGGCTATTATTAGGTATGTGAAATCCGTTACTTAATTCACTTCCTTTTCTCTGTCACTCAATCTATAATTGGTTAGTTACTGATTTGTTGCATTAATGGGGCAGCTCCATATAAGCATTCTGCAGGTTTGGTTAGTTTAGAGCAATTGTAGTGCCCACTACCTTTTTTTTTTTTTTTTTGTCTAAAATTCCATCTATACATTGTGCTAGATTTTATTTTCTTGTTTGTTTGTGGGGGTTTTTTTTCTTCTCCCACCTGTCAATCACTCCTTCGGCATAGACTCTATGCAGTACAGGTAGTCCTTCTGCTCTCCATCTAGCACTGCATTGGCAAATCTACTTCGTTTTTCAAAACCCACAGCAATATAGTAAAATCAATGGAGTCTCTGTGTCTTCAATCCTGCAGTGGCCTGCTGATTTATCCAGATGGTCCCTTGAGTCTCCAGAAACATCCAGAAGAGATGTGTGAGTTGTTCAGCCCATTTTACACCTTGCTGAAAAAAATAAAGTAAGTTGCCATTATACTGGATATTTAGTGAGCAATACCTTTTGGTCTGTATTTAGGAAAATAAATGTTAAAATGTCTACACTTATAGATGGGTGTAAGTAAAAGTATATGACTGACCTTCTTGGTGTCTAGAACAGTTGATTAGACTTATTAGACAGCCCTCTTTAATATTTCTGATTTGGAGACCACTCACCCAACCAAGGTAAGTTCTATCCACTAACATACACACTTGTCTGGAAAATACCCAAAGCATAATAAACTCTATTGTTTGGATGTAAAGCACACTTTTATTTTTAATATATACACAATCATCCCTATTAAGGCAACATTAAAATCCATAACCAACTCTCTGGAACTACATTGCTATTCCTTTCTGCAATGTCTCAATAAGGTTGGCATCTCCCAGTGTATACTTTACCAACAATTGGCACTATACAGCGAAAGACGGGAAGCAAGAAGTGCTGAATTCCAGAGAGTTCCAACGGGGGTACCTTTATAGGTTTCTCCTAAATGTAAGGGCAGAACTGTAAGAAAACCTATCCAAAGCAATAAGACTGCATCATTTGGTAATTCGGGTGCAATTTGGGTTTATTCAGGCATCCAAATAAACCGGCAACATTTCGACACTATGTATGTCTTTATCAAGCCATTTGTTGGCTTAATAAAGCCCTACTTCCATGTTGAAATGTTGCTTTAGATGTATTTTGGATCCCTTGGAGCAGAGACCCTGACTAACGACTAAGTGCTCCTCTTATAAACTGTTTATGTAAAAAAGCTTACTTGGTTATATGTAAATTAAAAGAGGTGTGTCTTTGTTTTACATGAGTACATGGGAAAGCATAATCCGTGTGATACAACAAGTTCAAGACAAGATCCATGTTACTTTCTGTCATAACCCCTATGCTTTTTGTAGACTTCTGTTTCTGTAGGACGTAATGTATAAGTTGCGGCATCAAGGTGCCAGTTTGAAACTTTCGTGTTTCTTTTCTAGGGAACTCCTTTTAACCCTTACAGAGGATGAACTCTTTTCTCTAGAAAGAGCTCTGTGCTCTTCTTCCTCTAAAGACACCTCCATACAATTATCTAATCACTCGGAATCTCCTGATGCGTTGGACATCCCAAGCCAAAGCCAGAAACAACCAGAACCTAAACTTTGTTCTGTAGATCTTTCGCCCCAACCTGAAAGCAAGGAAGAATCTTTGCAAGAATGTACTGGTGCTTTAGCAAGTGAAACGAACAAATGCTCTTCTACAGACAGAATTCCGCAAGCCAGCTCTGTGTTGGTAGCACCACTTGACGACACACAAATAAGCACCGATACATGCAACCCCAGTGACCAGGATAAATCATCCTCGGAAAATAGAACATGTGTCCTGAAGCCAACTACAATAGTACAGTGTGTCATGAAGAGAACCTCAGAACGCCACAGACTACATGCCCGGTGAGCAAACTTATAAATAAGAGTACAGATTTAATGAGTGGGATGTGTGAGGTGACAAAGCTTTCCTGATCTATTGTACAGTTACACTTTACATTTAGGTTTTTTTTTGTATTTTTTCCATTATAAAGTCTTGCAGTTGGCTATTAGATACATGTGGGAATTTCACAGACTATAGATTCCAAAAGTAACCTTCTCTGTACATTTTGCAGATTTTTACTCCTACCCTTCAAACTATATGCATACATTCACTGAGTTGACTAACAAAATAAAAGGATTATTTACATTAATCGGATATTGTGGAGAAATAACAGGTTTAAAGGGTTACTGTAAACACCTAAACTACTTCAGCTTTCTTTGGTTAAGTTTGTCCAAAAATCTTCACCACCTTAACTAGCATCTTTGATGTCTGACACAAGCATTTGGTACCATTCTTACCAGAATACATAATTTTGGTGTTTGGAATTAAAGGAGGACTGTGACTTATTTAGTGTTACTCAAAGTACCATAACCACTTCAGTGATTTACAGTGGTCATGATGCTTGGAATCTGCATGTGCAGCGCTTCAGTATGAAACGGCTAGAGTCAATTCTGTGCCAACTTCTATTCATTGGCAAGAAGATCACTTGCACTAACAGCAATAATGGAGCAACCGCATCTGGTTTCTGCAGCTTTGTAGAAGCTGGAAGTTTAGCTGCCACTATTACATGCCTAGGCCTAATGGGACCAGGTAAGAGGACAAACTATTGCAAAACAGTTTGTCTTATTACTGGGAAATGGCGCCAGGGTACTCCTACAGTGGACTGTACATGGTTATGAAACTTGGGTAAACCTTTTTAGCAAATATGTATTTGTGAGGTAAATTTAAATGTAGAAATTGTGACTATCTCCTGTACTCATACAGAGTACTTCCGCACAGTCTGCTTCCACAGTCTGGGACTCTAGAGAGCTTTGGCCCCAGTCACTGAAGCTTGACTGGGGTCTCTCCAAAGCGCTTCCACCCTATCAGGCTGCAGCTCTCATCCCCTCTGCCTATTCATCTGCAGCTCTCCTTCCAGGGAGGTATTCGCCTCTAATGTGTTTGCCTACTGCCTTTACAAAGGCACCTGCTGTCCTCAGGCCTAGCTCTTTTTTACTTATTTATTTTTTTGCACTTGTCCAGGGCTAAATGCAGTCAGCCAACAGGGTTCCTTGAACAAATCCACACAGAACACACCAAATGTAACGAACATACATTCTTTATTGTGGACAAGGACTAGCCATTGTTGACTAGTTCTTAAGCACGTGGTGACCGACATTTAAAATTCCAATATATAGAACATTGGTGAACAAGCAATTAGAATTATATTAATACATGAACTAAATATAATTATAATTCATGAACTATATAATGCAAGTAACATTTTCTAAATGCAATAATATATACATGTATTTACACTTTTATTTAATTGCCCTAACTTGCATACCAGCATTGAACACACTTCCTTCCGTTCAGTCAGCAGAGGGCACTGCAGAGTTATCAAATAACAATGAAGAATAGTTGGTTTTTCAATTGCTACCATCACAATCCTCTTTCAGGGGCTCTAGGGACCAGGTCCATAGTCTGTTGGCTAGAGGCTGGTCTTCAGGCCTCTCCAAAAGGCCGTGATAAAGTCGTAATCTAAAGGGCGCTTCTGTCACAGAATTCATACCAATTTTTTGTTTTTTAGAAATATAGAAAAGATGAAACTTTTAAACCTTTTTCATTTGCAATGTTTGCCCTGGATTTGCCTAGTTAGAACTGGATTGTAGACTTAATTTGCAGAGGGGGGGACGGACGGACAGCTGTGTTTTAAAACCATGCACATTGCTGGTCTGGTGACTACTCCACAGTTATAGAGCACTCTGCTTTTATAACAAAATAATGGAACATTTCCTTAGCTGTCAAACTGCCAGGGGGGTTTGCTTCCTCATTCTACTTGCTGCTCACAAAACTCAGAACTGTGCGCATGGAGTCAGTGGCTTCTCAACGATTGCTTATTTCCCTGTGAAGACTGACCGTCTCTTCTGGGGGAGAGGAGGGCTTGCAAATGCTGCATTTCATAAGAACTGCAGCTCTTGTAAGATGCATGCATGCATTTATTTATTGGGGGATATCTACTAAACAGTAATTTTATATTTGCTTTCTGTGGAGTAGTCCTCTTTAGTTTTTGTTTGGAATCTGGACAGTTGCCAATTTCATTATGGGAATAACCGTTCCCTTTTAAGATTCTGCTAGCTTAGTCATTACTTGATTCATTTTGTATGTGAAATTTATGATGTGTTCCATTTTGAAAACCCAGGAAATCACGATATCATGATGTGCGGTCCCGTTATCGCAGTGATGGTGATATGCTGCATCGTCTGTTTGTCTGTATTTCAGGTGAGCAATCCTGTTTGTGTGTCTCCCCCACTGCCCCCCCCTTCCAACAAGCTCCTTGAAAGTTCTGATTCAGTGTGACTTATACAATCTTCCCGACAGGTGTTGCTGACCAATTACAGACCAACTTTGCAAATGACCTTCGTAATATTCTCAAGAGTGTGTTTGACGCTGTACGCTCCAAACAAGAGGATCAAGAAAGTGAGTCCTGTGTTTTTGTTTGGTAACCTACGTAATAACAGCAGAATATAGAACTGACTTACCAGATATAAGTAGTGACAGTGGGTGTATATGGTGAATGTAGTACTAACCAATAAACTGTTACTCCCCTACAAACCCATTGTCCTATTGTCTACCACCTGTCCTATATCCTCCTATCACATCCCCCTCCCCCTGCTTCATATCCACTCCTTCACCAACCCTCTTGGTCATATACACCTTTCAACAAGTCACATTTGCACATGCAATCATGCACACTACCATGGTTCATCATCCATCTAGTTTGGTATCGTATTGCCTACCACAACCGTCACATACAGGAGTGGAAAGGGGTCAAAGACTGTCCACAGTGCTCGAATAAAATCCCACTTGCAAATTACCAAAGTATAGTGTTACATATGGTGAGCTATCATATATAAAATCTAGAATGTGCAGTGGAGACTAGTGCTACTGGTTTAAGTTATGTAGAGAAGTCATAGAATGCTCAGTCCTATGATGAGTATATCTAGTGACTGAGTTAAGCTTTGGATTTTGTACATATGGGAATAGAGGATTAGTGTATGTGCACCCAGAGAAAATAGTATTTGTAAAATAAAATTTTAGATTCTTAATTTAACAAGAGATGCAAAATATAAATTTTTGCTCTGTGACACCTATGGAATAGTCCAAATGGAGTTACATGAGCTCAGTTGAAAAAGTGATCAATTGTTTTACAGTAAGACAAAATAAACTTGTTAATGTTGTCAATGTTACAAAAGCTGTGTCACTGATCAGGATGTGTTGAAAAATAAAAAAATTAAAAAAAAAAATGCATGTAGGGTAGCATAATCTGCCATGTAGTTCAGGTGGCTGAGCTAATTTTTTTCTCTTTTGTTATTGATGTATGACTGGGGGTTAATCTGGTTTTCATGGGGAAAACATGTGCTAAAGAGGGTTTTGCAGAACTTTAGTTCTCCCAGCTTAGATGGATTATAGCAGCAGATGTGTTTGCATATGACAGAATTTCCTATTTGGATGTAATGTGTCACTAAAGGCTGTTCTTTTGGGAAACGGATTTATTCTTGGTAATGGGAGGTATTCAAGATTTTGAAGTGCTAGATAATGGATTACAGTCCAATATAAATGTATATTATATATAATTTTTTTTTTTTTTTTTTGTAGAAACTGCAGAAGATGCATTCCATTTACCTAGCTGTGCACTTTGTCAGAACCAGGAACATCCAAACAGAGGAGCTGATCCTGGTATGTTCCAGAAATTCAGTAATCATTGTGCCCTAGATTCATATGTGGCAGGGTGCACACTGAACATAATCTGGGCCTTCTGGCAAGATGATTATCATGGAGATATTTAGTTGGTGTATGAAACATGCAAGTAATTGCAACAACTCTAGTTTAACTTACTAGAGGTAGAAAAATCTAGGCATACATTGGATGTTCATGTTTTCAGGAGATGTAACATGACTGGGGTGCAGGGAGCTGGATCCTTTTAATAAAATGGCTGCCATGAATGTGCTACGAGCCATGCTGGCTGTCCCTAAATATTGTTGGGGGGGTTCCCCTCCCCCCTTCTCAGCTATACAGTTTTGAAAATCCATTGTTTTGCCTAGTTCAATAGACTGAATGTAGCTGTCCTACATAAAAACCTAAAGTCTGCCCCTGATTGATTCACTCAATTTTTTTCGTAGCCTCTCCAGAGTGGGTCCCAGATAGTGCCTGCAACCAATGTACAACGTGCTGTGCGCCTTTCACTCTGCTGCGGAGGAGACATCACTGTCGCAGCTGTGGAAAGGCAAGTGTGTAGCTGTGTAGATCTATTTGTGTTGTTTGGTTTTTTTTAATAAGTGGGGCAGTCTCTCTGATCTTGAATTGTTAAAATCTTGTTTTTTTCCATCTTCTGCAGATTTTTTGTTCACGCTGCTCTGCATACACTACTTCTCTGCCACACCTACCAAACTCACAGCCTGTTCGAGTGTGCTCCCATTGCTTCCATGTGCACTGTCGATTTCAAAGCAGACATGTAGATGGGGCACGGTGCCAGGACTGATTTTTACGTACTGCAATTAATCTGGGACAGAACTGGTGTCTGCCTCACTTAAAACCTCTAGAACCAGCAAAAATTGCCAAAAAAGCAATTCCAGTTGATTTTACAGGAAACATATTTTTTAGTTTTTTTTTTTTTTTTTAACATTTCTTTTAAACCGTTTCTACCTTTTCTGAAATATAGGTGCCCTCAATATGCTGCATCATTTTTAAACTGGTTATTCTTGCATCTCTAAACTTGAATTTTATTTTTTTATTGTTTTATACACCTGATCCTTACTAATGTGTATTTGAAATTTAACAAACCTATTTTTAACAATTTCACTGCTAATGTCCAGTTGTATGTTTTGGTTTTTTTATGTTCTTTTTGGGGTGGTGGTGATCTATGCACTAAATTGTAGCCAAGAATGTGGTGATGTGTTAACATGCAGGCATTTTAAACTTTGTACTGCTATAAAAACTGCATTTTCAGTCAAAGGTGCGTCTCTTTGAGACAAATTTATTTAATTGCTGCTTTTCGACTATGGCAAAATTTAAATGTTTACATGGGTCTTTTGGTTTTTCTGGGGCACATTTTACATATTCTGGTCATTAATGCACATTCAATATATTTGCCATAGAGTATATTATCACCAATATGTTACCATAATATTAAATTTTACACTTTTTTTTTTTTTTTTTAAACATTGACACCTACACCACCCCACCACCACAGGGACAAAAGAATTTGACATTAAATTGGCAGATTTTTATTTATTTTTAGTTTTTTAAAAATACTTTTTCTTTTCTGGGTATTCATGTAATAGTTGCCAAAAATCAGACTTAATTTTTGAGACGCTTACTTGTGACATTTCAAATAACATGGTTTGAGTTTACATTTTATCTTGTATATTTTTGTAATATTAAAATAGAAACTACCTGAAGATATTTCATTAATGACTAATAATCAGAATTGGTAATCTTTGCAGAAGGGGAATATATAGAGAATATCCATGAGTTTTTTTTGTTTTTTTTTCAATTTAGTTTTTTTTAATACTTTGTATCTAAACTAGATTATAATCACGTGCATCTACTTCACATCTGGTGGCATGACGTGTCCTGTAATTCTAACTTCTAAACTTTTGAATTTCATTTCCATGTACTCTTTGTTTTGTATAGAATTTTATTTTGTATAGTAGAATAAAATGTTTTCCTTTTTTGTGTATTCTTTGATATTGACTCTCTGTCTCCTTTTTTTTTTTTTTCCTTCTTGACGTTGTGATGATACAGGGCTATATTAAAATCTATCCTGATCTTGGTACTGCTTCCAGGTCCTATACTTTCCTATGGAAAAACTGTAGGCTAGTGCCTGCCTTTGCAGATCACTTAAAGGCAGCTTCAATTGAGTTGCATGAAATGGAAGTAATCACGATTAACTAAAACTCAAAGAATCTATTCTACACCTCTTCAGCCATGCATATTAAGGGAAATTATTTTATCACAAGCTTCAATCTATAAGGAAGACCATAAAGGTTAATAGGACAGTAATTTCCCCCTTTCTGCTCAGCCCCTGTACGGAGTAGAGAATGGAAATTAGGCACCTGTCTTTGGCTACGAATTAAAGGGTTACTGTACTTTTTTTTTTTTTTTACTTTTTTTTTTTAAAGTAAGGTTTTGGGGGTAGGTCCCCTAACTAAGTTTTACATGCCGAGATTCCCATAGTAGACCTCTGTCCTCCATAGTACACCATGGCAGGTGTAGCGGTCCAATCACAGGCTTCTCATAGAAAATACCTTGATTGGACTGTTTCACTGGCTCAGAGCTCATGTGCATGCTGAGCCAGGGAGGAAGAGGGGAAACTCTACCTCTAGGGGTATATTGAACTATAACTTTATAATTAATTGATCTATTTCTTATTCTATTTTAGCACTGAATCTTTGCTTTCCTCTCCTCAAAAGAAGAAAAATCTGCCTCATTTACTGGATATAATGGAAAGGCAGAAAAGTGAAAGATTTATTCTCGGATTGCCTTCAGATGGCAGTATCAAACTCTCTACTTGTGAGATTTTGGCTTGCATAAGGAAGTAAGTTGCACAAATCATTTCAGAGCCATGAATGAGAGGAAGAAAGTGAAGAAATTTTCTAGACCGAGTGGATTCTTCAGAGGCTGATTATTCTGGCACAATCAGAATTTGAGTTAATCAGATAAATTCCAGTGAAGCTGACTAGTTCTTGTATCAATGGATGGGAAGAGGGTGGACAAATTAATTCATATGGTCAGCAAACCTTCGGAGATTCCAGAGTTAACCAAAGAAGAAGCCTCGGACATTTTCTGATCTTCACAAACAAAAGCTGAGAAGCATTTCCACTACATCGTCCCATTAAACAAATCTTATTGACTGAATGGAAATAAAATCTATTTTCAAGGAAAACTTGCACTATCCACTAGTAGATGATGCATCTAAACTCTGGACCGCGCCTCCCAAAGTGGGATGCTCCAGTTTCAAGAGTTTCTAGAGAATCTGTTTTACCACAGGATGGTTCTCTCATTAAGAGAACCTAAGGTCTATGCAGCAGCTGGTGCAACTGCAATAGTAGCATCCAGCAAATATACTTGACTGTCGTCTCCAGGGACATGAAGATATGGCTACACGAACTGGAAGTAGATCTAGAGAAAGGTGTAAAAATATTTGACCTCAGGGATTCTTTATGGCATCTAACAATGCTAGATATTTAGCATCCTTGTCTATTGTAAGGATCTTCTCAAACACAATGGTACTTTCACTTGGCATAAAAAAAGGCATTATGGCTGTGTTATTGGGGAGCTGATACTTCCTCCAAGTCTAACTTGTGCCTCTTAGAAGGATATCTATTATCTTGTAAAGTCTTAGAAGAATCTAGCAAGGGAGCTGTGGAAGGAATAATTATTCTTCACTATTTGGATGATTTACTTGACAGGATTTTTAGACTGCCTTAAGCCAGAGACCTGGTTTTGAAGGAGTTGCAACAGTTTCGGTGGTTAATATACTACACGAAGAGCAGTTTAATTCCAAACAGATGGATTTTTTTTTATTTTTTTTATTTTTTTAGGAGTTGCCTTCAACAGAATCTCACTTTCAAAGGAAAGAGTCATCTAAGTAAAAGCATGTTACCAGTTTCAGATCAGAAACTATTATATTGGCAAGAAGATACATGTGCCTACTGGGCATGCTAGTCTCTACAATAAATCTGGTGCAATGAGCATAGTGGCATTTATACTAAAATGCTCCTTCCTGATTCAATTAACTGGAAGGATTTGTCACAACTCCTTACACGCTCAGATATCACCTTCTATGATGGTTACAGCCAATGAACCTAAACAGATTTCAGTTGATGGAACCCAACTGGAAAATTGTTACCCGATTTCAAAAGGCTGGGGACCTCATTATCTAAATCACCCAGTCCAGGAAACATGATTGACTTCTCAGGAAGCCACTCTCCCTTGCAGCATCCTAGATTTTCGAGCGATTACCAAAGCTCTCCGCCATTTCAAAAACATTGTCTGGCACATAGGTATGAACCGCTCAGACAACCAGGAAGCAGTATCTTGCATAAACCACCAGCGTGGTACCTGCAGCCAGCTTCTGTTGAAGGAAATGGAGAAATGAATGAAGTGGGCTCAGAGATGGACTCTAGGTCTGTTGGCAATCCATCTACCAGGGAAGAAGAACAAAGTTTCAGACTTCCTCAGCAGAGTTACAATACAGAAACACACCAACTCAACCCACACTTATTCTACACTCTAATGAGATTATGGAGTTACTCCCAAATAGATTTGATGGCCAATGCTCACAACAATCAAGTGCAGGTTTACAGCTCCAAAACATTAAGAGAATAAAGGGCATCACAATTTTACATTTGTGGCCTCTAAAGTCCTGGTTCCCTATTGCATAGTGGATATGTTGGGAACTTCCAACCCCACCAGATCTATTGATCCAGGTCCCAGCATTACATTCAGACCCAAAGTCTCTTCAACTAATGCCATGGAGGTGGAGTGGGATCTCGGGTAAATCTAGGCATCCAAAATCCGTAATGCAAACCCTTTTAAGATCACGGAAACATGTCATCAACCTGTTACAGGATTTTGGAGGCCTTTGAAAAATGGGCTTCAACCAAGAATGCTGAAATAAACCCTCCTTCCTTGTTCTGAGTTTTCTCCAGTCACACAAGTGCTTTAGTTGTAACATGCTACAGGTACAAGTATGAGCCCTAATGGGAATGCACTGGGCCACTTATAATTAAATTTTAGGTTCATAAAGGCTGTAACAAAGATCAGTGTCTGTTACAGACGCTCTACAGACCAGTACTGGTTCTCTTTATTTTATGTTACCGAACGCCGTACCCTTGTTCTATAAACTCAATTACACGAACAATCAGGATCCTATATTCGCACATACGAAGTAAAACCACCCAGGCCCTGGCGTGTGCCGCCACTTAATCTTTTTCACCTTTCAAACAACCGAACGGCCGACCACCAGGAACTTGCGGTTTGCGGTTAACCACAAATGTAATTGATGGGTCCCAGGGTGGCCTCTTTCGTATACTACTTCTCCACACTCAAACTCCTGAACGAGGACCTCCCTGTACTCCGGCGTGTGTCCCCGATTAGAACGTTGAGGCTGCGGTTAACCGCAGATTAACTGCTTATTCAGAGCGGTCTGCGTTCGGTCCACAAAGGGCTGAGACAACCATCCCTGGAGCGGTATTCGTATCACAGACTACCCGTCCCTCGATCCAGGGGTTTTTGTGCCAGGTCCCACTCGCCTATTCCCCAACAGAAAACATGGCCGCCATCTTGTGTTCAGGACAAAGAAACACAAAGTCTTTGTATGCTAAATATTGGCTCTACCGTTCGTGAGGTCTGAGCGCTATTTGCACATCTGATGCGCTCAGACCTGAGCTATCTAATGAATGGTAGATTATAGGAGATGCATTATACAATGTTATAAATATGTATTTTTATGCTGTTTTGTATGTTCAAGTTACACGTGGGATTCTGGGCACTTGGAGATACAGATTTCAACGGTTAGGGCAATTCAATTATCTCAAAGTTGGGCGGTGACTATTTCAAATGATACAGTGTACTGTTATTGGTCAATTGTCTTTACGGTCCCTGTATCCCATCAGGTCCAGAGGGGGCTGTCCCTGGACCTGAGGTTTTTGCATAAGTAGCGATGTCCAGGTGCCATTAAAACCAGTTCTTGCTTGACTTTCAAATCGCAGCTTCGACTCGTTTTGTGGGGGAAAAGGATATCCTAGCTCTACTAGAAGTAGTGGGATTGCTCTACACTTACAGGATTCGTATGGACTAAACTACCAAAGCGGCGCTTCTATCTCTCTACACTGTGGATCCAGGCTATCCAAGCCGTCCAGCTTCCAGCTAGCCTGGGGGTAACCGTAACAGTGTCAATCACTCTCTCTATTCCAGAATGAGTAAGAACACATTCTACTCGGGCAGTTTCAGCTTCCAGGTGTCTAATACTTCAGCTGAAAGCATTTGTTACACAAAATATAAATGCATTTTCCCCTTTTCCAAATGGAGGAACAAAACGGTGGAGGAATTTCTTGGCACTGTTGGCCCTCACTATATCTGGGGAGGCATCCTTGAGCTGTGTTTCATGATCTATCTCTTCAGTGCAATTGAGTCATTTACTACTTTATTTGTTAAAGGGATCTTAAACTGTATTTTTTTATTTTTTTTTTTAATATATATAAAAAGATTGTATGCTAAAACCCCATGTAAGCTGATGCACTCAGCCAATCGTCATGGCCTGCAACTTGTTTTTCCATGTTTTATTCAGTTGGCAATTTGCAGAGAAGTGATGGGTGGGAACTCCACTGTAGAATATCAATTTGCTTACATTTAAACAAAACAAAAAAAAAAAGTTGCACTTATTTTCTCTCTCTATAGCGAATGTGTGAAATCTTGACCTGTGGCCACTACACGCTTTCCTCACTTCACAAAAACAGGGAGAGCTCAGTGCAGCTGTGACCTATATAATCAACCTGAGCTTAGCACAGTGGGTAAGGAACATAGTCACTGGAAGCATGTCATCTGATGTATATCAAACTGAATGAGCATACAGTGTACTTGTGTTTATGATGGTATCTTCATTGTGAATTTATGAGTGTTAAGAAATAAAAGATGTGCCTTATTATGGTCCCATTTCAGCGCTGTAGGATATCTTGACTTGAAAATTCGACTTATAGTAATTCTACATCACCAAACCAATATACATGTATAAACCGTGTGTTTAGTTTAATGGGGGTGTATATATATATATATATATATATATATATTCACAAAAATTATGAGCTGTAAGGCCTTCATTTTGCAGAAAAGTATGAAAAATAAAGGGGGGGAAATATTTGCAAGAGTGGTGCCAACCCTTACTGTTAAACTTCTAACTTATAAAAAGAGTAGAGGGGGGGAAAAATACCTTTTAGGTAAAGAGGAAAGTCAATAGAAGGGTTGTTGTGGGAAGTTGGAGTGAGCCTCTTCCCAGTGAGCCTCACATTTCCTTATAAGTTTCAAATATCTGCCATGTTTTAATAAAAGAAATGTTAGTCTGGCAAACCTGAGCAATCAATTTATCCATGAGATATGTATCCTTACACTCTCTCTGTCACGCTTGGGACCTCCACTTGTAGCCATGCTTGGCTCAACACAATGCTGGCTGCTCGGATAATTTTGTTAAAGTGCCATTGTTTACATGACAGGACCCCAGCCCAAGGATAACAAGAGTCCAAGGGTATACTATGGATTTACTAAATACTCTAGATAGCACCCCTGAATACCAATCCAAAATTGCTCCACCATAGGACAGAATCATCACATTATATATTTATATTTCAAACGGAAACACTAAGCCCTATACAGAGGTGTGGGAATTTAGAGAAAAAAAAAATAAAATAGTAGCCGATTCTACTTGTCCTGGCACACAAAATTAATTCAGATTAAGGGAACCTGCCTAGAATCCCTGACATGGACTGTTATTCATTAAACTCTAAAATTTATGGAAATTAAATTGGAATGGAAAAAGTGAGAGAGAGAGAAAAAAAGTTGATCGGGAAAAAACTTTCAAGACAGAAATAGTCACACCCTTTTGCAAAAGAATTTAAATTTAATGTGAGTTTAGTGAATAACCATGAGCGTGTACATGTATTGTTTGTCTGGTAATCCCGTGGTGGGTTAAAATTCCCAGGTTGTGCATTTGGGGTTAAAAGTGCCTGGTGGACCAGCGGAGAATGGGTCTGCACCTTGGGCACAATAATCGCTACCTCCGGGACCAGCACTCTGCTATTTTAGCAACTCCCAGTTACTTATTATGGACTCCCGTATTATAGGTCACATTAAAGAGGTTATTGGTGAGCAAAATGAAAACTTGTGTGTCCCATGTTGACATTTTATGAAAGAGCTGTTGGTAATGGTGTGGAATACTACAGTCCTGAGGATAGAAAGGAAGCCAACACCAATGGAAAGGCAATACTTTTTTAGTGACTTATTAAAAGGGCTTTTTGGGAGCATGTGAGACTCCCTACACAATTTCTTAACCACTGCCTACTGGAAAAACCCCCACAAGACTTGCCATTTTGGAGATGCCCTGATTCATCTAGCCATCTTTATTTGACCCTTGGCAAAGTCACTCATCTTTTCACTTGCCCATTTTTCCTTCCTCCAAACACATGAAATTCAAGAACTAACTGTTCACTAGCTACCCAACATACCCCACCCTTTGACAGGGGCCACTGTAATGATAGGTGAAATAAATAACATTTATTATATCAGTGGTGTTAACGTTGTGGCTGATTATTGTATGTGTATTCTTTACCACAATGTAAGTGACAGTGATAAAAGACCAACATGGTTATTCACTAAACTCTGAACTGTAGCAAACTGATATCTGAATGTCAATAATGTAGAATCTATACATTTGATAAGTTGTTTTTAATGTATTTACATTACAATGGCCTTTGTTAATTTTGCCATGGTACATAAGGTTTGCAAAGTTACTGAAAAAGCTGATCACTAACATTTTCTTCAGATAAGTGATATTTAGATTTTTAGCTCAGCTCTATGATCCTATGTCACATTTAATTTCATTATGGTAAGGCGTATGGTGTTTTGCAGAAAGATTTTATTTTTCAATGCATCAAGAGTAAATGTTTTTACCACTACACTGGGCATTTCAGCCTATATGGCAGCTCCACTGTTTAAAGTAGGGGTCCTCAACCTACTCCATCTACTGAATAGACTACTCATGGGCTATACAATAGACAACTCCTATACAATACATTAGCAGTGAAAGTAATGAATGATTCAGTTAATGAGAACACAGGCTCAAAGATTTTTGTTCTCTTTTTTTCTAATTCAATGTTAGGAACTATGACAATCAGTTTTTAGCTGCATCAAATTGACAAATATTTTCTTTTCAACATACTTTTGGTAAAAAGGAGAGACACAATCAAATTTGATTTTCAAGTCTGAGTCACATTGGAGATTTCCATTTGGATGTCCCCTAGATTCTCCAATACACACATAAAGATACCACGCTCAAGGTACTTTCCTGAGTGACGAAATTGTGAAAGCTGTGTATTCCGCAGAATGCAATTTCAACAAGCTTTACAAAAGTGTTAATTTCTGGTGTAGAAGTTCTAGTTTGGCCCCAGTGTAATATTTTTGGATACATTTTTCTAATTATTTAAATGTTTTGGATAAACTCTACAAAATATATTTTCAAATTAAAATAGCAAAAATGAAAGATATATAAAAAATATTCAATCACTACACTGGGGTCTAAATTTTAAAAGCTTTGATGTGATTAACCAAGACATGAACCAGATGGTCTTTTAAATTAAGCTTCATATGTAAGTCATTCAATTGAAAATAAGTGTCTGTAAGGGCAACAAAGCTGGTTAGCATATAATTGATGATTAAGTGGCCTAAAGTAGGACTTTTTCCCCCCCGTCATAGGAAACTGGAGCCTCACTATCATGGATAAGTTTGTTGATCCACACTCATAAGGAATCCCCAAAAATACATCAGGAAGAAATCATAGGGAAAAAAAAAAATAAAATGCACATTTATTGAAGTCAAAACAGAAAATGTACCCAGAGTGGTGCTAAACACGTCCAGGGCATCTCTACTCCTTCTTTAGGGTCGGTTTCTTTGGTGGTCTCCCCCTGTACAGCAGCTGTGGGTGGTCCTATGCTCCGGTTTTAGACATTTTATGCTTTGTTCACTCACAATTTTTTTTTAATTTCATTTTTCACATGCTTGGACCAATACAGCATACATGAGGACTGCTGTTCTAGTATCTTGCCTTTTGTGTATTTTTGTTTTAACGTCAATAAATGTGCATTTTTTTTCTGTGATTTCTTCCGGATGTATTTATGGGGATGTACTGTGTGAAGTGTCATTTGATAGGTGGGAGGATTCCAGCACCAAGAAAGGAACCCTGTTATTGCACCTATTGAACTGCTATAAGTATGATGAAACCCAGTATATCGATGCTTATTTAATTTTGAAGTTGCGGCTACATGTTTTGTGAGCGAGGGATTTTCTTCACTTACTTTTCTGCTTTTTTTTTAAAACACTATTATGGACCCTTCAAGATTGAAGTTGCTATCAGTAAATCTTCATATGTTCATCCACATTGCTGACTAAAGACATTGAGAGGCAACCCGGGTCAGATCACTCCACTGCCTTATCCTATCATCAACAGGTCTAAGAAATACAAAGCCACCTTGAGAGCAATGATTGCTTTGAAAAGCTGGAACATTGGCCAACCATTTTTTCTGCTGTCAACTCTGAAGATATTATATCCAGATATACATACAAAATTACTTTCGGAACGTGTATGTGTTCTGATATGTGATAATTGCTACTGTATGATACACATATGTATCCAAGTACTTTTCTCTTTGATATCATGTAACCATTATATTGAAAATATATATTTTTATTTTATTGTATTTGGCATGTAATGAGACATTTATCTCCCACATTTATACCAGATCATTAACTGCTCCTGCCCCGTTTCATACCATTAGTTAATTCTCAAAATCCACCCCTAAACCAGCAGCTACAAGTCATTTTTCCTTCAAGAACCCCACTTCCCTCCTTCTCTGTTAAATATCTCAACAGAGGCCGAGGGACAGTTTTGTACTCCTACCACTAGTGTTCCTTTTAACTCCTATTTTAATGAATAACGCTGAAAGAAAAACATTCCTCAGCCTCGTTTATATTTTTACTACCTCTGCTGTCTCCCCAGTTCATCTCCCCTGCCATATTTCTTCAATTAATCACCCCTTAGCAACAGCTACAAAATGTTACTAGTCACAGCTGCTAGCACGTCTCCTGAGACGACACCCTCCACCAAGTTTGTCCCCCTACATATTCCCACATCCCTAAGCTTATGAACCTACACCCACTCCTCCCAGGTCATGTTCCAAAAACAACCCCTAGTTCTGTTCCCTGAAGTCATAACATTCCCAGCTACATCTTCTAGCTCTACATTAAGTCACATCGTCTCTGGGTCATCTCACCCAAGGATAGTATTTTATTATTTATATAGCGCCATCAGATTCCACAGCACTGTTCAATGGGTACAGCCTTTTTCCTCTGCCTACATCTTCCACACACACTACCAACATTCCAAATGGACAAACAGACATTTTAAATGACTTACTAACTGTAGTAGACGTGGGTATATCATTTTGAGAAGGTATATGAATCCGACAGAAAACAGTTACAGGCATACCCCACTTTACATACACTCACTTTAAAGTACACTGGCGAGTAAACGTAAAGATGCCTTGCGAGTACAGACATTCCCACGCCTCTTCTGTCTGCGAGTGAAGAGGAAATTGAAGGTTCTATTCTTGCCCTAAGCACCTCAGTTCAGTGTTTTTGGGGCAAGAACTATTCACAACTTCTAACATGGCACAGTTTAAATGACCACTATAGTGCCAAGAAAACACTCGTTTTCCTGGCACTATAGTGCCCTGAGGGTGCCCCCATAGTGCCAAGAAAACACTCGTTTTCCTGGCACTATAGTGCCCTGAGGGTGCCCCCACCCGGCTCTGGAAAGGGGTTAGGGGTTTAAACTTACCTTTTTCCCCCGGAGAGCTTGCTTCCTCCGCTCCCGTCGGCTGAATGCGGCTGCGCAACGCAACATAGGAAAGCATTCATAATGCTTTCCTATGGACGCTGGCGTGCTCTCACTGTGAAAATCACAGTGAGAAGCACGCAAGCGCCTCTAGTGGCTGTCAATGAGACAGCCACTAGAGGCTTCTTAGCCGAAAATCACATTAGGAAAGCATTTACAATGCTTTCCTATGGACGCTGGCGTGCTCTCACTGTGAAAATCACAGTGAGAAGCACGCAAGCGCCTCTAGTGGCTGTCAATGAGACAGCCACTAGAGGCTTTGGGGGAAGGCTTAACCCATTAATAAACATAGCAGTTTCTCTGAAACTGCTATGTTTATTTAAAAAATGGGTTTACCCTATCTGGACCTGGCACCCAGACCACTTCATTAAGCTGAAGTGGTCTGGGTGCCTAGAGTGGTCCTTTAATCCTCTCAAATTTATAATGGCTACTCATAGCTAAAAAAAAAAAAAAATATATATTTTTTTCTGTCCATACATTGTCCATATTCTGCAATCGGCTGTCATTTAGTGAAATGGTTTACCCTGCCATTTTCTATGACTAAGCAGCATTATCCACAACTCTGAGGTTTTAAAGTTAAACCATACATCCTTAAAGTGATGAAGAGGTGTTTCTAAACAAAGTGTGCAACTAAGCTGCAAACAAATAGGCACTGTATGGGCAGAAAATGGCTCAGTGGGTAGGTTTATTTTACTTTTCCTCTCAGTTTAAGGTTATCAGATGAGTAAAACATTAAAGATAAATGGTACAATCTTGAATGAGATTTTTCTTTTTACTCGTGTTAACTGAATAAAAGCCCACTGGAAATCTGCAGTTGCAGTATCAGGTATGCCTGTAAATAACTATTACAATGCAGTACATGCATTGGGAAGTGAAAAAAGGTATTGCTTCACTTTAAGTACATTTTTTGTTTTACATACATGCTTTGGTCCCATTGTGTACTTAAATTCGGGTATGCCTGTATGTAAGAGAGACATCACATGATGCTGTCTGTTGTGGAAGCCTTGTCTTACCGGTGTGTGGGTGTGTGAGTCTGAGGTAACAAAAACAGCCATGAAACTGTCCTGTCAAAAAACACAAAAACTGTGACAAATACCTCGTCCCAGCCAGACGAATAACAAGATGTTGAGTAATCTAGTCTTCCAGTTGTGAAAATCATAACTCATTGTTATATAAACATTTCTCCAGTATTAAGATTTTACTTTTTTCTGTATTAATATTCGCCAAACAACACGCCGCGACTGAAGTGAGTTTTTCCTAATAAAGAAATCCTGTCGGGAAGAGACATTTGTTTTATTCATAAAAGAAATACAGCATACAAAACATTGTCAAAACACAACATTAACCAACCATTCTCGAAAACTCGTAAAATGTAATTTATAAGAACAATGGGTCTTATTTACACACTGATTCTGTACACATTTATTGCAGTTTAAAGACACATTACTGGGAGTATTATTATTATTATTATATTGCAGTTTAAAGACACATTACTGTGAGAATTATTATTATATTGCAGTTTAGAGACACATTACTGGGAGTATTATTATTATTATTATTATTATTATATTGCAGTTTAAAGACACATTACTGGGAGTATTATTATTATTATTATATTGCAGTTTAGAGACATTACTGGGAGTATTATTATATTGCAGTTTAGACACACATTACTGGGAGTATTATTATATTGCAGTTTAGAGACACATTACTGGGAGTATTATTATTATTATATTGCAGTTTAGAGACACATTACTGGGAGTATTATTATTATTATATTGCAGTTTAGAGACACATTACTGGGAGTATTATTATTATATTGCAGTTTAAAGACACATTACTGGGAGTATTATTATTATATTGCAGTTTAAAGACACATTACTGGGAGTATTATTATTATATTGCAGTTTAAAGACACATTACTGGGAGTATTATTATTATATTGCAGTTTAAAGACACATTACTGGGAGTATTATTATTATTATATTGCAGTTTAGAGACACATTACTGGGAGTATTATTATTATTATATTGCAGTTTAAAGACACATTACTGGGAGTATTATTATTATTATATTGCAGTTTAAAGACACATTACTGGGAGTATTATTATTATTATATTGCAGTTTAGAGACACATTACTGGGAGTATTATTATTATTATATTGCAGTTTAGAGACACATTACTGGGAGTATTATTATTATATTGCAGTTTAGAGACATTACTGGGAGTATTATTATTATATTGCAGTTTAGAGACACATTACTGGGAGTATTATTATTATATTGCAGTTTAAAGACACATTACTGTGAGAATTATTATTATATTGCAGTTTAGAGACACATTACTGGGAGTATTATTATAATATTGCAGTTTAGAGACACATTACTGGGAGTATTATTATATTGCAGTTTAAAGACACATTACTGGGATTATTATTATTATTATTATTATTATTATTATTATATTGCAGTTTAGAGACACATTACTGGGAGTATTATTATAATATTGCAGTTTAGAGACACATTACTGGGAGTATTATTATTATATTGCAGTTTAAAGACACATTACTGGGAGTATTATTATATTGCAGTTTAGAGACACATTACTGGGAGTATTATTATTATTATATTGCAGTTTAGAGACACATTACTGGGAGTATTATTATTATATTGCAGTTTAGAGACATTACTGGGAGTATTATTATTATATTGCAGTTTAGAGACACATTACTGGGAGTATTATTATTATATTGCAGTTTAAAGACACATTACTGTGAGAATTATTATTATATTGCAGTTTAGAGACACATTACTGGGAGTATTATTATAATATTGCAGTTTAGAGACACATTACTGGGAGTATTATTATTATATTGCAGTTTAAGACACATTACACATGGGAGTATTATTATTATATTGCAGTTTAAAGACACATTACTGGGATTATTATTATTATTATTATTATATTGCAGTTTAGAGACACATTACTGGGAGTATTATTATAATATTGCAGTTTAAGACACATTACTGGGAGTATTATTATTATATTGCAGTTTAAAGACACATTACTGTGAGAATTATTATTATATTGCAGTTTAGAGACACATTACTGGGAGTATTATTATAATATTGCAGTTTAGAGACACATTACTGGGAGTATTATTATATTGCAGTTTAAAGACACATTACTGGGATTATTATTATTATTATTATTATTATTATTATTATATTGCAGTTTAGAGACACATTACTGGGAGTATTATTATAATATTGCAGTTTAGAGACACATTACTGGGAGTATTATTATTATATTGCAGTTTAAAGACACATTACTGGGATTATTATTATTATTATTATATTGCAGTTTAGAGACACATTACTGGGAGTATTATTATTATTATTATATTGCAGTTTAGAGACACATTACTGGGAGTATTAATTATTATTATTATTATTATATTGCAGTTTAGAGACACATTACTGGGAGTATTATTATTATTATATTGCAGTTTAAAGACATTACTGGGAGTATTATTATTATTATATTGCAGTTTAAAGACATTACTGGGAGTATTATTATTATTATATTGCAGTTTAGAGACACATTACTGGGAGTATTATTATTATAATATTGCAGTTTAGAGACACATTACTGGGAGTATTATTATAATATTGCAGTTTAGAGACACATTACAGTGAGTATTATTATTATATTGCAGTTTAGAGACACATTACTGGGAGTATTATTATTATTATTATTATTATTATTATTATTGCTGTGGAGCTCTGTTATGCACACAGACACACCAACAACATGGAGCTCCCAGAAAAGAGGGACAGAGGGACTTGTGCCCAGAGTAGGGTCCCTTGGCAGCTATGCACGCCCTCTGAGCGGTGACCGCTGTCAGTGGTTGTAGTGGAAAGCAGCGGGAGAATGACATCATGTCGCCGCCTATAGCGGGCACTTACCGCTAGGACCCCCTGATGGTTCGGGTGTTTCCATGGTGACAGCGCTCGCGGAATGCCCGGGCTCCCCGCGCTGCCTTTATTGTGCTTTTGAATTTTTGAAATCCCCGGCACTTCCCGCCCGAATTTGTTGCCATCAAACATGACGTACCCTGAACCTGGCCCCGCCCACTCGCGGGGTCAGCCAATCACCAACTGCCCCTTGGTCACCCCGCCCGTTTCAGGAAGCTGTTCTGTTGACGGTTGGTCGGTGGGTCCCCGGTTTGTCGTGCTCGCGGGAGAGCGGTGTGCGGTGTGAGGGGCGGCGAGGCGGGTGACTCGGAGCGGGGGGGCGGCGGTGACCGGCTGTGTCTGTGAGGGGGACTCGGGGGGAGGACGTGTTTGGGGGCGTGGCCGGGCGAGGGGCGTGGCCGGAGCTGAGGTTGTTGCTGTCGCTCGGTGTCACTTTCATTGTATTATAAACAGTATCCGGAGCCGCGGCCTGACAGCGGGACACCGACACCGGGATACCGATACTGACACACCGACACTGATACCGGGATACCGATACTGACACCGCCTCCTCCAGCATCACCGTAATCAAAAACAGCCCTGCCTGGAGCCCCCCAATAACCCGGGATAGCTTGTGACAGCCCTGCCTGGAGCCCCCCAATAACCCGGGATAGCTTGTGACAGCCCTGCCTGGAGCCCCCCAATAACCCGGGATAGCTTGTGACAGCCCTGCCTGGAGCCCCCCAGTAACCCGGGATAGCTTGTGACAGCCCTGCCTGGAGCCCCCCAATCACCCGGGATAGCTTGTGACAGCCCTGCCTGGAGCCCCCCAATAACCCGGGATAGCTTGTGACAGCCCTGCACATCCAGTGAACCCTCTCCATTACTGAGACCTCAAACATGGAGCAGCTGCACAGCAACCTCCAGGTCCTGCTCCAAGCAGCAGAGTATGTGGAGCGGAGAGAGAGAGGTGAGATCTACTCTACTCCACATATTGATCCTTTTGCCCCCCCTCCTACTGATCCTCTTGCCCCCCCCTCCTCTCCTCTTGCCCCCCCCTCCCTGCAGTCCTCTTGCCCCCCCCCCCCCTACTGATCCTCTTGCCCCCCCCCACCCTGCAGTCTCTTGCCCCCCCCTCCTGCTAGTCTCTTGCCCCCCCCCCCTCCCTACTGATCAATCTCCCTACCACCCTCTTGCCCTCTCCTACTGATCCTCTTGCCCCCCCCCCTCCTGCCCCAGTCCTCTTGCCGATCCTCACCCCCTCCTGCCGATCCTCTTGCCCCCCCCTCCTACTGATCCTCTGCCCCCCCCTCCTGCAGTCCTCTTGCCCCCCTCCTACTGATCCTCTTGCCCCCCCCTCCCTGCCCTCTTGCCCCTCCTGCTGATCCTCTTGCCGCCCCCCCCTCCTGATCCTCTTGCCCCCCCCCTCCCTGCTGATCCTCTTGCCGCCCCCTCTACTGATCCTCTTGCCCCCCCCTACTGATCCTCTTGCATCTGAGTCCTGCCTCCCTGATCCTCTACTGATCCTCTTGCCTACTGATCCTCTTGCCCCCCCCCTCCTCCTACTGATCCCCTTGCCCCTCCTCCTACTCCCCTTGCTCCTACTGCTGAACCTCTGCTGAGTGCTCTTAAAGCCCCCCCCTTACTGATGCTCTTGATGCCCTCCTACTGATGCTCTTGCGCCCCCCCCTACTGATGCTCTTGTACCTTCCACCCACTTTTGCTGCTCCTCGTGCACCCCCATCTGCTCCTCTTGCAATCCCCCATCCCCTTCTACCTCTTCTCTTGCACTTACTGCTCCTTGTGCACCCTACTCCACATACTTCTATTCTTGGCCCCCCATCCCCTCCTACTGCTCCTCGTGCACACCCCCATCCCCTCCTACTGCGCCTCGTGCACCCCCATCTGCTCCTCCTGCAATCCCCCATCCCCTTCTACCCCTTCTCTTGCACTCCCCCATCCCCTCCTAATGCTCCACTTGCACCCCCCATCCTCCCCTACTGCTTCTCTTGCACCCCCCATTCCCCCTACTACTCCTCTTGTATTCTCCGGCCCCACATACGGCCCCTCTCCTCTTCTGTAACTCACACTGGGGCATAAATTTAAAACACTCAGGCTCTGCTTCCCTATAAATCTCTGCATGTCCCTCCTATCCCCATGTTCCTGGGCTGAAGCCTCTCTCTAAAAGCAAAACCATGACTTTTGATTTCCTTTAATGGAAGATGTAATGTCTATAGCCAATTAGGTTAGAGCAAGTTCAGGATTTTATTGCTTACTAGAACTGGGTTCTTTATTAAAGTTAAATAGCCAGACCTTAAAATTGAATTTCAAATCTTAGGCCACAATAGCCAAATCGGTTAAAAATCTCCTAGTTCGTTATGTCTTTAGTTCTGTTGTTTTGGCCTAAAATTTGAAATTCACTCGAAATACAAAATCGAAATAACGTTGGTGGGAAAAAAAAACTGAATATTGTGACCATCTGTCATATCATTGCTGCTGTCAGCGATCCATACAGTTAGTCAGGCCAACTGCTGTCTGTGGATTACACAGGAAGTACAGCAACACTGGAGGAAGGGTCATTAATTGGTACTAAAACCCATAATATCCTTTCAACTAGTCGCTATGTCTATTACAGCATTTTAATGCTAAAATATATTTATTTCATAATTCCCTTTTACTGTTTCAATGTGATCCCTTGAGCGTTGGTTATTGTTTTGTTGGTTATTGTTTAGTTCTGAGGCTTGTTGCCTTCATATTATCCTTTGCTCTTTCCTACCAAGTCTCTTTTCTTGCCTTCAGTATGCTTTGTTTATTTCTTTGTTTGCTATTCCTGTGTCTTTTCTGTACCCCAGCGATATCATATCCTTAAGGGCCCAGTGTTTTTTTCATAGCTTCCATTTTTTTAGTTTGCAACCTAACCTGTTATAACCTGTTTATAAACAACCTCATTACGCCTTCCTTGTACTTCTTTCACTTTACTATTGTTCATTCTTCTGTGCCTTTCCTGTCTGTTATCACTGTCTTACATTCCTCTTCACCCTACTACATTTTCATAATTTGAACCTATTTTTTTTAGGCTCTGCCTCGTGAAGCATTGGTACCTATACCATATATTTCCTCTATGTCTCCCTATTTCTTTTTCCATATTTGTTCTCTGGGTTTTAGTGGAGTTATCAACACATTGTTAATTAATGATCTTTGATTTCTTTAACAAGGTACTGAATAATGCTTACCTTTCAGAAGCTGAACATGGATATGCTTCTATTCTACCATGTGACGCCTCTACTCCTGGGAGAAGGAAACGGCAGAGGACCAACAGCAGTCCAGATAGTGTCAGGTAAGCTAGAAAACATGGAGTCAGTGAGTGAAATCAATCAAGAACACTTACTGAAACTGTAAAGTTTTTTAAAAACGTATTAAAGCCTTTATACGGTTTAATTATATTAAATGATGCCAAAATCAAGATAGGAATTTAATTCAAACTTATAAAACATGCATTAACACTCCTGTCATATCATTTGGGTTTGTTTTTTAATCTTGCTTCAGGTGTACTTGGAAGAGCTGTACGTCGGTGGCATAATAAAAATTAAATAGAAATGGTTGGAGGGGGAGGGATTTAAATGTGATAATTATTTTGCTTAAAAAAAACAAACAAGAAACTTACGCAAGGTAGGAAGTACAAGGAAATTTGCTTGCTTTGCAGAAGTCTCTGAGCTATACGAAGTTCGATATGCCTCATCTTTCCCTCTTGACCTGGTGTGTGTCTCCAAAAATCACAGTTTTTGTGTGATCTAGTTTGTGTGTTTTACTGCTTAATATGTTGCTGTAAGATTATATTAATTTTTTTCTTTTAATTAATCTGCAGGTCTGTCCACAACGAGCTAGAGAAACACAGGTGAGTGTGACACAGGCAGAGTGTTATTGAAACTTTTCATGGGCAGATTTTAAAATTTGGGGTTTATTTATAAAGGGAATTTTTGGGAAACTTCAAATGGATTAGCCCACTTTGTAAAAATATTTCCCAAAAATTGCTCTTTATCACAAATTTTTTATTTTATTTTTTACATCTGCCTACCACCTCTGAAAAGTACAGAGTGCTAGGAAGAAACTGTTCTGAACACATTACCCGGTGGGCTACAATCTATTTTTACTGCAGATTCCACTGGTTTCAGCATCTTTTAAAAGATCTCTTGTCAAGCTCAGTGACAAATCTTAACTCTTTTTGAGACTTGTTTGGAGCCTAGATTTAAGTCCAGTTGCTTGGGGAACTCAGAATATACTAATAAATTTACCCAAGTGTCAGATACTAAGGGAATTATGTATATGAAAGGTATACTATAGTGCCAGGAATACAAAGCTGTATAAAAACCCTTTATTTACTTACCCGATACCAGCGCCAATGTCCCTCGTTGCTGGGTCGTGGCACCGCCTCCTCAGACGTTGCTCAACAAGGGGGGCGCTAATGCGCATGCGCGGTAAGTGCAGCATGCCCAGTAAGTGCCACATGCCCACTATGCATCCCCGTATCACAGCATTGAATCAATGCTTTTCTATGGGGAAATAGAACAGACCTTTGCTGATGCTGGATGTTCTCATGCAGAGCATGAGGACGTCCAGTGGCCGTTACTGGACCAAAGGTCTGTTAACATCCAGTAAGCGTCTCTGGTGACTGTCTGGTAGACAGCCTCTGGAGGCAGACTTGGTGCTGCAATATAAATATTGCAGTTTCTCTGGAACTGCAAAGTTTTACATTGCAGCATTAAGTGCAACAGGGACACTGTACCCAGACCACTTCAATTAGCTGAAGTGGTCTGGGTGCCTATAGTGTCCCTTGAAGCATTTATGGGGCAATATTCTGAAAGTTGTTCTGTCCAAACAGAATGATCCTGCTTATTACTCCACTCCCCTGAAGTTATCGTTCTTCCACTGACAGTTATGTATGCTGTTATTTAGATTTAAAGGGGCACTCAAAGCAACATAACCTCTTCGTCTAGCTAACTTAATTCCACCAGTGTCACCCAACATCTGCCCAATTTGGATTAAACTGATTGATAGATAATATGGACCTGCTGGTTATGAGGTGCTTTCCGGCCATTGGAAAAGCCTCCATTTATGTTGATCCACTCCTAAATATTAAACCAGGGAGTGGCAACACAACATTTTAGGCAGTCCAGCCAACACAGTGATTTGTAGTGCATATACTGCTTATAGTGCAGGTTGAGTATTTTAACACTGAAAGGACCACTATAGTGCCAGGAAAACAAACTAGTTTTCCTGGCACTATAGTGCCGTGAGGGTTCCGGCCACCCTCAGGGTCCCACTCCTGTGGAGCTGAAGTGGGAGGAAGGGGTTAATCCCTTACCTTTTTTCCAGTGCCGGGCTCCCTCGGCGTTGGGACTCTTCTTCCGTCTTCGGTGCGCGCATTCAGCCAGTCCATAGGAAAGCATTCTCAATGCTTTCCTATGGACGCTGGCGTCTTCTCACTGTGAAAATCACAGTGAGAAGCGCGGAAGCGTCTCTAGCGGCTGTCAATGAGGCTGGATTAACCCATAGGTAAACATAGCAGTTTCTCTGAAACTGCTATGTTTACAGCAAAAAGGGTTAAACCTAGCTGGACCTGGCACCCAGACCACTTCATTAAGCTGAAGTGGTCTGGGTGCCTATAGTGGTCCTTTAATTTTAGGAATACAGTTTGCAGTTTGTAGTAAATACAGACGTGCTTTACTAGACAGACTAGGCTTCTACTTAGGGGAATCTGCATGTAAGGATAATTTGGGGTTCAAAGTAATATCTCAAATGGTTTTAGCTTTTTAAGATGCTTTGTTTTAAAGTCCTTCGTTTACTGTGTTTAGCTTGATGTTTCTTCCATATCTTTTAAAAATAAAAGAAAATTTTAAAAAATAATAATCTTTTTCTGCCTGGGTCTCATGGCTTTCTCTAACTTGTTGAGTTTTTATTAATTAATCTATTTATATATTTATTTTGTTGCTGTACCCTTTAAGAACAGATTTTTATGGGAAATATATGGTGATCACCCTGTAGTGAAGCATTGTGGAGTGTTTACATTAAAAAAAAAATTTAGTGGATTTAAATAGTTTAGTAATATTGTATTTTTTTTTTTTTACCCTTTTCTTAGATTATATGGCACTTTGTGTTAGAGTTCACCTCTAAACCACAGAACATACTTTAATGGAACACTATAGGGTCAGGAACACAACCGTGTATGCCTGACCGTATAGTGTTAAAACCACCATTTATGTGGCTTGCCCCCTTAATAGGTAATAAAACGCCGACTTGGCCAAGCAGCTCCTTCTCATAGAGATGCATTGAATCAATTAATCTGTTTGAGGAAAGCTCCGCGTCTCCATGCAGAGCATAGGGATGCTCAGTGGCAGTGCTGCAAACTGTGACGCACTGCCCCAGGAAGCACCTCCAGTGGCCATTTGAGAAGTGTCCACTGGAAGTGTCCCTTGGCTGTAATGTAAACACTGCATTTTCTCTGAAAAGACAGTGTTTACATGAAAATGCCTGAAGGGAATGATTATACTCACCAGAACAACTACATTAAACTGTAGTTGTTCTGTTGACTATAGGGTCCCTTTAAAGACATTCTAGTATAACTTATACTATATTGTAATTATTTGTTTTTCAGTTGTAGAAATCTAGTTAGATGTTTGTCACTAATATTTTTTGTTCTGTTGTGTGTCGTATTTTTTTTTCTTTATAATATAAAATAAGAATACGGTACATATTTGATGGAAAGTAGCTAGAATTCTTTGAACTTGAATTCTGGATACAGTTTTACAGGGAAAGGGGAAGGAAACTTCTGCAAAATCTTGATGTTACTCCAGGGCTTGTTTTCAATAAAGGAAATATATCCTTCCATAATGGAGCAACTCCACATAATGCCATTCAACCTTTTGTAAATTAAATTCAAAGTTTGCATTTTTTTTTTTTTTTTTTATTATTAATACTGGATTGTTCTTCATATGTACAATAATGTTTTTTGATTGGATTTGATGGTTCTATGTTTTTGTTTTGTTTGTTTTTTTAATAGTTTCTATATTTAATAGAGGCAGTTCTTGCTAAATCTATTATTCAAAGTGCAAATAAGGAAATGACTGGTAAAATCCCTTTTCTCTCCTGCCTCAGGCTGGCGATACTGGTAGGTTCAAACCTACAAAACATTGTATGCAGTATTGTTTTTCTATATAATAGTATAAATTATGTTATCAGGACAGCAAATGAAAGGGCTACTTACTATAAATGTAACCATACTCCTCTCAAACACATACAATAACATATATTCCATTAAAACAATGTTTATGGCAAGAGCAATTACACCTGCCTTTATCAGGTGTGGACTTGTAATATGCCCGCTGTGATCAGTGGTTTGGTTTTCTCTTGCAACACTCATTGCTTTTGATGGTAACATTCATTGCTTTTTTTGATGGTAAGCCTTACTATTTTATATTATTATTATTATTATTATTATTATTATTACATTTTTTTTATTTTTTATTTATTTTATTTTTTTTAGACATTCAATGACTAAAAAAAGGGCTACAGTTGAGGATTGAGTTTAAAACCCTGTTCATAGTCCGAACATCTCTTTTGTTTTCACTTTCCCTGTGTGCAACAGTCTAGCAATATGTATGTTAATGTTACCTGCACGCAGTTTCTGCCTTTTTGTTTTATTTCTGTAAAACTGTATTTTTCCAACTGCACTCCATGAACATATTGTTTAACATAAATTGTGACAGGAGGTAAAAGAACCCATTTATCCTGTCCTTTGTTTTTTTGGTTTTTTTTTTAAATGTCTTATTTGTTCTTCAGGTTAGGTTTCTACAGAACCCAAGAATCCTTGAACTTATTTTCTCGCTTCCTGATTAGTATTCAGTTTGTGCTAGTAAAAACCATCTACTACTAGCGTATCAACAAAAGTTGCATATTCATACATTATCCATCATTCTTCCTCTCTCCAAATTCAATTCCTTACTCCTTTGCTTTTGAACTCTCCAATTAGTAAAACTGTTGCCTTGAAGCCTTTTTTATGGCATACATTTTGTTTATAACATCCGTTGTTACGGTTTTTCAGTTAAACAAGAAAAGGAATTATTCACAAATCGTTAAGGTAGCAATATAACCTCATGTCTATTGATAGAGTAACATAAACAAATGAGCGTTTTTTTTAAAGGAAATAGCAGTTTGATTCAGCAAGCAGAAGTAGTGATCTATGAAGAATGCACAAAGGCACATGAGATTGTTAAAATAGAAGTTTCAAAGCCCGAACTCTGTAACAGTGGTGCTTCCTACCCAGAGCTACTCCAATCTGGTGCTGTTTCATATCCACTAATGCAAAGCACAGGGCAGAAACGTTCCTTTCATTTTTATTGTGATTGGGCCCACTTTCAGAGCTTTGATGTAGAATTGTTCATCGCTCGTGATACTTAATGTTTCACAATGAGTATATGTTTATTTTTACATTTTGTTAAGCGGCATTAGGAGTAATACTGTGAAATGTCTACAGAACTATACTTGGTATATTCAATTTTGATTTAGATTTTTTGCATGTTCGTGTCACCTCTGTTGCCTTGTGGATTTTATTATATGTATATTAAGTCCTTAAGGCTTATAGCAAATTGACGTAACCGAAAAAAAAAATAATCAAATTTCCTGGCTATTATAGGGCATGTGGTTATTTATTCTAACACAAACTAGGATTCCTGTAAATTAATCTTTTAATTTATGTAATCTTTATAAAACAAGATGGTCATTAGTATTATTTAAGCACCTTTATCTGGGATGGTGACATTTTCTTGTTACATTTTGGATCTTGGTGCCAAACATTTTTTTCATACACACCCCATAATTTTGTAATTACATGTCATTGTCTACTGCAAGTGGGTGGAAACAAGTTGTTGTTGTTGTTGTTGTTGTTGTTGTTAATAAATATATATATATATATATATATATATATATATATATATATATATATATATATATATATATATATATAGAACCTTGTCTGCAGGTAGCACTGTCCTCTAAGGTAAACAACAGACACAGTCCTTTTATTTTCATATAATCCAGGCACTTTATTTGTAAGTCCACACAGGAGACCGCAGCAAATGAAAACATAAATATAACACAAATCCCTATAAACAAAAACCTAGCTCGTCTGAGCACTTACTAACATCAGGTTCCCTATCTCTCAGGGGTTAAATTAGAACAAAACAATATTGGTTTCACCAACCTAGTGTCTTTGTCAGCTCTCTGCACTCCAGTGCTTAGTCAGCCTGCTGCTTTCCTTTCTGCACTCCCAGTGCTCCAAGCCAGCCTTGACTGTTTCCTTCTGCGCTCCCAATGCTCAGTCTCCTTGACTCTCTCACTGGAGAGAACAGACTCTCTCCTACCTGCTTCCAGGGAGGAAGCCAGCAATCTCCCTTTACCTGCCTAGCAGGGAGAGGTTTATTCCCACTGCTTCAGCTGATTATCTGCAGCTGAGCAGTGGGTTGGAGACCGTTCCAAAAAACTCTGGCCTGGACCTTATTTCTCCCAGTTGTGTATAAACTGAGGAGTGGAGCATTGGCCCACCCTACTCTCCAAATGCTCCACCCCAGGAGCCCATAACTAAACGTAGCTTTGTGTTGCACACCACACATACAACACGTACTTCCCCTGGGGTTAAATGTTAAAGGACCACTATAGTGCCAGGAAAACATACTCGTTTTCCTGGCACTTTAGTGCCCTGAGGGTGCCCCCACCCTCAGGGTCCCCCTCCTGCCCGGCTCTGGAAAGGGGTTAAAACTTACCTTTTTCCAGCGCTGGGCAGGGAGCTCTCCTCCTCCAATCCTCCCTGTCGGCTGAACGCGCACGCGCGGCAAGAGCTGCGCGCACATTCAGCCGGTCACATAGGAAAGCATTCATAATGCTTTCCTATGGACGCTTGCGTGCTCTCACTGTGAAAATCACAGTGAGAAGCACGCAAGCGCCTCTAGCGGCTGTCAATGAGACAGCCACTAGAGGATTAGGGGGAAGGCTTAACCCATTCACAAACATGGCAGTTTCTCTGAAACTGCTATGTTTATGAAAAAATGGGTTAACCCTAGCTGGACCTGGCACCCAGACCACTTCATTAAGCTGGAGTGGTCCTTTAAAGGCCTCTCTGCCTTCACTTTATCACAATATAAATATATATATTTTAATTATAATTTTTTTCCCCTCATCAGTTTCCTATTCTAAAATGAATCAGGCAAAAAATTTCCCATTGAATCAAAATATAAACTAACCATATCATTTATAGGTGCAATAACATAAGTATCAAAAACTATAACATTATAAAACTTTTTATCACTCTTTGCACATTTAATTGGGGGTTGTTTTGCTGTTTTTTAAGATTATGATTTGATATATAACACACATTTCTGCAACGTTAGAGGGGGAAGAAAATTACCAAACTGCCACATGTAAAAGCATAATTATATTTAATTTCTGAAAAGCAACATTCCATGCTGATAACATGCAGGTTTTCCAATGCAATGGCTAAGAAAATGGAGGTCTGTGGTAATGAGAAATGTTACTATACTACCAGTGTCTAGATTGTGTAATATCCGCATTGGAACAGAATTTTATAATTATTAAATTTTGGACTGTTTGTAGTCATTGATGACTTGCTTTAGTCAGTCAGTGCACCACACATTTTAAAAGGCAGAACCAGTTGAGCAGTCCTAGTATTTGCAGGGCCTAGAAATCCTTTGCTACTAGCCAAGCTTTTTAAAGTTACTCGTCTCTGCATGACACACCTATCACAGCTGAATTTTTACGAACTAGAGCTGAATTTTCACTCCATGGCTAGTGGTGAGTAGAAATGTTAAACCCTGGTTTTGATACAAAATGAGATTGATTTCAGCAGTCACTAGTGAATTATGCAGTACAGGCAGGTATAAAAGAACAAAAACTGAACGCATCCAGAACCTATGATTGGATTGGTCTTTGCAGCTCACATAAGTGTTATGCGATTCTTTGGCTATGTAAACTTTTAATATAATTATTCATTTTCTAGGTTTTAATATTGCAATAAACTATTTGTATTGACATTTTGCAGCTAGAAGCCTTATTGTGTGGTTTCTTTGAATCATGATGACTGTTCTACATTTGCAGGAGAGCTCAGCTACGGAGGTGTTTGGAGCAGTTGAAGCAGCAAGTTCCGCTCAGTGTGGACACGTCTCGGCACACAACGCTCAGCCTTCTGCACAGAGCCAAGCAGCACATCAAGGTGAGTTTACAGTAAGACGCACACACTGCTGGGATCTGTTGGGTATTTCTGACATTTTCAGAATTGTAGTTACTAAAGCAGGGATATGCACATCTTCAAACGCCAAAGCATCTTAACCACATTTACAGACTTTGCATAGCTGTATGTGAACTCTAAGTGGCATTAAATTATCACTATAGGGCCAGGTTCACAATACATGTATTCCTGACCCTATAGTGAAAACCCACCATTTAGGTGGCTTTCCCCACCTCCCTTAGCCCCCTCAGAATGGGTTTAAACTCACCTTATTTCCAGCTGTCCATGGGTCTGCTGATCCTGCCCCCTTGGTCCCGTCCCCATTGAGAAAGCATTGGATTAGCTAAAATCGGCAAGGAGGTGGGGCCAAACGCTGTTTTAGCCAATCCGTACCTCCTCCTAGAGATACATTGAATCAATGCATCTCTATGCGGAATATTCAGCGTCCCCATGCAGAGTGTGGGGACACTGAACGGCAGGGCTGCTTACTGTGCAGCCCTGAGCCAGGAAGCCCCTCCAGTGGCCACTTGGAGGTGTCCCTAGCGTGGGGATGCTGAACGGCAGGGCTGCCTACTGTGCAGCCCTGAGCCAGGAAGCCCCTCCAGTAGCCACTTGGAGGTGTCCCTAGCGTGGGGACGCTGAACGGCAGGGCTGCTTACTGTGCAGCCCTGAGCCAGGAAGCCCCTCCAGTGGCCACTTGGAGGTGTCCCTAGGGGCAATGTAAATACTGCCTTTTCTCTAAAAAGGCAGTGTTTGCTTAAAAATGCCTGAAGGCAGCCCCTATACTCACCAGAACAACCACATTAAGCTGTTGTTGTTCTGGTGACTGTTGGGTACCTTTTTAATACTTACATGTCATCTAGAAATAATCTGTAAACCACTATTTTGTTTTAAGGGGGTCTTTATTTCATTCCATGCTCTGTTGGTTTGTGGATCAATATTTTATGTCCTCAACAGTATCCAAAAGTGCTTTATTGCATGCAGTGTGGATTCATGGTATTGGTCCATGATAACTAACCAAGTCGATAATGACACATCAGATATTTCTGAAATATATTTTTCCATAATGTCCAGTCACCCTTATGATTAAATGAGTGTCCTGTGTGTTTTTATGTTTCCACCACTGATCTAAATGTCTCTTAAGTTTTAAGTACATGTAAAAATAAATCCTCTTTGTAGCTGTGACTGCATTGTGCTTTATTGCATTTGGATCAGGAAGCAGTGTGTGTGTGTCAATGCCTAATGAAGAAATACATTTAGAAGTGTTAGCACATTACTTGTACTTGCCTCCTATCATGTCATTTCTTTGCAGAAATTGGAAGACCAGGAGTTATCTGCAAAGAAACAAAAAGAAAAGCTGAAATCAGAACAACAGAAACTCCGCCAGAGGTTAAAACTACTTCTTCCACCAACCAATACTGAGCGTCTCCGAACAGACAGCCTGGACTCTTCAGTCTTGTCTTCCGAGCACTCTGACCAAGGTGGGTAAACTATTTATGATGCGCAGTAGCTTCCACAGTCACTGTTGAAACCAGGTATTAAAGCTCCTAGGGATTAAATGCATTTTGGAGATATTATAGTGTATGACCATATACAATCTTTTCTTAAAATATATTTTAAAAAAATGTAGTTCATATAATCTGACTCATCTTTGTGCTCAGGATTGCAAATAAATGCTGACGGCTGTAATTAACACATTCTCTTGCAATAAAACAGGCATTATTGTATAGACAGGGCTTAAAATTTCCACTAGCCAATGGCGAGTAAATATTTAGCCCTGACAAGTAGAAATTCACCTCTGGTGAGAGTGCCATGGACTCTTTAGGTTATCAGTGGCTAGTAACTTCTAAGTCCTGGCTCATAATGTAAGGCTTGAAATTGTAACCGCCCGATGATGGTGGTGGTGGTGGTGGTAGTAGTAGTAGTAGTGTAGTAATACTGTTTCATAGCATAGTGTCACCTTGGGTGGTGCTCTAATGGAGATTTAACCAAGCAGAGTTTCTTACGTGCTTTCTTCTGTCTGCAGTTTGTATAGATCAGTTCTCATGTGCAGATAAATTGTATTGCAAAGCAGATTGGTAATTTCTGGAATGAAAGCCATTCCTTGTTACAGTGGCTAGTTTTCTGAATACTCTGTGTTTGGGAAAAGGCTTAAAAAAGTCTCTGATGGGATTTTCAAGCATTACATTATGATGTAATGTACTGTTATCAGATAATCAGTATCTATAAATATAGTATACCTTCTATTTTGAGAAAAATCTAGTTACTGATTGTGGTAACAAATAATGGCCTTTGCTCTGTAGAAGTCTCCATTCTTCTGTGCTACATGGCTTTTACTTGATCAGAGAAGGTAATGCCACTCATTGGACTTCCACTACAATAGCCATGAGATAATACTCTGTCTGCATCAAGCATTTCAAACTCAAAGGCTAGCACGGCCAAATAAACCAGGTTTAAGTTTATTTGGGCCGCAAAAAAACAAACAAACCTTAGATTTTCATAGAAATGTAGATTTGTTTGAAAAGTACCGTATTAAAAAAAAAAAAGCATCCCTCAATACTAATTCCCATTCCTCCCTCTACTAAACCCCGGCCCTTGTTTTAAAAGAAAAAGAAAAAAAACATTGGCCAACAAGCAGACTCCACTCACATTGCTGCCAGTATGCGACTCTGGAGTCCAGCATTTGGTATACCCCCAATGGCACCGTCCACACCCTGTGCCAAAGCGGATCCTCGCGCTATTCCTTGAAACCCTGTGAAGATGGAGCGTGTTGATGTGGCGTTGCGTAGTAAAGTTTGGCATTTGTTTATTGTTGTTGTGGTGTTTGTGTTTCTCCCCCCCTCCTTCTATTGTGCTTTATTGTAGTCCATAACTTAACTTATTGCATAAGTGACTTTTCTATTTATGCTGGATTTATATATAAAAAAAATAGTACAAGGTATAATTTCCTTTGTGTTTCTTGTGCTGACTGTAATGTATCTGTCATTTTAATACTCACATTTTTTTGGGTTCATTTATACACCCCTTTATTTTATTTTTAACTTTTTTAGCATTGATAGATGTGTTATATCAACAGGAATGTAATAAGAAACATATGTCTCTACTAATCTTAATTTACTTTTATATCTCTGCAGAAGATTTGGAGGTAGACGTTGAGGGGATTATTCTCAGTGGGAACGAGGGTGACCTCTTTGTTTCGTTCAGTGCTGGCACAGAACACAGCTACTCTACTCCTGCTCATGCCTGGCTATGACAACAGAGGAAGAGCACAGACTTAATACAGCAACTGAAAGCAGTTTTCATGGCTATGCCAGATAAAACAAAAAAGACGTGCATTATGACTTCATACATCACTCAATGATGTAGTCCTTTATATTTTATGTGTATCTCTTTTAGTTTTTAAACCACAGTGGATTCTCCTGAAACTGAACTACTACTTCTCTTAAATTTTCCCAATGTGTTATTTTCGTAAGAAAAAAAGCAGGTTTTAATATTGGATTCCTAAATTTATTTTTAGATGATGGGCTGGTGCAATGGTGAGGACTGACCTGCTTTTGTCCATACCGAACACATATTCTTGGGATTTTATTTATTTTTTCCCTTCCTCCTTCTGTAAAGCTGTATAACTGCACTGATTGTCCATGGTCTCTGCACTCCAGTAAGTGGTGAAAGAAAAGAAAAAACTTCAGAACAAAATCCAGGCCTTGTAATAAATGATAGGTTAGGTAACATGAGCTACATTTACCCTGTTATTTTAAGTGGCAACTCTTCACTCAATTTGTGCATTGTATATTTTGCACAGGACCCATGTGATCTATTTTGGGGTGTTTGGAAATAAAATGGCGCTGATGCCCAGTATTGAGCACTAAGCCTGTTTCTAGCTTGACCCCAGTTGCATTATAAGTCCTATTTATTGTATTTAATTGAAATATTAATTTAGGCTAGGGTCTCCACCAGTGATTGATTCCGTGTGCACTAGTTGTGTGGAAGATTGCATTTAGCTAATTGTGCACTTGATGGGGAAACAAAAAACCTACATTGTTTATTTTAAGATGGCACTTATGTTATATGAAGTTTGACGTGTCACATAAACTCATTCTCTGCAAAGTTATATGCAAAAAAACCTCCCCTAAACTTTTGTTTGTGTTCTAGAATTTAATTTGTAATTATAGTGACCGCTATAATTACCCTGTCTCTGGATATTTACATAGTGCATTGCAGATTATTTAATACCCTAAAGACTTTCTTGAATTTTTTTTTAAACAGACACAGTGAAGAAAACTCAAATGCGTTGCTTATTAATGGTGTACAGTAATACATTTTCCAATCTTTTATTTTCAAGTCATTAATTTGGTGAGACATTTCCATAATTATACAATATACACCTGTTCGCCCTCGTTATGCACCATTCAGAGTCAAGTTACTGGTACTGAAGTTTTGCCCGTCTCTTGAGTCCTCGGGTGTCAAACCGCACCCCCTCGCCACCCGATGCTTGTATTGCTGGACTACAAATACCATAATTCACTGCAAGCCTATGCCTGTCAGAATCATGGGAGTTGCAGACCAATACTATTTAATTCACTAATCTGGGGATTGAGTGGAAACTGATGGAGGAAGTTTAGCGGCCAAAATAGCCTAAATGGAAAAAAAAAAAAAAAAAAAAATTAAAAAAACTTCCATCTTTCCTATTATGGCTGAAGTTCATATTCCTCCTTTCAATTTGTTACCATTTCTGGTTCAGTCAATAACCCCCTAATCTCACCAAAACACAGCATTATATCCTGGCCTGTAAAATGGCTCACAATAACTGCACACTTACCCTCTAGCCTTTTCTACGGCCCTCTGACAACAGAATTGTTTTATTTTATTTTATTGCTACTGTGTTGTATCACTAAATTTTGTATTCCTGCACTTACTGGATGGGGAAGAAAACCTGCCCTTTCAGGGTTTTGGCACAGCTGGTATTGGCACTCACTAATTTAGTAATAATTAACAACCAAAACTAATTATTGCATTGGTAATTGGCCTTCCTTAAACCAGTTGCAAATATCCATTTGGGATATAATTGATATAAATATTTCCTTAAGAAGGGAGGTGACCTTATTCCTGCTTTCTCTCCTTAATGGTGCAGTCTCACATTCCATGACCCAGCAAATATTCAGTGTAACAGAATGTAAATCCTGGGTTTTGAGGAGGAATCCTCAAACAAACTTTTTATATTGTTATCTATATTTTAGTAAATGTGTATTGTTCGTTAATAGTGTTGTGTAATTTATTTTTGTTAACACTACCACGCACCGCTTTTAAATTCTTTCCCTTGCAGTTATTTGGGGATAATTTGTCTAGCTGCACAGGTCACAAGACAGAATGTATCATATTTCCCTGTTCCCTACATATTTACTTGGAAAGTGGGAGAGGTGTTAGTTGAAATGGGATGTGATAACATGATGGAGAAAGTTGTAGAGATGGGAAGACTTCAAGACGGGGGAAGAACACTGTGACGGAGCGCTGGCACTCTAACCGAGTACCTCCGCCAATCGATGCTGCTAGTGCTTGCCGAGGACTCCAAGCACTCCACCAGACACCATAAGCACTGCAGACCCCACTTCCAGCGATGCAGCTGCACCGAGGTCTTGCTGTCCTCCACCCACCCAGTACTCAAGACCAGGATCCAGCTTCCAGTGGGTAGACCTCTTCTTCTCCAGAGAGCGTAGCAGGAACAAGCTCTTACAAGAGCTTATACTCAGGGGAGTATTGTGATTATAGCAATCCCCAAAAGTGTAGTTATCCCATCCCCCGAACATGAGCCAAGACTTCATGAAGGGGTCAAACAGGTCTGTTTAATGGAAGCAAGCACTCGCAATTTATACAATTCCTCAGAGGCACACCCCTCTGGACCTGATGGAACAGGCTCACAAAGGACACAAACCAATAAGAACACTGTAATAATGATCGACACTCCCACATACAGCAAACAATCCCTTCCCTCTGCCTGGGATATAATTAAAGTAGCTAATACAATAACCTAATTATCCACAGGCAGAAAAACACACATTTTCCACAAAGTCTAGAAAACACCCTAAAACGTAACATATCCCCATAAATATTATAGCCCTTATCTGGGTGAGCAACATATCCAAAAATCACCAAGATCACAGCAGGGGTTCAAAAGTTTTGTGGAAGTCTCTTTTGACCGACCACATGCACGATTTCATGGCCAAAACCGTTCCAAAGAATTTGGCGGTGCGGCCGGTCCATTTCCAATGTTAATTTCAGTTCAAATAGACGAACGGGAACAGTTCGTGAAAATGTCAATGTTCAAGTGCCGTTCGAATTGTCGAACGCCGTTCGACTCCAGTTGAAGAGTTGAAGTTTAGCCCCTTAAGGACCAAACTTCTGGAATAAAAGGGAATCATGACATGTCATGTGTCCTTAAGGGGTTAATCTAATATGAAAAACTTCCCTTCTCTTTTAGTGGTCCCCCACACATTATGTTCCTCTCCCTCTTTTTTAGTGTTTGTGGCGATGGTAACCTTGCCACTTGTACTTGGAGAGGCCTGCCAGTCTGTGACTATGGCCCCTGGGATGTATTGCCCTTTAAAAGCATTATTTGGACATATTGGATTTTAAAACACTGTTTCTGCACTTATAAATTCTATTGGAAAGAATTTGCACTTTCAAAGTGGCAGCCATTCGACCACATGGCGGCGGCCATTTTAATTCAGTCGAACGAGCTCAGCTGCGTTTTGTCGTCGAGTTCATGGAACTCAAACCGGACACGCGACGGCACGAACACCGTAGAAACTTTACCTTCTTTAACCCCTTGAGGACAAATGACATGTCTGACATGTCATGATTCCCTTTTATTACAGAAGTTTGGTCCTTAAGGGGTTAAACTTCGACTGGAGTCGAACGGTGTTCGAAAATTCGAACGGCACTTGAACATTGATATTTGCACAAACTGTTCCCGTTCGTCTATTTATTCGTCTTAAGGGGTTAAATTCATTAAAATTCTATTTTAGGAAAAAAACTTTTTAAAATTCATTCAGGGAGAAAAGCCATTTTCAGCCAAGGGCATCCTGAATTTTCGGTTGCATCCCTACTTAGGACAATGCTTGCTATTTTGAGCCTCCCAGAGTGCATGTATATATCGCTGTAACCCAGAGCTAAAACATTTGATTAGTTCTCTATAGCACATAGCTCTATAGCACATTTTATATTTTGTTTCCCTGTGTATGGGGCACTTGTCCTATCAAATGCCCATTATTCCTTAGCAGGGAGACCTCTTTCACATATACTCTCATTTAGGATTAACTGAGACACATAGTCCTTATTATAGCATTTTATAATAGAGTGGCAACTTCAGCTTTGACCTGGTGGAATCTGTCTATATTACTATCCTAGCAGGATGCCTAAAACAGTAGTACGATGATGGGGTAGATTGTCCATGAATTCCTGAATATTCCTGGAGATTTAAATCAGATGGATGCTCCAGATAAGCATTTCATGGCTTTCAGTAGACAAAATACTTATTTTCCCTTTGCTCACTGTAATTAATAATTTAATTATGATATAATGGAGAAAACCTGAGTAAGATTGCAATTTCACATCAAATTGGCCTGCTTTGGAAAGAGTCCATCCCGTAGTAATTGTAGTTGTATCTAGAATTACCCTGGATATTGATGCATCTCTAAAGATGCTTATGGATAGGAGAATGAATGCTATTATGGTCAGGTTATATGTGGCAGAGGGAAACATAGAAACATAGAATGTGACGGCAGATAAGAACCATTTGGCCCATCTAGTCTGCCCAATTTTCTAAATACTTTCATTAGTCCCTGGCCTTATCTTATAGTTAGGATAGCCTTATGCCTATCCCACGCATGCTTAAACTCCTTTACTGTGTTAACCTCTACCACTTCAGCTGGAAGGCTATTCCATGCATCCACTACCCTCTCAGTAAAGTAATACTTCCTAATATTATTTTTAAACCTGTGTCCCTCTAATTTAAGACTATGTCCTCTCGTTGTGGTAGAGCAGGATGTCCTCACACTGTAGTTCTTGCATTTGCATCCAGGTCAATAGCCGTCTAGATTAGGAGAGTTGAAAAAGGCCTTAATGATGGAGTACAATAAAAACTAAGGATTTTCTTTGGGACTGAAAAGTGGCCATTTATTTTTGTATTGAAAGAGTAATAGGTATTGTTAGATCTGTGACTTGAGCTATGGCTTCATCGGTTACAACCAAAAGAATGTTATAGCTGAGGACCTGGAGCATATACATCCATTTAACGTATAATCTTTGTGCCTGTTGGTAGTATTTTGTGTGATGCAGTCAAGAGAGCTGCGGAAGGAAGGAAAGTTTTATTTTTTCGAGATCAGAGGTTTTATAGGCCTGGCAGGTTTTGGTCATATAAGTGACCTTAGAGAAAGAGCAAAGCTTTCAAAGAATGCAGGGCCGGAAAAATTCCTCTTGGAAAACTCAACAGAAGGTTTCTTCCTCAAGAGCTGGTCGAGGCAGAACCTAGTCCTTTTTGTAGGATTAAAGTAGTCTTTCTAGAGATCAGCATGCCTGGGTGTTGAGACTAGGTGATCCTTGTTTAAGCCTTTCAAGTATTTCAGACACTTAACATACATACAGTCTGATTACTGACAGAGCAGTTTGGTGATTCAAAGCATCCCTCTTTACAGACGCCCTCTTGAAAATAAATCAACCAACTTCTACAAGACAATATGATGGCTCAAGTTCCTAAAGAAGATTATTTAAAGGAACAATACATTGTGCTGTAGTGATTATGGTGCCAGAGATGCCTTGGCATCTCCCAATTTTAGAATGGCTTGTCTTCTTACCTGAGGTCCACCGGGTACTGTTCCCTGTCTTCACCACAGCTACCATAAACTCTCCGGAGCTGTGCAGGGCTACATAATTTGCAGAGAGCATCAAGTGATTTAGGGAAGGGGTGGATTACCAGGGCACTCTTGGCACCCTATCCACTAGAGTGTGCTGATTATGGAGCTTAGTGTTTATTTGCAATTTTGTTCGGTGCAAAAAAAGATGGAAAATGAAAGAACTTCATAGACCTTCATGATACAAAGAACCAGATTCACATAGGGAAAATCACGGAATCTTAATAAACATAATCTCAATGATTAACAGATATGATTGGTTGACTTTAAAGACTCATGTATCTACATTGCTATCAATTCAGACTAATCAGCATACCTGAGAATTGCAGTAAGGGATTTAACCTTAGTCTCATTATAGATCCAAGAACATTTTTCAAAGTTATTGTCATGGTTATCACAAGGATAAGGAACTTGAGTCTGTAGTTTTCACTATCAAGGTGACATCTTGAGAGCTGACTTGGAAGTGACATCCCAATCAATAATAATGGTGTGCAAAGAATTGTGATAATTACATAAAGTAAAGTGACAACTCAATAAAAATATTATTCTTCCTCATACACTGGGTGTGTAAATTAGTGTGTATCACAAAGTGCAACAACACTTACTAAAATACAAACCTTAGCAATTATAATACGTAGTAACAACTTGTGCACGGTGTTCAACATCTAAAGTGCTAAAAACAACAAATAACCACATATGGTGTAAAAAGAAAATGTGCACTATGTAGACAATAGTTGCTCCTGTATTGGAAATTCAATATCTTGATATCTATAGATGAAAAAAACACACAAAATGCAAAACAAAGTGCTTCAAGTGGAGTTACACTCCACACAAGATTAGAGTGGATAAAGTTGTGCCAGAGTCCTGAGTGGCTCCTGCACTTAATTCCACTTTTATGTATATTTGACATTTGTGGTGACACCTATATTTAATATGTTTTGGTTGCACCATTTTCCTACTTATTCTTTTCTCTTTTGGATGTGACATCAGCACGGTATCTAAGAGAACTTGTGTTTCTGGAATTGGAAATGTTTGCTTGGGTAGACAAGTTTGAAATAGTTAACTCATTGAAGGATTATATTTCTGGGTGCTCCCTTTGATGATTACTAAGGAATAGTCTATTAATAAAAATATTTTAGACAATCTGTCTAATTTTACCTTCCTTCACAAAATTCCATAGAGATAATTTTTGTGGATTCTGAGATTGCTAGTTTCCAATATATGATTTGTTTTCTGGGCACAATAGTATATGCGGTCTCTTCAGAGAACACCTCTTCTACAGTTCAACAAGTAGAAAAGGGATCGAGTCTGAGGAATTGTTTTCCAGTAGCTATCAACGGAGCTAACACATTGTGGCTAAGTCAGGCCAATTTATCCTGATGGTTTCCATTAGAAATTGTTAATTGGGTGATTGTAACCACCAACATAAGCAAAAAGCGCCAATATAAGCAAAGATCCAACTTATATGGTCAGAAGAAGACTTTGCTTGTCCATCAAATGTGCTGTAGTTGAGCCATTTATTAAGCCCTTTTATGTTTTCTATCTAGAAGATCATTGGAAAGGAATGAGAACAATAAGGCTGCTGTGGCATATAAATCACCAGGCTTGACCAAGGACCAGAAAACTTCTGAAAAGTTTTTGCGAGACATGACCTGGGTTCAGACTAGTTTTAAAGATATTTCAGCCATTCATTATAAACAATGACCTGATTTATCTCAGCAAGTTGTAAATAAAACATATGGAAAGGAAGCTGTCATTGAAGATTTTTCTCCAGATAAATTCTGAGATCTCTACAAGTAGACATTATGTCTACACCAGCCAATACTCAAGTCCCAGGGTTTTCTTGTCAGGACAAGATTATCTAACAAGCAATTAATTGGGATTGCCTGAGCAACATGAATAATTAATTAAACAATTAACTACTGGAAAAAAACCCTCCTCTCTGAGCTCCCCAGTCTTTTTTTTATTTATGCCCTAGATGACAGGCAGAGCCAGGAAAGCAGAAAGTGATGATGACATACTTTCCGTGTACTTATATCTTCCAGTTTGGTCCTTCGTTTCAGCTTACCATTTGTCTTAAAATCTGCAAGCACTAGCACTTTCTCTTTTTAAAACTCATGCCGTGTCCCATTGTTCTCTCTTATGTAAAAGGTAATTTTCCTGGTGGCAATTACCCTGTTTGACATATGTTGGAGACACCTGGAGTGATGAAATCACCCATTATGACTGGAAGAAAGGCGTTTTTGCCTACAGCAGAGGAAAGACTTCTTTATAGTAAGAACAATAAAGATGTGAAAATCTCTACCAAAAGAGCTGGTCTTTTCAGATTCTATAGATATAGATATATTTCTAAAGTTTGGATGCTCTATTTTATTTATTGATCCAAGGAGGAAAGTGATTACCAGTATGGAGTCAAGTAGGAATGTTATCCCTTTTGTGGCATAATTGGAAATTGCAACAATTGAGTATTTTTGCCTTCTTTTGGATCAACAGCATTAAAGTTTGAACTTGGTGGACTTTAGTCTTTTTTCAACCTAGATTACTAAGTAACCCTTTACACTGACAAGTACTTCTTTGTGACAGATTTCTTGCAGAATGTGCTGTCTCAGTTGAAACTTAAAGGAACACTCCAACGTCGGTAGTGATTATGATGCAAGAAGCTCCCCTGTCGCCCCTCCAATGTAAACAGTCAAACCATTTTACACCAGTTTGACTTCTTATCTGGGGTCCAATGGCACTGCTCCCTGCCTCCACTACAGCCATCAGAACGCAACTTGGATCTAAGCCTGACGGTCTAGGAGCTTCTGGCTCCAGAAGTAGAAAGCTGCTCTTGCAGACTCAGGCTAAAAATCAAACTATTCTAAAATGGTTTAACTATTTACAATGAGGTTGGTAGGGGAGGCACCTCTGGAATCATAAGCACTACAGCACATCGTGATAAAAGACAGACAGAGTAATTAGTGTACATAGATATCTGTAGTTTACCTTTACAGCAAGGGTTCTTTAATAAATATTATGGTAGAGTTTCTTTTTCCTATGTCAGAATAAATACAAAACAAATACACAGTCAGGGCCGTCTTTAACGCGGGACAAACGGGGCAGCTGCCCCGGGCACAGTTGCTCCTGTGGGGGGCCCAGAGCAGCTTCCATCGTGGGCCCCGCGATTTGTGCGGCCCCCATGGACCCGGCGGTATAGCTGCACAGAGCCACACCGGCCCACACCCCAGGGGGCCCTTAGTGAGCATGTGTCAGCAGGGGCCCGGTCGGGCGCTGTGACGCTTAAACAGCGGCAGCCGGCTGGGAGGAAGTGAGTGCCGCGCATCACTTCCTCCCACTGAAGATCAGAGCCGCGTGGGAGGAGGGTTCTAGAAGATAACTCCCAATTGCCTCAGCCTGCCACTGGACCCCAGGGAAACCACCCTCCAGAAAAAGGTAAAAACCCGGAGGGTGGCTAGATTTAGCATGTGTGTCAGTATGTCTGTGTGTGTCTGTCAGTATGCCTGTGTGTATGTGTCAGTATGCCTGTGTGTGTGTCAGTGTCTGTGTATGTCAGTATATCTGTGTGTATGTCAGTATGCCTGTTTGTGTCAATACGTCCATCAGTGTATGTTTCAGTATTTCTGTTAGTATGTCTGTGTTTGTGTGTGTCAGTATATCTGTCAGTGTATGTGTCTGTGTGTGTCAGGATGTATGTGTGTCACTATGTCTGAATGTGTGTCAATATGTCTGCCAGTATATATTTGTGTGTTAGTGTATGTGTGTGTCAGTATGTATCTGCGAATGTGTTAATATGTCTGTGTGTGTATGTGTCAGTGTATATGGCTGTGTAAGTATGTTTTCAATCTCTCTACTTTAGTTCCCTCACTGCATTGGGGTGAAACGTGTGATTGGGGGTTGGCTGTAATTGGGGGTAGGGGAGTGTGCAGGTCCCAGAGGGCCCCAAAAATGCTTTTCCCAGGGTCCTAATTATATTATAGACGGCCCTGCACATAGTGTAACCTGTATATGACATATATTGAAAAAATAGACGTAGTCAGCAAACACACTTTTTTAGAGCCTATTAGAAGTTGGTTCAGGACTTATGGTGCATATCATCTAATCATAGAGATATTAGATGGAATTTCCAGCAGTCACACTCACAGGAATTCGCGGTTGTTATGAAACAGGAACTCCCTGTTTCATAACAGAGTCCAACCCCTTAAGGACTAAGTGGCTACTAAAAAAGACTGGACATACCCAATTTGCAATACCTTGGGTTGTCTACTATTGCAAAGGGTATGCCATCATGGGGGTAATTTTCATTCCTGGGCTACCTTATGGTCTCAAAGGCAACGTAACCAATCTGGTGAATTTCAATGTGAAAAAACTGAAACGCAAGCCTTATATTTGACTCTGTAACTTTTAAAAACACCATAAAACCTGTACATGAGGGGTACTGTTATACTTGGGAGACTTCGCTGAACACAAATATTTGTGTTTCAAAATAGTAAAAAGTATCACAGCAATAATATCGTCAGTGTAAGTGCCGTTTGTGTGTGAAAAATGCAAAAAAACTTCACTTTCACTGAAGATATCATCGTTGTAATACATTTTACTGTTTTGAAACACTAATATTTGTGTTAAGCGAAGTCTCCCGAGTAAAACAGTACCCCCCATGTATAGGTTTTATGGTGTCTTGGAAAGTTATAGGGTTAAATATAGTACTAGCAAATTAAATTCCCTATACTTTCGGCCTGGGTTGTCAGGCAGGTCCCGCAAATTGTAATTAATAAAATGACTTAATTAAGTAAAATTATTACATAAATATATACGTAGAATATATATATATATATATATATATATATATATATATATATATAAAACTTTATTTATTTATATATAGGTATATATATATAGTGATATATACTTATGTATATAGATATATATTATTTCGTTCTACGTGTATTTTGATATTAATATATATATATATAAATATCACAATTCAGTTAGAACGAAATAACATTTTATTTATTTTTAACGTATTTAAATTTTTTTATATTATATATAAATATATATAATTATAAATATATTTAATCAATATCATTCTACATGTATTTTAATATTAAAATATATATATAAAATTCTATATATATTAAAATACACAGACCGCGTATGTGTGTGTGTGTGTGTGTGTATATATATATATATAACATATATATGATCTGAGTATATATTATATTATTTTACACTGTTGTAATCTTTATTTACTCATTTTACAGCCAGCAGGGGAACTACCTGTCATTCCAGGCAGTCCCCTTGCTGGCAATGTTGTGGACGGCTAGGACCTCGCGGTCACATGGACCAGAACGGCAGCAGGAGGACTCCCTGGGTTGGCAGGTGAGTCCCCCCAATGTGTAAGTACATGGGACGGCATTTAGGACCGGGTCCCCAAGGACGGCATAGAACGCCCACCATCCTTAAGGGGTTAAGAGTATTTCAATCGTTTTGAACCCTTAGGAACTACTTCCTCCTGGGACTCTCCGCAAGTCAAGGCTAAATAGGATCCCACATTCCAGTATCCTATTTAGACCTGACTTGCAGTGAGTCCCAGGAGGAAGTAGTTCCCAAGGGTTCAAAACTATTGAAATACTTACTTTTAAATATCCACTTTGGACTCTGGAGTTCCTGTTTCATAACAACATCGAATTCCTGTGAGTGTGACTGCTGGAAAATCCATCCAATATCTCTATAATGAGATGATATGCACCATAAGTCCTGAGCCAACTTCTAATAGGCTCTAAAAAGTGTGACTTTGCTGACTACGTCTATTTTTTCAATGTGTCATATACAGGTTACACTATGTGTAATTGTTTTGGATTTATTTTGACATAGGAAAAAGAAACTCTACCATAATATTTATTAAAGAACCCTTGCTGTAAAGGTAAACTACAGATATCTATGTGCGCTAACTACTCTGTTTTGTTTAATCACATTTTTAAGTGTATTCAGTGACACTGCACTTGGTTTTTTAGCAGCACTAGAGATCCTCTTTATCTTTCAGTTCTTTTAACTACAGCACCTTGTAATGGTTATGGTGTTCCAAGTGCTACTTTAGTTTAGAAATGTATTTTACAACTCTCTTTTCCTTTACTTTTGTCTTTAATGGAATATGAGGGATAAACTGAGATTTATTTTGTCTATGTTAACAGAACGACTACTTTCAGTAAGTCACCTTATCTAACGCATGGTCAAATCAACATGATGGAAGCAGCTTTAATTTATAGAAACATAGAATGTGACGGCAGATAAGAACCATTCGTCCCATCTAGTCTGCCCAATTTTCTAAATACTTTCATTGTCCCTGGCCTTATCTTATAGTTAGGATAGCCTTATGCCTATCCCACGCATGCTTAAACTCCTTTACTGTGTTAACCTCTACCACTTCAACTGGAAGGCTATTCCATGCATCCACTACCCTCTCAGTAAAGTAATACTTCCTAAAATTTCCATATTCAGATGAAGAATGTTCCTTATATCTTCTGGCATTCAATTATCAAGACTTACAAGCTCCAATTGATTGGAAGACAATCTTAACTTCATCAGCTACTAGAGCTGACACTTTGACAGGGGCAAGATCTTTCAAAAAGACACCCTCTTGAAATGTTACAAGGCACACTCCACTGCCCAGAGTACCTGCCTTGCAAAGACTTCTTACTGAGCTTCATTGGTAAGTAAATAATTGGACAGCCACCAAAAGTCTGGGCTGGGTTAGAAGGGAAGGGCTAGCAAAGTAGAACAAAGTATAAATAGATAACCAAACAAAAGGCTTGTGGGATGTTCCTAGTAAGCACTGGTTAGCACCTACCAATAGGGGTGCAAAGACGGACAACTGGTAAACTAACCAAGGTTCATTGATGCACATGGGGAGCGAAGGCTAGCTGCCTGGTCCGATTACACGGAAGGGTTACTGTAGCTCAGTTTACTGAAAAACGTAATGCTGACCATGATAGAAGGGTGTCACAGAACACACATTGCATCACAGTTTGCTGTGTTTGGGTCAGAGTGCCCATGATGACCCCTGTCCATTGCAAAAAGTGCTTCAATGGGCATGTGAGCATCAGATTTGGACCATTTAGCAATATTATTTTGGGAAACTTTGGATCCTGGCATTCATGTTACTTTGACACGTATAACCTACATAGAGATTGTTGTAGACCAGGTACACCCCTTCATGGCAATGGAGTTCCCTGATGGCAGTGACTTCTTTTTAGCAGGATAACGCACCCTGCCACAAAATTTATTCAGGAATGGTTTGAGGAACATTAGAGTTCAAGGCGCTGCCTTGCCCCCCAAATTCCCAAGATCTCAGTCCAACTGAACATCTGTGGTATGTACTGGAACAATAAATTTGACCCATGGAGGGCACACCTCGCAACTTGCAGAACTTAAAGGACCTGCTGCTACTGTATTAGTGTCAGATACCACAGGACACATCTAGAGAATCCATACCTCAACGCATTTTGGCAGCACAAACGGGACCTACACAACACTAGATTTAATTTTCAATCAGATGTTCACTTGCTATAGAGGTTTTTATATCCTGCACTGCCACACACAGGAGGCTCCTGCAGATTATTAACATAACAGGAGATACGAAATTTTAAACAGAACGTGTAATACAGAAATTTTAAACATTAGATCTCTGTGTTTAAGAAGGCATTGTGGGTCACATGCAGGGACGTGTGACTAGAGCTGTGTAAACAAAGTGATTTATGTCCTAAATAGCAGATAATTTAGCAGTGAGACTAAAGGATCGATGCATTAAAAACTGCTTCATTAAAGCTACAGATGTTTTGGTGCCTTTAGTATCCCTTTATTTTTTAATTTGCGGTCTTTTTCCCCTTGCCTATTCCTGTTTTATAGTGAATACCTAAAAAGGAGGTAAGGTAATGGCCTCAACTACAATATAAGCTAACCACACTCCCTTACAAATTCACTCTTAATTAAAATTTCCACAAAACTTGTTGGGAAAAATTAGAAGTATATATACAATTACTATAGCTCTATAATGTCTGTCAAAGATATGAAAAGTAGAGGTCTCCCCATAAAGCAGAGAACGTTAATATGCAAAGCATCTCATATTGGGGCGTATTTTGCCAAAACAAATGTATGAACTCAAAATACAAGTTACAACAGTCGAGAACTTTAAAAGACTTCTTCTTATGAGCTTTATTTGCATCATTATGACAGTATCACAGAAAGATATACTTTACACATTGTATCAGATTATTTTATATTTATAAATTAAGGCTTAGAAAAGAGAAATTGTTTTGTTCACTATATTCATTCAAGTTTCCTTTGGATTGCTATGATATAACAAAATCATTAAATTTACAAAATAGAAGTGGATAGAGTAGATTTCGGTTCAGGTGACAGATGAACCATGCAACAGTACCAGCTACTCTAGACTGATCTATACATAAGCAGCATCACACATACTGCTGCTTCTTGGTTGTAGCTGCCTTGCTAGCCAAGTCCCTGGCCTTTTCTTTTGCTGCTAGTGCAGTCTCCTTCGCTTTCTCTGTAGCCTCCTTAGCTGTTTCTACTAGAGTTCTTGGAGGAGCATCACCTGAAAGAGGACATAAGGTGGAGAAAGAAAAATAATACAGTCAGTACTTTGATGCAAAAAATGTAATGGGACATAGCAAAATACTGAAAATTGGTTTTAAAAGTGTAATACAGGAAAAAAAATGAAGAGAAAAAAAAAGCCCCCTCCACTCCCCTCCCACTCAAAAGACACTTTGGACACTTATCAAAAAAATACAAAGAGTAAAAACACACACAATAGAAAGGTATGAGCGAGTACAGATTTACAAACCTTGCATTTTTGCCAAAATAAACTCAAAACCCTTCATTGCCTTGGTCACATTACTTTTAAACCGCGCCAGACCAAATTCCTGGGAGAGAAAGTAAATTATTTTAAAATTAAATTTAATTATTGCTGGTCCAAAAAAATAATAATACATTTTTTTTTATTCAGACAAAGTACTTATTTACAGGAGGAGACATGAAGAATAAATTTAGTTTTCAGTCATACAACAGAAACACAGAAGTGTCATTAAAGAACCAAAATGGGGCAGTTATGAATTAGTGTCTGTTTACGGATAAGGTTTAGAGTTAAAAGGTCACTAACAACTACAACAGATAATTTGAGACGGGCAAAAGCTTAGAGAAACTCAGTAGCTTGCTGCTTTTCTGTTTGCCCTTGCTCAAGTCCCAAAAATGTTTATGTTCACTTGTGCCATTACAAAGAAAACCTATACACCACTTGCATGTCAGACTGATCAAACCTCTCTGCAAGAGACATACATCTACCCCGTACGAAGGGCAAACTTCTCAAGCTGTTGTCCGTGCTCCGTATTGTCTAGCACCGCGGTTTTTTTCACGCTCTCCAAATTTAATCCACACGTGGACCCTTTTGTTCAGTGCCTAGAGGGGTACCAGCTATATCTCACTGACTAGGTCTTACATGGCCGAAATGATTATCTAGTGTTAATGCATCTCTTGTGCAGAGAGAGACGACCCGCTTATCGATGGGAACTGCCCTTCTGGGTGAAATCACTCTGATATGCAAATTAACTAGGTTCTCTGTGTAATGGCACAAGATTAGCTAAAACTATCTTAATATCGGAGTGGTGACCCACCAAAGGGAAAGCTACTTGAGTTCTGACCAGTCTCAGTATTCTCTTGCAATTTGAGTGTCACTAACTACCAAAACTATTTCAGCTTGCTGAATGATTATGGTGCAAGAACCGTTTCAATGCAGTATTTCATCTTAAAACACAAATGCTGAGACCTATTTTTTTTTTCCACTCTGTGTTTCTGGGTGGTCAGTTAAGTCATTTTTGAGATTCACCCTGACATTCCTGTGTGCTGGTCGCAAAACCTATAGTACTGGCTGGTGGTGAACTGTGGATGCACCTGCAAGTAAGGCTTTGGTTATGTGCATGCAGGCTCTTAACATGCATATACGGTTGAGATTTCAATGCTTTTAGTGAATCTTTGGACTGGTGAATCACAGTGAGTTCTTGACCGGACACTCCAGCATGAAGAAAGAAGTGTGTGCTAAGCAGAAAATGAGGACAATTATTAGCTACAGAAGCCAGTACTGCACCAGAATCGAGCATTAAATAAATGCATATTTTATGCAGTAACCATAGGCATTAAAAACAAATATTGCTGTTTGGGAGAGGATCACACATAAGACTCATCCCTGACTGGTGTATTGGAGGGAATTTCTCGCTGCTTCTGTTACTGCTTGCACATAATTAAATTCTAATGCATCTCAATTGCCATGTGCTTACCATTCCCCATTTAATAACACACCATTTATAAATTATACATTCTGCAGTGTTGTGATTACAGTAAAACCTCCAGCAGAAGGTCTGTTATTGCCCTTAAAGGACCACTCTAGGCACCCAGACCACTTCAGCTTAATGAAGTGGTCTGGGTGCCAGGTCCAGCTAGGGTTAACCCATTTTTTCATAAACATAGCAGTTTCAGAGAAACTGCTATGTTTATGAATGGGTTAAGCCTTCCCCTATTTCCTCTAGTGGCTGTCTCATTGACAGCCACTAGAGGCGCTTGCGTGTTTCTCACTGTGATTTTCACAGTGAGAGCACGCAAGCGTCCATAGGAAAGCATTATGAATGCTTTCCTATGCGACCGGCTGAATGCGCGCGCAGCTCTTGCAGCTGCATGGGAGGAGAAGAGGAGGATCGGAGGAGTAGAGCTCCCCGCCCAGTGCTGGAAAAAGGTAAGTTTTTAACCCTTTCCCCCTTCCAGAGCCGGGCGGGAGGGGGTCCCTGAGGGTGGGGGCACCTCAGGGCACTATAGTGCAAGGAAAACAAGCATGGTTTTCCTGGCACTATAGTGGTCCTTTAATATACTGCCCATTGGCAGCTGGCAAAACAGTCTTTATTCATATTCCTTGGTATTTCCACCTGTACATAATGGTCTCCTCACCTGAATGGGCCTGGTAAAACCAATCACTTTAGAAGATATCCAGGCTTCACGCTTGATCTCTGTCCAGCTGCTGTTCTCAGAATTTTCACAGTATGTGCATCTTTCCTCCACAGACTGTGGTCACAAAAAAACAACAACAAAAAAAGCAGAAATTAATCACACAGACCAACAGCTAGAATCACCACTAAGCACATGGAGTATATCAGGCTAGACTAGGTTTAATAAGATAATACATCTTGACTTCCTTACTTTGATCTTTCATGGCAATATAAATAAATGTACAGGGGCCACTTTGCAGCAGCTAACGTGATCTTTTGACACATTACTACAGTCTCCCCCCACTCACTGTCATTTGCATTAGAATACCTAGCAAAATGACCCTGCACAGGAAAACAAAGATCTGATATTTACAGTTTTATTTATATGCCAATTTTCTGCTTCTTTCAAAAGTAAGCTATTCTTATACCACCTATCAGGTGGTGATCCAGACAAAATACATGAAACCTCTATTTCAATGAAATGGTCTCATCGAATTGGTGCAGTGTGCACCAGCATTGGATTGACTGAGATAATCGATCTTGACGATCTCAGCCATAAAGGTGGGACCAGCTGTTGAGAGAGCACTGCAGCATGGGAGAAAAGGTGAGTAATACTGCTTTTTAACTTCTTACTATGGGTGTCAGGAGCCTAAACACTGCATCAATCCTTTAAAATGAGCAGCTGTGTCAAATCCTGGAACTCTACTTCTTACAGCAAAAGACAAAGAATAGGCTAAAAGATTTTACTATAGAGATTTATTGTACTTGACTCACCATGATTTTTGCATGATTTACGTTCCATGTGTAGGTGGTCAAAGTTCTGTTAGAAGGATCTACTATAGAATCTTCTATGATATACACAGCATGGGCTACATTGGATGGAAAGATGTGTTCTGCCCAACGTGGCAGTCTGTTGGTCTTGGTCAAAAGTTTCCTGGTCAGCAGCTTCTGGTCAGATGTTACCTCACGGTACAGAATGTCTTCTGATAGGACATGTTTGCTTTATACAGAGCAAGAGAAAGAGGGATTTGAGAAGCTTAAAAATACACTCTTTTCCATGCATTATCTAGTTGATGAATTTAAAACATCTAAATTGTATTTTGGATGCATGTCTGGAGCTATTCTAAAACTATGATCACCTCCTGCTAACAAACTACTGGCAGAAATATTCCAGCCAATCACACATCACATTGTTAGTTATGGAAGAATTGCTGAGCATGCAAGGGTGTAACAAGATGTAGAACATATGCATGAGAAGTGCTTAATGACAATAGGAGCTCCTATCTATGCTTCTGTGGATATTGTGTGGAGGTAGCTCTTTTTCTTTTTATATTCATAGAGGAAGTTACACAAGTTTAAACAGATGGTACTAATACAAAAAAATATATAAAAATCAATGCACCACATTAAACATATGTAACATAAACGTTAATTGTGGTGAATTTAAATTCAAATAGCAGAACACAACATTCAGCTTATCTTCCTGCTTGGCTATTTCAGCCTACATTTTAAAATGTTTTTTTTCCGTCACAATGCAGTGTTTAGTGAATAAACCCTTAGGATTTTACATTCATGACTGAAAACTAGGTGCAATCTTGCACCTGACAAAGGATAAATATGTCTGTGATTCTCAGTTAGAGGGGTTATTCAAAAATCTAATTCTCTACTATGCAATAACAAGGTTAATAAAGCTTCTAATGGCAAAAAGGATGAACCATGCAAGTACAAGTTCTTTTAAAAACAAAGATAAGAATAAGCATGGAACACCACTGATTTTAAATATGGAAATAAGGCACTAAATCCAATAAATGAGCGCAAAGAGAGACTTTAAAGCTAAAAATAAAATAAAAAATATCACAATTTATTTTAAACATTCTCTTGATTTGGGCACTTTTGTAAAATAAGCCTGTAGGGACATCTAATGAAACCCCAAAGCACTTCAACAAATAAAAACATATCAAGGGACTGGTGTATCACTTTAAAGGATTATTCCAAACATCACAACCACTTCAGTATTTTGAAGTGGTCATGGTGATCACAGTCTATGTGCAGCAGTTTAGCATGAAACGTTGGACATACAAATATATTTTATAATGCCACAGGAGATGTAACTTCACTTTTGGCAGACTCATTAATATGCCAATCTAATGTCACTCCCGTGCATGGTCCATTGAGAGAGTCAACTGGAAGGGATGAGCTGGCTCTCAGCCAATGAATGATCAGCATCTGGCTTCTGCAGGAGCATGTCACTGGCAAGGTAAGAGGACAAACTGTTGCAGAATGGTGTGCACCATGAATGAGATTGGGGCTATTGTAGTTGAGATGCTTAGAGTAACCCTCTAAAGCAGCATGAGAGTCTGTGTGAAGTGGATCAAGAATAGGTTATTAGAAATGTCAAAAATACAGATAGTGCACGTAGTATGATGAAAGCACAACAAAAATGTGCCCATAAATATTATACTATGGGTATTAACTGAAAGTCAACACAGGGCTCGACAAATTTGCTAAAAATCTAGGAGCCAGCTAAAAAATGTTAGGAGTCAGATTTTGGTGTTTACATTGCTGTCTGGTAACACCTCTAGTGACAGTCACTCAGACAGCCTCTAGAAGTGCTTAAAGGACCACTATAGTGCCAGGAAAACATACTCGTTTTCCTGGCACTATAGTGCCCTGAGGGTGCCCCCACCCTCAGGGTCCCCCTCCCGCCCGGCTCTGGAAGGGGAGATATACATACATACACATATACATACATACATATATGTATATTATTAAAAAACAAAAAAAAACACTTACCTTTTCCCAGCTCTGGGCGGGGAGCTCTCCTCCTCCGATCCTCCCCGTCGGCTGAATGCGCACGCGCGGCAAGAGCTTTCCTATGGACGCTTGCGTGCTCTCACTATGATTTTCACAGATAGAATCACGCAAGCACCTCTAGCGGCTGTCAATGAGACAGCCACTAGAGGATTTGGGGGAAGGCTTAACCCATTGATAAACTGCTATGTTTATAAAAGAATGGGTTAAGCCTAGCTGGACCTGGCACCCAGACCACTTCATTAAGCTGAAGTGGTCTGAGTGCCTAGAGTGGTCCTTTAACAGGGCAGTGCTGCACAGTGTGCTCGCACACACAAACTGCAACACTCACAAATCATTACTTTTATTATTTAACCCCTTAAGGACCAAACTTTTGGAATAAAAGGGAATCATGACATCACACATGTCAGGTGTCCTTAAGGGGTCAAACCCACCCAGCTTCCCAACCTTTGGGAAAGCTGGAGTGGATTAGCTTTGCCTGGTGTCCAGTGGGGCTGGTGTCTTCTCTCTGCTCGGCTCCCTAAAGCGCTGTTTAGTGATGCGGGTGCGGAATGATGTGATATTCCGGCTCCCAGCATCACTGGAAGGCGCGCAAGGGAGCAAAGCAGGGAAAATACAGCTCCCTTGCTGCCTTCCTCAATCAGCCCGCCTCGATAAATCAGCAGCCTGCCTCCTTCCCTCAGTTCTCAATATGCTAAACGTCCACCTGCTTGCCTCAGCTCTGCGTGAGCCGACTGCCCACCTCCAATCTCAGGCATCCAATCACCTCAGTGGTTGAACACGCTCAAAAAGGCCATGGCGACTGGGATTTGTCAAGCCCTGTCTTAAAAAAAACATTTAAAAATTCTTAAACACTGCTGAGCTAAGAGACAGCAGCAAATAACATCACATCTAATGACTTTACGTTTTACAAGTAGCTGCTATATCACAAAAATAAAACATGTTAAATGTAAGGGTGCCTAACTAGAGCTGTACAATTACCACCGTCCTGCAAAAAGCACCATAGCACAGTGTTAATAAGTTATATCATTCCATGGCTATTGTTACAAATTCTTACCTGTATGGGTTTGGATAGCGCTGCCAAAATGCAGCTGAAACTTGGTCCCAAGAGCTCTTCAGCAGATTTATTCCTAAGAAGTATTTTACCATTGTTCCCGTTAAGAGCGAAAACCCCTGCCAAACTGGAAATGCTCATGAAATCATGAGAGGATGAAGGGATGTGGAGGCGACTGGACGGTAACCGTCACAAGCCAGATAGATCCCGGAGTGTTTTGTCCGTTAGAGGGGGACTGAAAACACAAAATTAAAGTTATGATTAAAGCATATATCAAGATTCAAACAGGTAGTTTGAAACAGGGCTTCACAAATTACAAGAAAATGCATTTTTTGCCATTTTAATAAAGCTCTAGAATGTTAACCAATGACATTGTATTGCTTATAAAAACCATACAATTATAGCAAATAACTACCGCTTGCTCACTTGACATATTATCCCAACGAGTGTACTTATTCTAGAGATTATTATAAGATCTTGAACTACCAAACCGTAATCCACCTCTACAGTCAAAGAAAACAATAGCAATTCAGATGTATTCTATAGTAAATAACTGATTTTATTTAGCGCGGTAACATCAAATAAGGGTACATGCAAAAAGGCACTGGGATTATTGTGAGGTTTATTTATGGTACAGTGAAATGCAGTTAATTAAAATTCAAAGGCAAAAAAAGCCAAGCAAATGTAAAAAGGCTAGACTGTGACTATAGGCAAGTTGAAGATTTTTTCCAAAGCCCAATATATTTTGGATAAATGTCAGCACAATTCACTGTTTAGTGAAATAACAGTTACATATATAAACTATCAAAATAAATAGAATAAAAAAACAGATATTCAACATTTTATCAGTCCACAATCCTTTAAAGCTTTGTTGAGTGGCTGTCACTGCAATACGATTTTTAAGTATTGTATAAAGATAAAATGTTGTTTAATACTCATAAATCATTTTTCTTAGATCTTTGCAAAATATGCAAATAACTCTGAAGTAGACGGAACTGCTTGAGAACAAAATTAAAAAAAAAATATATTATATATTTGCTGTGACTTACAGGAGGACACTGTGAGGGGCATACTCTAAAAAGTGTGATCTATAGAAAGTTAAAGATCAACTTCACATTTTAGACTAAAATACACGAAAAATATATAGCTGACTGAATTTTTTTTTTTTTTTAAATTCTGCTATTTTCCTCTAAAAAAAATGAAATACAATTTTAATTCCCGACAGTTCGCAGCTTAGTGAATAGCCCTGTGTGTCTATACGTTATCTGACCGGTTTATATGATTTATTGAGGGTCTTTAACCCCTTAAGGACCAAACTTCTAATCATGACATGTCGCATGTCCTTAAGGGGTTAAAGGAACACTCCGCTGGCAGCCATGCTGTCACCGTGTCCTTCCCCGGGCGTTGGTGTTTATACCGTTCACCGTCCTCCTTACCCTCCTCATAGGGTGACCATCAGCTGCTCTCCGCCGCCATGAGGTGACTTCTCCACAGCCCGTGTTTCCGGAAGAGCTGGCGCAGCTTAGGCACGTCACTACGGCGGCCGGGCAGCTTCCGGTGTCACGTTCTCAGCCAGGGAGGCGCGCGCGCGTCATGTGACCGAGACTGGCGCGTCACGTGACCGAGGTCCGAGCGGCTCGTCCACGTGACCGAGAGAGGCGGCGCAAGGGAGTGGGCTGACCTTGCATACAGATGAGGCGGGCTGGTCTTGCTGGGTGGTGGGCGTGGTCTCCTCGCAGGCAGGGGGCGGGGCTTGGGCTAAGCATTGACAGTTCGCAGAGAGGCCTGAGAGAGAGCTGGACATACAATGACTGAGGGACAAGTACAATAGGAGACCCAGAGAGAGGGGTGAGACCTGAGGGAGACTGCTGGGGGGGATGGGGGACAGCAGGGCCAATACCTACCATTATTCATTACACAATATGGGTGTCTATAGAAACATCATACAGATATACAGAGGGGGGTCATTTATTATTTTTAGTGTTTTGGGGGTTTGGGTACAGAATGTGTCAGGGACACAGCCATTAATATGGGATTTCCAGCTGTGTGTGTGTATATATATCTCATATCATACCAGTCCTGCTTGGTCTATGGTCCTCTGGCTGGGGGTACCAAAGGGTTGTCATCAGTCCTCTGTAGGATTTGTTTACTAAAACTCTGAACTGGAAATTGACATTTATAATGGCAGAATTGGAGCTAAGACAGCCAAGCTGGGGCTATAGCAGAGCTTTCAGAATCAGCAACTGGCCCTTTATTTCAATTTGTAACCATTCAGAAGGAGTAAACAAGTCCCCAGTGTGTAGTAATGACACTTTATTGTAACATGCATTGTGTACTGCCTGTGTCATGTGTTTTCTTTCAATTTGTCTCTGTCATGCACAGCACAGGAGTATCAATTGTGTTACTGTGTTACAGGGGGTGATATGACATAGGAAACTCCTTTCACGCCAGTAAGTCTTATTGTATGTTGTATTTTAGCAAATAGCGGTCCTTCAATAAAGAATGATTTCTAAACTTTACAAAGCAGTTTGGATAAGGACAGTGTATAAGCAGGGATAGGATTTCTCATAGGAGCTCCTCTCTTGACAACAAATGTGCTTAGTTTTCCTGTTTTAGATATGTTTTAGTTTTGCTGTGGAGTATGTAACGCCCTCTGGGTAATGTTTAATAAGTTGGGATCTCCTGTAGCCTTTTTGGAACTGAATAAAACTGAAGAGAATTTAAGGGAACTTGAATTAGGAAGTGAACGTCATATAGAGATGCAGTACACGGATTCATTCATATAATATGCCTGCCAGTGGTTTTGAAAACATTTAATTATAGCAGGCTGATCCAATGAATAATCTAATAACATGGTAGAATTAAATTAAAATGTGTAGTTGAAACTGTCTAAGGTACAAAAGTATTTTTCATGATGACTAATGGTGATGCACATTTTAAAATTTGCATACAATATGTATTTGGGATGTACTTTATACGTTGCATGACAGAAACAGGATCTATGTGACTCTTATTTGCCCGCAGATGCCGTTTTCCCTGCTCGCACACCATAGTGGAGTATTGCACTTGGTGAACCACAGGACAGATTTAGAGTCAGCATGAGCGGGCAACGTGTTGATGTCAAGGTGGTGATGTTGGGAAAGGATGCCGTGGGAAAGACAAGTCTGGTTGAGAGATATGTGCATCATCGATTTCTCCATGGACCCTATAGGAATGTAAGAACACGATTATTATTTTGGCTTTCTGTTTACTGCTTATGACAATAATTATCCAAACAAATGTTGTAACATACCTTCTCTCCTATTGATGAATCTATCCAAAATATAAATGAGAAGGTTGATAATTATTTTATCAAAAACCTTGATAAATCCCCTGCAGCTGACCGGTTCTGTTGATCTTTTTATTGCTTTGCAAAAATGCAAATAATGTGTTGGGTTTTTGCACTTTACAGAATTAGAGGAGGTGCAGGTGAGCCCTCAGTAGCAAATTATGTATACAATTGTTTATACCAGAAGCTGCCAGACCCAAGTAGGCCAAATGAGGAGTTCAAGGGATCTCCTCGGCCGGCTCAGAGTGCCACAGTGCCAGGAGCAATGGGTGCAGCCACCACTCCCTCCCTCGCAATCCAGCATTTCTCAGTAATTCAGATTGTGGCCACAAGTTACCATGGCAATGGTATGAAGTACTGGTGAAATGCCAAATCAGTGAGAGACTGAAGGGATGTCTGCTACTGTAGAATGTGCAGGCTGCAAGTTCCTCCACTGGACCACCAGGGATTAGTGAGGATTCATGCCCTCCTCCCAGGCCAAAGGTAAGCAAGAGGGAGGAGAAAAAAAAAACAGTTTATACATGTTTATTTCAGTAGACTTCCCCTGACAACATCACTGGAAAATACCCCCATACGCAATATATACACTACACCTCAAATGGCCCACACAAACGAAACACAACAGACAGCCCCCACAAGACCCACAAATAATACAAACAACCCGCATGCACACATTTAACATCAAAGATAACCCACAAATATAAACTATACCACAAATAGCACACATGCAGAACACCAGAGATAATCCTGCACCAATAGTATAAGCAACCCACATACACAAACTGGTGTTATGGACAGAGGGAAAGGATCTAATGAAAACAGCTTACACAATACCACAGGCCTGCAACCCCTAAAATACACACACCTAAAACTACAGACACCGCACCAGCAAAAGCAACACCACAGACAATCCCCACCATACACAGTACTACAAGCAATTCACATACACACTAATCACACAAACCACAAACAGTACACACTACACACACACACACACACACATATTAGTGCCCCACACCGAATACCAAAAATCGTCCAGATACAAAAATACCACAAACAAGACACACAAATACATAACAACACAACAGGCAGCCCACACATGCAATAAAAAGATATAAAGATAACATATTGTGTATGTGTGTGTGTGTTATCTTTATATTTTTTATTGTATGTGTGGGCTGCCTGTTGTGTTTTATATGTGTGTGTGTGTATATACATGTTACTATATGTGTGTGTGTAAAACTGAAGACTATGTCTTTCATAAAAAAAGGCAAAGAAAACATGTTACTATATGTGTGTGTGTATATAAGAAAACATGTTACTATATATGTGTGTGTGTATATATATATATATATATATATATATATATATATATATATATATATATATACACACACATATAGTAACATGTTTTATTTGCCTTTTTTATGAAAGACAGTCTTCAGTTTTACTTTTAGAAAGTGAATGGTGCATTGCATATTCAACTATTCTGATTGACAAAGAAGTATTTTTGATAAAATATATGATTATGTAATCTATGTGCAAATGTAAAAGGTCTTTGATCTTTAGGGATTGGTTTTCATGTGAAAACTCTCCTACTTGTGAACTTACTCCCTATACATGTTGGTAAAAAAAAAAAAAAAAAAAAAGTATTTATTTTGTGTCCAACTCCCCAAAATATTCTTTTGAATTAGTAAACCCAAATTGTAAGTTAGGTAGATACAAATCTAATGATTTGCATGAAAAAAAGTTAATATATACCAAGCTGTGTATGTAGATTATCTATTTTTTTTAATATATATAAATTTAATTCTGATCAAGTTGTATGTATGTATTTTATAATCTGTACTAGACTGATCCCAATGCTATTGACTATCGCGGTTAGTGAGTGGCTAATATTAATATATATTAAAATGATTTGTGCATTCCTAGGTCCTTGAAGTATAAGCAGTTTATGAAACCACTCATTATAGAGGCACATTTTTACATATATGTCTCTGTTCTTCCTCTAATTGTGCAACTCATATTACCGTCCAAACTGTCTGCTCTGCCATTGAGGGAATCTCTGAATCATCCACAAATTACAGTGTTTCTATTTACATTGTATGGCTGTAAGGATGAAGGCTGAAGCCTAATAGATAATAATACTGCTCACTGCCATTGCTTGGTTAGAGGAAATAGATTTATATTTTCTTGTCTGCAAAACTAAGACTGATATTATATATAATTTATTTGTATTTTTTTTAATACAAAAGATGATCACGTGAAATATAGCTCTGCATTCTGAAATACCGTAATTCTGTTGCAGAGGAAGTTCTATTCTTGCCTCATTGTTGGTTACAGAATCACTTTGCTGTATTAAGGCCAAAGGGAATGTGTGTTTTTGTTTTCAGTGCAAACATTTCAAGTAACAAGTATGGGATTAAATTAATTGGGGAATTCACTGTTTAAATAAAACTGACATATAAGTTTTCACACGGTCTTCTGAAAACCATCTATACAAGGATATCATTCTTTTCTTTGGTTCCACTTTCACAGCTAGAGTGCAAATCTACACTGGATATATAAGGATCAGAATTGTGAATCAATGTACCACATTCCCAGCTACCCACTCATTCAGACTTTTATAACGTATTCCGCCATTTTCTTGGAGTCTGTTACGTCCTGGCAGCTTCAGGGGCGATAGGAAGGGAGCGCAGACCAAGTGATTTAATAATTGTGCAGAATTTACCATGCACTGTGCACCTCTGTTGATGCAAACTATCTACTAAAAAAAATGAAATAAAAGTAATCCCATTTATGGCAAATAAAAAAAAAGTTCATAGAAAAGGCAGTACTGCATTGTTGAGATCACTTTGATTTCCTCCATATAACCAGACCCCAAATCCCTAATTGTAAGAATAGCACTGCACAGGAATTCTGTATAGCGCAGTGTATTCTGATAATCTAGGTCTAGGGTTTCTAATATTTATATGCATGCATGTGCCTACCCATAATTCCTAGAGGCAATGAAAGCATGGTAATCGGAAAAAAACATCTGAGGGTTTGCTGAATTGAAATAAGTAGATGTTCTCAACTAACGGACAATTCTAATAGCAAATTATAGACTGTTTCTGAAAATATTTATTAAGGCATATTTTGAAGGTTAAAGGTCAACTTCAGTGTAACAAATGTTTTCCACTGAAAATTAAAGCTGCAGAGCTCCTTAGAGGAAAAATTTATGAGAAGTGAATTACTAGCAAGAATCATTAATTTAACTTTCTTCTGGCGCTCATGTCCAAGGGACTTTACAAAGTTAAAGAGACACTATAGTCACGAAAAACACCTTCAGCTTAATGAAGCGATTTTGGTGTATAGATCACGTTCACACAGTCTAACTGCTCAATCCTCTGCCATTTAATTAGCCAACTCAATGCTATGTATATGGTAAAGCAGAAATACCCACTTGTCATACAGATGTTATTATTTGTCATAGCAGTGTGGACTAGTGAAAATTTCCAGCAGTGAAATGTGTTCGTGTGTATAGGCCATTTCAGGTGTTTGTTCCAAAGGTTGGGGCCTTAGAGAGCACACAAAGACAGACTGTGGTGGTAGGACTAGTATACCTGTAATGATAGCTTTGAGCAAAGTGTTTTGCTTGCAGCTGTAGTGGTTTTGATCACTATATCTCCTTGTTTTGCACATGACCAACCACGTGATCCGTCTCTGTAGATAGTACATTAACCAAAAAAACATTTATCCTGATTTATTCTTTTGGGTGTATTTAAATTTTTTGCAAATATAAAAGTTGTATGATTATGTTATATTTACACATCTATACTATTTATTCCTTTCTTTTTTTCCGATTTCAGACTGTAGGAGTAGCATTTATTGCCAAAGCTATGTGTGTGGATGGACGGAACCTTACACTGGGAATCTGGGTAAGTGGGAGGTTGTAGAGTAGAAGAGAGTTGTGAAATGCAGACGAAGTAAACGTTTTAAAATGGAAAGATATTTTCACATTCATTCTGTGTGTTTGTGTGATCTTCAATAATTTTTGGATCTCTCTTTCAGGACACTGCTGGCTCTGAACGTTATGAAGCCATGAGCCGCATGTATTACAGGGGAGCCAGAGCTGCTATAGTGTGTTATGGTAAGGTGACAATCAACAAATGTATTTAGGAAAAATAACTGGGTGCTCATCTGTTTACCAAGACCACCATGAATATATCTTTGGAAAATTTGAAATGAATTCCTCATGCACTTAGTAGCATAGTATCCTTTAATTCAGGATAATTCTGTAAAATTGGGATTTCAAAATTCAGTCTAAATTATATAAAGTTCACAGATAGCAGCTTCTAAATGAATGGATATACAATTTATTATGAAGACAATTTAATACCACCAACACCATTCTGGTAACACTGTCTCAAGCGGGGCAATCCTACTCATGACGCCAATACTCTGGCTTCATTGGTAATGCATTGGCATCAGAATTGGATGGCATCTGTTACTCTGTTCTTATACTACAGAAGAAAAAATAGGGATATTGTCTACCACTGTCAATCTGAGGTAAAGTGAGATGATTCACCACCCTAATTAGGGGTTTGAGCCCTATAAACATATGAGAATAAATTTAATGTGGTGAAACACCGTCATTAAAGTGTAATAAAAAGACATATATCCGACCAATGGATATATATCTAATGGCAGAAATGATAACAATAGAGGATATAAATAGGAAATACGAGGAGAACAACTAAATACAAATGTTTAGTTCTACAACACAAAATATCTCCCTATAAGTGGAGTACAGTAAGGAGGATATAAATAACCTAGAATGCGACAGGTATAATGTTAGTAGATAAATGGCAGCTAGGATAGGTACTGTTGTAAACATAACATATGGCAATATGTCTAATTTTTCACCCAATATCCTAATGCCTTACAGTCACCTGGTATGATGCAGTCACATAGAAGTTATATCATTTATCAAGTGGACTACGAACCCACTGTAAACAGCAATAGTAGATGAGTAAGTCTATTGTTAAAGCCCACGATCTATGAGCTGTTAGTCAGTAAATGGGATCCCAGGAAGGGTGTGTGTGTCGGCTGGTCCCTACGATAGTTAATGCGATTTCTAGTCCCTGCACAATTTAGCAGCTGGCACACGTTCCCTCCATGTGAGTAACCCATACTGGATACATATGTAACAAGATTGTAAAACAAAAATATCACAAAGAAAGGTATAACAAAATAATGCAACAATTCCTAAACTGAATGTCAATTGGGGATACAAAGTGAATAAAATGGTAAGTCTAACTAGAGTCCTGAGCGGAGGAGTGCAGTAATGCTGAAGAAAATAAAAAGTCTTAAGTTATCAAGCCGCACGCTTAATGGACAACACTGTCCGCACTCTATGCGCGTTTCACCCGGCAGCCGTCCCTGGGATCACCGGGTTTGTTCTAATAAAATTTATATTTTATTTCACTTTAATGACAATGTTTCACCACTTTCAATTTATGCTGTTCTTATATTACCTCAACAAGCGCTACCCTGAAAAATAACAACAGCAACTACCTCACATGTGCTAGTGATGCAGTGATGGAGGGCAGAAGATTAAGCTGGTCTACTGCTCCCCTCTGTCATTCCAATGTTGTTATAGATCTTTCTACTGAGAATTCATTGCCAGCTGACGGGAGAATCAGAAGTCTATGTAGCTTTTTAATAGAACCTGTATTTCTTAACATGTTGTATTGCCCCTCCCCCGTGCCAAATAGTAATGAAATAACACTTTTGACCTACCTGAGGCTCCCACAGCACTGCTTACCTCTCTACCTCCTGCAACATCATGGGGGAGGAATGGTCTCCTCCACAAAGGTCCAGTTATCTGTTCCTCAAGAACATTTGGGATCTGATGCGCATGCACAGCAAGTGCCGAACGCATTCAAGTGACCACTGTCCCCAGAGTCCTGGTTGAGATGATGTGGGCTAAGTGATTTTTGCATTCCTTTAAGACAATTACACGTAATATAACTTTGCTAGCACTGTATATACATTAAATCTTGTAGTCTTTCATTTTAAGTTGTGTGTGCCATGACAGGTACCCTATAAGGTGCCCAGCATAATTTCGAAATATCATTGCTTGTTAGGCAAAACAAATAATTAGATAAATAATCAGATCAGTTGTTTTTATGAACATGTTACTTACTTGCTGCAGAGGGATTTAGATAGACTGGGGGACTGGGCACTCAAATGGCAGATGAAATTTAATGTTAAAAAATGCAAAGTTTTGCACTTGGGCGTAAAGAATACACATGCAACGTATACCCTTAATGTAAGCGAATTAGGGATAACAACACACGAAAAGGACTTGGGAATTGTTATAGACAACAAACTATGCAACAATGTGCAATGTCAATCAGCAGTGGCCAAGGCCAGTAAGGTATTGTCATGCATGAAAAGGGCATTCATTCTCGGGACAAGAATATCATTTTGCTTCTTTATAAATCACTGGTAAGACCCCATATTGAATATGCTGTGCAATTTTGGGCACCTGTTCTAAAGAAGGATATTATGGCACTAGAAAAAGTGCAGAGGCGGGCTACAAAATTAATAAAAGGAATGGAACATATCGGCTATGAAGAAAGGTTAACAAATTTAAACCTATTTAGTTTAGAAAAACGTCGCCTGAGAGGGGATATGATAACATTATACAAATATATTCGGGGCCAATACAAACCATTGTGTGGAAATCTATTCACAAACTGGACTTTACATAGGACACGAGGCCATGCGTTTAGACTGGAAGAAAGAAGATTTCGTCTAAGGCAAAGGAAAGGTTTTTTTACTGTAAGAACAATCAGGATGTGGAATTCTCTGCCTGAAGAAGTGGTTTTATCAGAGTCCATACAGATGTTCAAACGGCTACTAGATGCATACTTGCAAGAACAGAATATTCAAGGATATAATCTTTCAATGTAGGGTAATAACTGCTTGATCCAAGGATAAATCTGACTGTCATTCTGGGGTCAAGAAGGAATTTTTTTCCTAGCTTGTTGCAAAATTGTGCTTCAAACTGTTTTGTTTTTTTTTGCCTTCTTTTGGATCAACAGCAAAAAACAAATGTGAGGTAGGCTGAACTTGATGGACGCAAGTCTCTTTTCAGCTATGTAACTATGTAACTATGTTGACTTGCTTAAAGTTACTTTAGAACTTTGCTTTTTCTTGTGCTATAGATATCACAGACAGCTGCAGTTTTGAGCGAGTGAAGTTCTGGGTGAAAGAACTACGAAACTGTGAGGAAGTAAGTATATATTTATTACTTTATTAAAGCTTAAAGATTTGCGTTGAACATTGTAATAACTGCACTTTCTGTCTTCGTAGCAATGCCAAATCTACATATGCGGGACTAAAAGTGATATAGTGGAAAATGACAAAAGCCTGCGCCAGGTTGACTTCCATGATGTGCAGGATTACGCAGATGGTATGGTTTATTATAAATATTGGGTTTTAACAAAAAAATAAAAAGCAACATTTTGCACTTTCTCCAGCTCTAGATTTAAGGAAACAAAAGATTGAGAAATAGCATATAATTAAACAAGGTATTTCTGATTTTTCTATTTATTATTGAATTTACAGAATGATATGACCCATTCTTAACTAATACAGGCTATAACATTAAAAATGTTGTAGAACCACAACCACTGCATTTATTTGTGTTTAAATAACATGGCAGTACTGTGTTGTGCAAATGTATGCATGGTGTAAAATGAACATATCATACAGTTTACAGTGTTATTTTGGATTATATTGTCCAGTCTTGGGAGAATACTGTCTATTTAATCTGAGTGAAAAGAAGCCATTTTCAAATGTGCTGCCACCTCCGGCTCTAGTCTTGTTTTAACATTGAATACAAAAACCTCACCCATGCACAGTGGTTTCATATATCATTTCATTTGAATTTGTTTGTTTTGGACAGCTGAGCACATCTTTGAACACTGTAAATACCGCGACATGTTTGAAATGTACACTAATAACGTTTATGCTTACTCTTATTATTTTTCATTGTTTGTCCTTTTCCACTTTATTGGTCCTTGTTCCACATTGTGCTGAGATAAAAGCCTACTTCTGTGATAACTCTATGAAAGATTTATTGAGAGAGAGAGAGAGCGAGAAACAGACACTTTTATTAAAAAGTAAGGTGTGGTGAGGTTATTGGGTTACAGAGATTTCATCAGGAGGTGGAAGTAGGTCAGGCCTGATATGCATACATGCATTTTAATATATGGTATCTGGACAGTATACAATGCCAAGGTTAAAGGGACACCGTAGGCACTGTATCTGCTTCATCTCATTAAACTGGTTATAGTGTCTGGAGTCCCCTGGTACCATAATTTCTTTCAGCATTAAACAGTTTTTAATGTTTTTATGTTTTAATGCTAAACAAGAGTCCCCGGCAGTCCATCCCATCTGTGCAGCTGTGGCTAATAAGGAAGTATTAGCCTGAGCAGCAATGGACAGCTGTGATTGGCTGAGAGTGTCAGGTGACTGCTTTCAGCCTGTCAGAGCTCCAACTGACGGTATGAATGGGTATGACAACAAGGAAGTGTGTAATCTCGGCCTTAGCTACACATACAGAAGGGGCTGGACTGTAGGTGGCCAGGGACTCCTATGTTGTGGCATACTGCACGAACATGGTGCAACACTGAGTGGAGGGACAGTACCAGGGCACTCCAGGCACTATAACTAATTCAGAGAGATGAAATGGTTATAGTGACTACAGTATCACTTTAAGCATTCCTTGCTAAGCATCTTTATTTTAAAATTGAAAACCCTAAACTTTATAAACATTGCTTTGTGCATTTAAAACAATTCCTGAACTACAGCTGAATTTGATTGACAGCAAATTAGAAACATCACAGGAACAGTGCTTGACCTAAGTACTGAGAGGATCTGCAGCACTGAAGTGGCCAAACCATGAGTTATATTTATCATTTAGAGTAGACGATCCCAAAGTCGGCTTATAAACACTTACAGGTGGCCTCTCTTTACAAGCCAAGAGTCCATACTAGACCACAACCATCAGCTCTGTCCACCCTGTGGCTGGTGGGAGTGATGCCAGCACTATTTCTATGCCTATAATCAGGGCCGTCTTTAATATCGCTAGGACCCTGGGCAAAGCATTTTCTTCGGTCCCCTGGGCACTCCCTCCCCCCCTTCCCACTCCCTGGCGTGCAATCACACCTTTCACATACATACTGACACACCCACACATATATACAGACAGGCATACTGACACACCCAGACACAAACACACTGACAGGTATACTGACACACACACACACACTGACAGACATACTGACACACACATACCCGGACAGGCATACTGACACACAGACACACACACACACACACACACACACACACACAAACAAAGGCAAACACTGACAGACATACTGACATACCCATTGACAGGCATACTGACACAAGACACATACAGTGACCCACACATATAATGACAGACATATTGAGACACACAGACATACACACAGGTATACTGACAGACACACAGACATATTGACACAGTCACACTTTTAAATCTACTCCCCTTTTCTTACCTTGAAAGATTGCTTCCCTGGTGTCCAGAGTGGTTGCTGAGGCTGTTGGGGTTTGCCAACTGGCAATCAGGACCAGCCCCCCTCCTCTCTGCTTCCCTGGTGTGGTCTCTCCTGCGCGGCTCTCTATATATTTAAAAATAAGAGTGAGGTATTAAATTCTGAAATGAGGACCTTCTCCTGTGACCCAAAAGACCCAAGCTGGTGCCTATTTTAGACTACCGATCCAAGTCATCTGACTATTGCTTTCTTGCTAACTAGAACCAGAAAGTGATCCACTTGCAGTTCCCTCAGGTGAAGGTGAACAAACACCAGGGAGTCCACTGAGCTATTGGTTCTCAAAGTGGAAATTCACATGCTTCGGCCATGCTAAAGCTGTTGAAAACAGCACAGCAGACCACTCATGCCACATTGCAAGTCCAAGAGGATGCACTTGAGGAAAAGCTGTAGACGTCCTGTCAAAAAATATGTATCACAGGTAGCACAAATGTGTATGAAGATTATATCGAATTGTTATATTTTACAAAGTAATGTTCACGCTTTACCCTTATGAGCTGAGAAGGAGGAAATAACTTGAAAAAACAGTTATCACCACCTGATCTTATTTTGATCTGAATTTTAGATAGCATAGTTGCTGTAAAATTCACAGTTCGAAGATTCCAAACAAACGTCTTTGTGTTTAAGTGGAAAATGTATTGTAAAATATAACATTGAATGTCAAATGATCATCTTTGTGTAAAAAAAAAAAAAAGTTGCCCGTGTGACAAACTAGTTGGGCAAAATGGTTTTTATAATTTAAAGAATTATAAACCACAGATTAGCAATTGCTATAGAGCAGGCATCCAAAATATATATTTTAACAGCAATTATGTAGCCAATCATATTCAAAAAATGGGTAATCATTTGAAATTGAAATGGTTGTTTAGTGCTCTGTATCAGCTTTAGTAAAGGATCTTTTCTTCAATTTTTATTTGCTTATATTTTGAGATGTACTACAAAAAAACAACAACCACACTCATCATCATCATCATCATCATTATTAATATGTGGTATGCTTTAATTAATATGCTTGGAAACTATTTAAACTAGATCACTGCTCCCAGTTGTCATATTTTAGTGTCCAACTTCCTATGCTATGAAAATCCAATCTTCTGTAAATTCAACCTATGGGGAGATTTTTCTAGGTATTTGTTATTGGCTCCATAATTTAACTTCTTGCCTTAAGTACACTGTCTTTTTGTTCGGTGCAAAGCATTTTCAACCATTTCCTGCCTGACCTTCCTTCCTGTCCTCCATACTGAAGGTTAGCTAAAATGTTACGCTGACGCATTTTATAGTTTGATGCCCCTCTGGCTCATGATAACTCAGCATTTGGTTTAGTACTAAGTATTAGTGATAATTGTAGGCAATACATTGTTCCCACAAGGCTCAGTGATGCATTAGCAACACAAAAGATTGGTAGCCTTCACTTAAAATGATGTTTTCGCATTCCATTTACTGAATAGAAACACGTCATCTGTATTGTTAAAGTTTCCAGGAATACAGTATACCTTTTTCTGTGGTCAGGAGTCATATCTGAATCACCTTTACATTATCTCAATGTAATCCAGTGAGTTTTTACGTGCTAGTTATAATGTTCTTTATTTCTCTAAGTAGCTAGAATAGTGTTTGTTTTATTTCGCTACTGCAGAAAAAGTATATCAAATTTGCACATGCCTAGATTGTTGGGTTATAGTGGAATAGTATGTATTATTTCTATAGAATGCGTAAAATAAAAGCTTGGTTGTTTAGTATGCTTCTTGGTCACATGATAAGCATGCTGTGACGGTTAAGGAAATGGTAAAATAAGCCTTGTGCTGTTACCCAAAGTAATTAATACCACTATTAAAAGAATGCTATAGCGAAAACTAAAAAAACAGATTTTTCTTTTGTTGATCTGGCTTGACGGTCGCGTATGCAACACAGGATGAGTTAGGACTATATAATTCCTGGGTGCCTCAATTGTTTTGTTTAAGGGCTGTTTAGGAGGATTTTGGAGGGGAAACCCAGTAAGCTACCTTTTTGTTACTGATCATGCCCTGTATCTTGTGTACACATTCCTTGGCTTGTGTATGTGTACAAGCATGTCATTTAGGTCAAATGTAAATAAGTTTTGTACAGGTGATACCTGTCAAGGTGCAAAACGTGCAAAAGTGGGGGAGAAAACAGAATGGTGTTTTAACATGTCACTGATATTAGATGTGCTTGATAAACTTGCTTCTATTTTAATCCCAGTTACTTTGCTGCCAACTTCTACTTTCTGATGTCACAGGTCATGCGAGAACCAGAACATTGCACTAATGTTCTATGCAGAGACAAATATCTGACCTGCATAACTAACTATTTGACAGGCACACAAATCGTAGACATTATAATGAATTGAAATATTTTACAAAGTAATACTCACTCTTTACTCTTACAAGTTGCAAAAGAGGAAGTAATTTGGAAAAACGGTCATCCGCACCTGAATTGTTCATAAAGATAACACTTAATCATACTTATTGCATATTCCACAGTTTAGGGATTCCAAAGAACTCGCTTGTCTGTATTTTAGTGAAAAAAACCTGTAAAGCATAACATTGTATCTGAAATTAACTATATAGTCTATAAAAGAAGTTGTCGTGCTTGCACTAGTTAGGCAAAATATTTTGATTACTTAGTAAATTGCACAATGTGCCATGACAATAATTCTAGCAAGCATGCCACCAGTCATTTTATAGAAGCAGGTAATCAATTGACACTTCTGAGTTTCTTCACTGTCCCACTTTGCTTAAGAGGTTGACAATTATGCATGAGTTTTATTTCAAACAGGATCATGTCCTAATTGAGCATTTGTTTCTTGTAATAAAGAGTTTTTGTCTGGTTTAGGACTCTGTCTTTAAGGTGACATGTTTTTGTATTAAAAGGGACATTCCACATAATAATGACTGCATCTTACTGCAGTGTTATTGGTGCAAGATAGCACTGGATGCAGACCCTTCTGGTTTTTGTAAAGCCATTTCCAAATCAGGGGTCTACCCATCACCCAAAAGCCATCCATTTGTCTGAAGGAATAAGAAAGTTTCACGGAGAGCTTTAAGTGTCAATTCAGCGGCATCAAAAGGGATAATGAACAATGTGTGTGTAACGGCACCCCCAGGCATAAAAGGGTTCAACCCCCGTTTAGTAGATCTTCCCTTCCAGAGACACAGGCACAGCTACTGCAGAACATCAATCCGCCAAACAGGAAACCATATGAATGCTGTAAACAGCCGAATAGGAAAAACCATACGAATAGGTTTACACTCCTAGCAGTCAAACTGGAACAGCATACAATAAATCCCCCCATGAACGAGACAAAGCTCCGTGTTGAGGGTCAAAAAAGTGAACAGACAGGGCTGTGGGTTTATTGTGCTTATGTACACATTCTTACACATTAGTACCACCCACATAGTTTTGGAACACAACCAATAAACACATACAATACACTCAGACACTCCCACACAAAATCCTCCCCTCTGCCTGTGATACAATTACCTTACACAATGGGTAATGTAATTATAACAAGCAGAGAAATACAATTTTTCAACGTTATTCATAACTTGAAAAGTATGCATCGCATTCACATAAATCTTACATTTTCAGAATCAGCATACTCCAAACATATATCAAAATCATACAAATTGGTCCAGTGGTTCAAAAGATAGATCATAGTCCTTTGTGACCAAAGGAAGCATGGCTTTTCTGCCCAAAACCAGTTCCACAGAGTCTTCTATCCTGGAGATAATTGTGAAGTAATCCAATTATCTCCAAGGACAGAGGCAAAACTCCATTGAACACATGGCAGCAAATGACAATAAAACACACAAAAACATATAACTGTGCAGCCATTGCACAAAACAGGTACATTCAACATATCCCCAGATAGCTCAGATCTGAGCGCACATTATTTCTGAATGGCGCTCAGAGCACACACATACAGCTCAATTGCCATGGAGCCAAAGTCTTTCCCATAGTCTTTCATTATACGAATGGGCTCCATGGCATAGCTATCTGGGGTATCACCACTCAAACAGGGCAAGCACCAAATGACCCGGCTTTCATGTCTTTGCAGGGGAAAATCAAGCCTTTTAACATGGGGCCATAATCCAAAGGCAACAGGCGAGCAACCAGGCTTCTCCAATGCAATGTGGCGAGATTGCTCTCGTCACAGTGTGTTTCGCCTGCTAACCCTTAAAACTATTTTGGCCAGAAAATGTGGAAGTGAAACATCAACAGATTGTGCATTCTAACATTCCCTTGAGAGTGGTTACTGGAGTACTTGTGATATTTCTGTCTGCTTCCTTCGGCCCTTGTGTGGTCGACTTAAGACAGTTTGTTTTTGTAAAAACAACATAAAACATTTCTACCTTGTGTTCATCAATAATACAGCATATACTATGAGGAGTATATAACGAGGGTTTTATAATAATTATTTTAAAAGAAAATACTCAATTGGGACAAGTAAATACCTGGGTTAAGGAAACTTTATAAGATAACGTTCACCCTAAAATAAAAATAAAAAATCATTATCAAACAAACAATTAGCAATAATTGGAGGGGGGAATACTCCCTATGCCAGACAGTTAACAGGGAAAAGTGTGAACAGAAACAGAATGTAAATGAGAGATTGAATTGAACCTCCAGAGAGTCAGGTAATCAAAGCTGCAGAACAAGCTGAGAAGGTCACTACAGGTCAAAAGGTTGTCTCAAATTCCAATTGAGGAGCTTTTTTTGTTGTTTTAGCTGGAGTAGCAATTTTACAAGGTCGCTTTTGAGTCCCTGTCACTGAAGTGGGAGCCATGGGTGGTTAAAGGGACACTCCAGGCACCCAGACTTCTGCCCATTGGAGTGGTCTGGGTGCCAACTCCCACTACCCTTAACCCTGCAAGTGTAATTATTGCAGTTTTTTATAAACTGCAATAATTACATTGGAGGGTTAACTCCACTTCTAGACAGCCACTAGAGGGCATTTCCGTGTCCCTAGCACAGGAAACCTGTGCTAGAGCGTCGCTGGACGTCCTCACACTGTGTGAGGACCTCCAGCGTCGCTCATTTTCCCATAGGAAAGCATTGAAAAGCATTTTTCCTATGGGGAGCTCTAATGCGCATGCGCATTAGGTCTCCCCGGACTGTGGGCGGGATCAGTCTCACCCACTGGCCGACGCAATCACTGGGAGGAGCAGCGGAAGAAGCAGCGATGTGGGACATGTCGCTGCCTCTGATAAGTGACCTGAAGGGGTTTTCACCCCTTCAGCAACCAGGGATTGGGAGGTGGAAGGGAGAGGGGACCTGCAGTAATCCGTTTTCCTGGCACTGGAGTTTCCCTTTAAGGCAATCCCAAAGCCAATCCATTAAACAGTTTTTAATGGATCTCTGGCATGTTTGTATCATAAGTCCATATTGTCACATCATTTACAGTCAAGTCCGCTGCATGTTTTCCTGGTGTCAATGACACAGAGCACTGTCCATCTGAGGCCTTTATTAGCATTGTTAGCAAACATAAAATGAGTGCCCTTACTACTGCATCATATATGGTCCTGCAAACTTGCACATTCTTGGCATGCAGGAATGACACTGGCCAGTAGCTGTGGTCCACATACTCTACCAGAATGCAGATCTACCAAGGATAGGCAACCCTTGGCACTCCAGATGTTGTGGACTACATCCCCCCATAATAGCAAAGCATCATGGGAGGTGTAGTCCAAAACATCTGGAGTGCCAAAAATTGCCTATAAAAAGAAAAAAAGGTGCGCTTTGTCTTTAAATATAGACTCAAATATTTAAATGCCAATGAATTATTGCATGGGTGTGGAATATAATCCCAATTAACCAATTTTGTGCAAAATAGCAATTATGTGCAATCCAACAAGAAAAAGTGCAAATACAACAATTTCTATGGTGTTTTGGTGTTATATGGATACAAAACCACTTACATAAATTCAATTTTCAATGCATATAGCTGTATCTCTTCCACAGAAATGTATAAGGAAAGAGAAAAAAATATATATAGTGTGATACCGTTATATACACAAACAGTAACAAGGTGAATATTAAAATCCCACTCACAATTGGAGAGCAGACCAGCCTGCTCTATCAGCGTGTGTATCAGCAAGGGAACAAGAATGCAGCAGCAAGTGACTTTCCAAAATCGTCTATTAATCAGCCAGGATTTATTGATCACAAGTCACAAACATTGCCTTTGCCTGCGAATCGTTTCCTCACACTGATGAAGGTGCCATGGTGTTGTTTCTTGTACTCCCAACAACGTATCCTATGTTTTTGGTATTTGACCTAGCTTCGGCATATGTTCTACATTTTTTTATATTTGTTTAAACTTATATCTGCAAAGGGTTTATCCTAAGGCTCACAATCTCCATGTTGGGTATGTTCATGTTTGGTTTGTCGATTAGTAGATTCATATGTTAAAAGTACTGATCCGTAGTTTCCGCTGAGGCTTGTTTCTCCTTTAATCTCCAGTATCTCCCCTCCACACTAATTTGTTCTTCCTGAAGAAATTGTACCTCGGTGGTGAATGGAGGTCAGTCAGCAGTTTAAGATCTCCTTAAACCAGGAACAAATAATCCTTATCTTTGGCTGCAGGCTTTTGTGAAATTAACCTTGCTCTACTGAATGTATCTAGTTAATATTACTCGCAGTGAGTGGAAAAGTCTTCTGCTAGCAGCGCAATATTATGTTTTGAGTCTCGATGTAGCCTTGTGAGCTGGTTAGAGATAACCCTGCAAACTAGAGGTTTATCCAACCTCTGCTTCTAGAACTTTTATTCCCCATGGTTGGAAAGGCCACCATAACTGATACTTGTGTTGAAATTTTGCTTACTATTCTGGAAGTGGCACTTCTTCGTATATCCAAGCAATAAGCCACTGATCATCTTGCCAACCTCCCCCTCGCTAGCTCTGAGTAAATGTCCCCAATAAACTAACCACTATGTTTGTACATACACACTTTAAGATGAGGTTGAGGATTACAAAAGAGGCAACTATCTCTTACTGTGCAAACCACTCTTCTAGAAGATTCAGTATTGCAATCTCTACATATCAAAATATGTACCACCCCTCTTTGTCAGATACACTTATAGGAGCATTGTATAACTTGTTGAAAAACAAAACAAAAAACTCAAATCATTATGTAGTATCATGTCATAAGGGCATTAGTTGGTAGGGTTATCTAGAGAGGTGTGATTTATAGAATCCATTAAAAGAACAAAAAACAGTGGTACATATCAACTCTGTATACATAGATTGTGCGGAACCTCATTTCATGAAAGAAATAAAAACAAACAATATAACAACCCTACTATTTCTAAACAGTCTCCATTGTTTCTGATTTATCAACAGAGATTAATGCTCATGTTTGCGAGACATCTAGTAAAACGGGAAAAAGTGTAGGTGAGTACACGTCTCTTTATCTTTAGAAGAATAATCAATTGCATATCAGTAAACCGCGTGCATGTTCATGTTTTGTCAAATTGTCAAATTGCAGGGACACACAGTCTGTTCAGTTTATGGATGCCTGATCCACTATATGTTTCCAAGCACTGCCTCTATACTGATGGGATGCACATGAACACTGCTACCCCATTGTACATCTTATATGTCACCAGAGAAATATTAACTGTAGAAGAAAGCATTTTCCGCGTAGTGCCCGTCAGTATGTAGACATAATTTGCATCCAGGAAAACAATTGGGAATTTGTAAATACAACCTACTCATGTAAAGATATCTTTTAGAATCTTTCCAGTTCCAATTTTTATATATAACTGGTTTTTATTGAGTTATCATAGAAAATACAGGCTAAACAATAATATAGCGTGTTCTCACAGACAGACAGTTGTGGGTCTCCAGCAAGTCAGTATTAACGTGGACCACGCAGGGTTCCCATGCATTGTGCCTTTGATTATGCAAAACAGGTGTGACCAGTTACAATTTTTTAAAATCATAAACAGTAGAATCATGTGATTTCTGACATTATTTTAGAGCAGGGAAGGGCAACCTTCGACGCTCCAGATGTTGTGGACTACATCCCCCATAATGCTCTTACACCCATAATGCTGGTAAAGCATCATGGGAGGTGTAGTCCAAAACATCTGAGGTGCCGAAGGTTGTCTGTGCCATTTTTACAGGGTCACAGTGGTCCGCCACTGTAGAACATTCCCTAGATATGCACCTGGTTAATCAGTTTGTTTAACCCATATGTAAAAGTACAATTACACCAGTCTACAGAAAAGTCACACTTTGTATTGCCACACTAACGGTTAGCGGTTATCCTTCACACTTGTTAGCTAACTAGACCATGGGTCGTCAACCTGGACCCTACCGCCCACTAGTGGGCATTTCAGGATTCCAGGTGAGCGGTAGGGATTTTCTAATTTTGATGGGTGGCCCATGCTGTCAGGGCCACCCGATGGATGTGGATTGTGAGGGGGCCCGGTCAGCTTTAACAGCGCGACCGGGCCCCCTGTGATTACATCACAGAGCTGAGAGGAAGTGACTGCACGTCACTCCTCCCAGCTAACACACAGACCGCGCGGGAGGAAGGAGGAGGGAGTCAGAGTAGGAACTCTGACTCCCATCCACCTGAGCCACCACTGGACCCCAGGGAAAGTCACCCTCCTGCACCTAAAAGGTAGGAAACAGGACGGTGACTAAAATATTTTGTATGTGTTTGTTTGTGTATGTGTCTTTGTATGTGTGTCTTGTGTGTGTCTGTATGTGTGTGTCTGTATATATGTGTGTCTATCTGTATATGTGTGTATGTATGTGCGTCTTGTCTTTGTATGTATTGTGTGTGTGTATGTGTCTTTGTATGTATGTGTGTGTCTGTATGCATGTCTGTGTGTGTGTGTGTGTGTCTGTATGTATGTTTGCCTGCCTGTTTGTATGTGTCTTGTGTCTGTATGTGTGCCTGTCTGTCTGTATGTGTGTGTGTCTGTATGTGTGCCTGTCTGTTATAGTGGGCTATAGTAAGTAATAGTAAGTGGGATACCTCGCTCAGCCTTCCTATTGGGCATTGCTATAAAGAAGGTTAAAACATTTTTTTTAAAAGGTGGGGAGGGAAATTGAGGAGGGAGAGGAGGGGAGCTGACACACAGATGAGAAATCATATTATGCGCAAACAGAGAAGTCGTCTGAATATCACCGAAAGAGGAGACCTTCGTTTGTTCCTTACAAAAATCGAACCAGATATCAAATATTTAGTCTTGCAGCATCAACCTCAAGGATCTCATTAATCACTAGTAAAGGTAATTTCAATTTACTTTATTGTTTTCTCGTTAAACTTTATAAAGTTAAAACATTATAAACATGCATTAAGTAGAAATAAAAAGATAAATGTACGCACATTTATTTTTTTTAAAACATCCTCCTTTCTAAAAAATATTCCGCACTTGAGCGAAAACTGGTGGGCGGTAAGGAAATTTTTTCAACGAAAAAGATGCATTTGTGGGTGATAGGTAGAAAAGGGTGGACTACCACTGAACTAGACTGTATGCTCATTATCAACCTATTGTTCCTGTTACAGTTTGTAACCATTTGATTTATTGTTAAAGTACCTCCTTTATAATAATATTCTAAGGCACTGCAGAATAAGTTGCCACTATGGAAAAGCCAATAATAAATAAAATCAGATACATTAGATAGGTACATATCTGGAATGCTACAGTTACTTCTATTGTGTGTTAATGGTCTGGTAGTTTTGAAGGCCTGTGTCTAGCCCCAGACAGCAGTTTATTGCAGAAGAAAAGTGCTACGTGCTGTATGTAGGTTTATACCCCTTTTACACTCAGTGGATTATGTTTGTTCTTTATAATTAATAATGAATGTTGCCATTGCACATAAAGGACCACTATAGGCACCCAGACCACTTCAGCTTAATGAAGTGGTCTGGGTGCCAGGTCCCCCTAGTTTTATCCTTGCAGATGAAATCATAGCAGTTTCAGAAACATTGCTATGTTTACATTGCAGGGTTAATCCAGCCTCTAGTGGCTGTCTCCCTGACAGCCACTAGAGGTGCTTCCATGATTTACACAGATTAATCGCACTTATTTGATGCTGGACATTCTGTGTGTGTGTGTCTCATTAGTGTTACAAGGTCTCAGGTGTGAATGGGGAGTAGGTGTGTTAAATTTGGTGTTATCACTCTCACACTCTCTCATACTGGTCACTGGAAGTACAACATGGCACCTCATGGCAAAGAACTCTCTGAGGATCTGAAAAAACAAATTGCTGCTCTACATAAAAATGGCGTAGGCTATAAGAAGATTGCCAAGACCCTGAAACTGCAGCATGGTGGGCAAGACCATACAGCGGTTTCACAGGACAGGTTCCACTCAGAACAGGCCTCGCCATGGTCAACCAAAGAAGTTGAGTGCACGTGCTCAGTGCCAAAAAAGATTGCCATAGTAAAGCATTGAGTACTGCTTTCCTATGGGCGGGTTTGAATGCGGGCGTGCGCCTTTGGCCGCGCATGGGCATTCGGCTCCACTCGGAAGCTGACGTAGATGGAGGAGGAGAGATCACCAGCGCCGAATTAAGGTAAGCAAAGAAAGGTTCTGTTGAAACACAGTGTAAGATTCTTAAAAGGGGACCTGAGGAACTGCCAGAAGATCAGCATCAAAAAGCCATGTCTAACACTGGCACTAACATCACAATAAACCAAATATGAACCTTACTTAATCCACATTAAGGGATTGTGCTAGACCACGGGCTAGCACAGTCCTAACAAATGGGTCCAGAGACTCCAATAGCTTCAGGCACATTTATAAGTAAAAAAGGAACACTGCAACGTTTCGACCCACAATTGGGTCTTTGTCAATCATCAGATAAAAAATGTGTGTGTGTGTGTGTGTGTATGTATGTATGTATGTACACACACGCACACACTAATCGGCCACAAAATTAAAACCAGACAGGTGAAGTGAATAACATTGATTATATTGTTACAATGGCACCTGTCAATGGGTGCGATATATTAGGAAGCAAGTGAACAGTCAGTTATTAAATTTCATGTTTTTTAAACAGCAAAAATTGGCTAACGAAAAGATCTGAGAGACTTTGACAAGGGCCAAATAGTGATGGCTAAATGACTGGGTCAGAACATCTCCAAAACTGCAAGCCTAATTGTGTGTTCGCAGTATGTAGTAGTTAGTACCTACCAAAAGTGGAACAAGGAAGGACAACCAGTTAACTGACATCAGAGTCATGGGTGCCCAAGGCTCATTGGTACTCGTGGGGAGTGAAGGCTAGCCCGTTTGGATTGATTAAATACCATTGTGCAGGTAATTTGGTAATAGGCTAAATGTTCAGAGATCACCTATAAATGTCTCACATTAGACCAAAATTGGAGCCTTCCAAATAGACTTATCTTTCTCTCAAAATAAAGCTTTGATTGACAGGTCTGGTGGGCAGAGCTACAAGCGCTGTTTTAGAGAGCCAGGAATTACACTTCTTGTGTCACATACCTGCTTATACCAACATGCTGATATGTTCCTGCTGACATTGAGGGACCTGCTGGTACTCAGAATATTTTTTTAGGTAGTTCTGCATGTGTAAACAGATCTTTAGATCCTAATTTCTATCATTAATGAGTTTTGGTTAAACTGTACAGGAAAAATAAAATAATCTAAATGCTCAAGAACATATCAATGATACATTGGTTCCCTTGTTGTACAAAGCAATGTGTAAAATTGACTTGCTAACTCTTCCTCAATTAAATACAGTGTTTTTGTTTCAGATGAACTGTTCCAGAAGGTTGCTGAAGACTTTGTTAACTACAACAACATTCAGACTGAAACAGGTGAATGAGCAGAAATAAATTACTGGTCTGCTGCTCTGCATACTCATATCCCTCAAGGTTAAAATGTTATAGTTAGAGGACAGTCTGTCCGTGGCATGCTGTGACCTCTCTGTATGAATCTTTCTATGTGTATTTATACATGTCTACATAGGGAATCATAATCCAGAGAAGGTCCATTTTCTCTAATGCAAAACCATATCAATTGACGTAATGCCAAACTGCAAGCTATTGTATAGATAGATAATTTTTTTGTTTTTTCTGTTTTGCGTGTGTGACCCCCTATGTACTATTAAGTATTCTTAAAGTATTGCATTATGGGTATTTGTGTAATTCACACACCAGTAAAGTAGCCATAGAGATTGTGAATTTTTAGATCAAAATCTCTCATCACTTATGTGATAGACTATTTCTACTGACCCCTGGGAAAATACAGCTTGGCACAGCGCTATGAGGTCAGACAGATACAAAAGTCTGTTAGGCAGTTACCTATTTAAGGTATCCTACCTCTTTACCCATGGATCACTATCTTCTCGAACATCAGTATATCCCACGTATGGCAATCAAACTTCATGTATTATTTGTGTAGTTATCCAGCAACCATAAATAAATACTGCACAGAATTTGTCGGGTAAAGAATGAAGAAGTGATTGAAGAAAGAAGATATATATAAAAAATAAAATAAAAATAAAAATGCACAGCTAAATTATGACCAATAAAGCATGATTGCTGAAGTGCTTTATGTTTGAAGAATGTGTCCTCTTGTTAAATTTAAAATTGCGGATTTCAGTAGTTACCGTTAAACCTTCCTTCCCTGGCTATCAATCAGACAACTGGTCCTCTTACTTCCTGCATGTTAAGTTCAGTGGAGCTAACCTCAAAAGGCCCAAACACTTGCCTTGCAAAGTTTACTTATTGAACTGCATTGGAATGTCTGATTGGACAGCCTTATAAGGTCTGGGCTGGGTTTGGACAGGAGGGCTTGCAAAGGCTTCAGACAAAAGAAATGCAGCTTTTGCAAACTGGTTTATGACAAAACTCACAATGACAAAATGCCCAATTAAATGCATGCATGTGTTCATTGGGGTAAATCCACTAAAAATGATTTATTTTGTATTTCAGCAGTGTAGTGTCCCTTTAAGTACAGAAATGGACTCTGATGAGGCCAAGAGATTTATATGTATGTGGGAAGGATTGTGGTCTGATATACCATGGGTGTAATAAGAGACTGTAGGAGCTGTGAATAAATCTACATACAGAGCAAAAACGTGTTAACGTGGAGATATTCTGTGTGTAAAGCTGCAAGTTGGTGTTTGTATGTGTATATATAATCTCGGACATTTTCCATTTCTCGTCATTACTTTGCCAATGATTAAACATTAGACCTATTTTGTTTTTTTCTTCTCAGAGGCAAAAGGGGTGGAACTGGGTCTGAAGAAAAATGCCACCTCCTACCCCTGCTGCAGCCAGTAACAAGGAACCCTGCTAAATTGCCAAGACATCTGTGTAGTCCTCTCAGACTAATTTCGTTTTAAACACGTTTTACACGTCTTACAAAGTTGTGGACTTTTGCCCCATTGGCTGCGAGACATCATCATTCTCATGTCAGTATATGGAGAGGTGCTCCCCATAAAAGCTACTGCAGCGTTTAAGGCTTGTAATGCAACGTAGAAGGAAGAAGTACAGATTTGTATCTACATTTAGATTTATACAGGAACTATGACCATGAATGGTTGTTAAAGTTTGATCTTTGCTTATTTTTTTGTGATGTAATTTACAAAATAAAATGTATAGCGATGAAAACACTACATTCACGCATCATACTGGAAGCTCCAAGGATACAGACTCCCCAGAAAGACATTTTTTACCCATTACACCTTCACACAAATTATGTGATTATATTCACAATTAGGCACAGTGAGGATTTTAAAAATATTCCTGAAAATCTTATACATTTACAAGAAACAAACATGATTCAGTTGGCAGAGGCAGTTGGAATACTGCAAATGTGTTCACCTGCAACTCCCATGATGCTCAGCTACTTATGTAGAAAAGTATCATGGGAAGATTAGTTCAACTGTATGTAGATGCAGTGCTACCCAATACCTGTTCCTGGTTTAAGACGTACAGATTGCAACTGTGGACTGTATGTAGTGACTGACGCCAGCAGCGCAAAGAGTAAGCAGAGTTCAAAACAGGAGATTTTAGAGTTCCTCAGACAGAACTCAGAACTTTTATAGGAACACTACTGGCATGTATCTGCTTCATCTCATTAATATGGTTAGTGTGTTGGAAATCCACAGGTACCATCATTTCATTCAGCAGTAAACAGTTTTAAAATGTTTTTATGTTTTAATGCTAAACAAGAGTCTCCAGCAGCTCCTCCCCTCTGTGGTGCTTTGGCTAATGAGGAAGTATTTGCCTGAGCAGCAACGGGGAGCTGTGATTAGTTGAGTGTGTCAGCTGACTGCTTTTAGCCTATCAGACCTCCAACTAACAGTATGAAGGGTATAACTACAAGGAGTGTGTAATCTCTTCCTTAGCCATACCTCCAGAAAGGGAAGGACTGTGGGTAGTCCAAGACCCTTATTTAGTGTTAAATCTGCTCTAAAATGGTTTAACACCGAATATAGGGCAGCGCCAGGTGACATTGTTGCCAATTCAAAGAGATTAAATGGTTATAGTGACTATAATGTTCTTTTACGGAGAGAATCTCTTAAGGAGCAGACTATTACAAACACCTTAATTTTTAACTCTTAAACATCTTTTATTATCTTAAACATTAAATCTGAAAGGTCACATATAGGTTTTTGATAGCAGGTGTGGGCTGAACTGCTTTTATTTTTTGCAATAGATTATTTTATTCCTGGTACAGACAGAGCATGCCATCTAAATTATCCTGTCCAGTGATCATGCATCCAACCACAACTTAAGTATCATAAAGCGATGGAAGTGTTGTAGGGTTAAAAATGTGTTTTTTTTTTTTTTCTACGATGCTGCTGCATTATGTACAGCAGCAAAAATAGCAACAGCATCTACTAGAGTAAAGTAAATGAATGCTCACTTATAGAGAACGGACATTACAGACTGGAGTTAAACCTTTTTTAATGAATTCTGTAGAATTTTTTCTAAACAAGTTTTGAACAATATTTGCCATCTGCTTAGCAGCAGTGAGAAAGTACTGTAAAGTCAATGCACAAATGCCTGAAATCAGAATTGTGCGAGTGGTACATATAAGTGCTATTATCCAAGCTGATACAGCTCTGTGTCTTTGCTGCTTTCAGCTGTCTGTTTACATTTAAAATAGAAGCTGAAAGTGAAGCTAATTCCTGAAGGGTTTAGCAGCGCAGGTTTTACATTTTTCCCAAACACAAATACAGCATGCATAGTAAGAAAGATAAATTGGCTTACCTTGGGGGTTAGGTGAATGAAAAATAAGCCATTTGTGGGGGGGTTTTCATCAATGTGGGTTTTACAAATATATTCTAATCCTGGAAAACTTTAGCTATTTTTACAAAATTTAATCAGTATTCCGGTCACAGTGCAAACTAGGTTATTCACTCAAGTACAGATTTTCAGGAATTCAAAGTGATATTGAAAGTTTAGGCAAAAATGTACAAATTTTAAAAAATATCCATGTCAGCTATGTTTTTAGCTAAAAATATAGTAGCTTTCCCACTGGTTAGTCCCCACTCAGATCTCACATTTTAGCTCACTTGTCTTGTTGCAGAGAGAACCTGAACTTGCTGCATATCAGACTGATGAAATCCACATTGGCAGCACAGAAACAAAGTGAAAAAAAAATGTATCTCTGCACAAGACATACAGCATCACAAACAATACTGAATAATAAGACTTAATTTTAAGTCTGTGTTTTTGCCAGTATTATCTTGATATAGCTTAAATTTTGAAATTCACTTTGATTCCAAATAACTAACTTTACTGAATATGGTGCCAATTTGTCAAACTCTTTTAGAATGGTTTGACAACTTACCTGAGTCCAGCCAGGCGACAGCTAAAGCCCTGCATATGGATTCTCCTGCAAGGAGAATCTGGTTAGCTCAGCTGAGCAAACGAGCTGTAGAGGGCCAAATATATTGTCTGAGAGCAACAGTGGAATGTGGATTTGTATCAGACATGCTTCAGCACAATTAAAGTGGCCTTGTCACCTTTGGGGTGTTTGCAGAGACCCCAGATGGTGGCTGCTCAACTTGCAGTTGCAGGAGAAGATACTTTTTATTTACCTGAACCTGTCCCTTGCGGCCGCCTTAATCATCATCTTCCGCAAGGTCCTCTTCAGCACCTTGCACGTCATCTGCCACGAGATGATGTCACTGATGTCTATAACAGAGACAGCAAGATCCTCCATAGACAGAGTCTTTTTCCCTTCAGTCGTCATTAGTAACGGCTAAGGACTTGACAGTGGTAGCTCCACCTTTTAGTCAAGCGTAGGAAAAATACATAAGACAAAGTATTTCCTATATCCAACTTCTTCTGCAGGAGAGGTCAGATGTGGTGAAAGACCCCCAAAGGATGCAAGTAAGTTGTCAAATTGTTCTAAAACAGTTCAAAAAATTTAATCTGGGAGGATGCCATAAGACTCTTGGTACCATTACCTTTTTGTATGTAATGATCATGCACTCAGTAATCCGTTTGCATAGCATAGTAAAAAGCACAATAACAATCTACAAGGTTAGACTAATAAAACACCATTAAACAGTGTAGGCGCATCCCACCACTTTTTATGTCTTGAAAAATGCATTTGCAGTATTTTAGAAACACTAAGATTCTTCTTCTGGAGCACCGTCCCGGTGGTAAACCAAGCAAAATATGGGAAGAAAGTGGTGGGTCTTTAATTCTGCAACAGGTTTCAGTTCTGCAGGGTCCCTCCCTCCTCATTGGTAAATGTTTGGAGAAGTTTATTTGAGAGCATTTAAGCATGTCAAAAAATGGAACTGGTTTGGAATCTGCCCTGTTTTAGCAGGCTTTGCACATGCCTACTGTTCTTTAATAAGAAATTCTGATTGGAGTTGTCATTCAGGCCAGTGGCGGATCCAGAGCCTGATCTCGGGAGGGGCACTTGTAGATTATTTAAATAAATAATCCAGGCACAATAACCACTACAGCTCAGTGTAGTAGTTATGGTGTCAGTAGTGCCAGGATTCCACCCCAGAGTAAGTAGTCATACCGTTTAAGAACAGTTTGACAACTTACCTGGGTCTGCTGGGATATAGGGTATAGGAGCAGTGGTGTGTGTTAAGGGTGAAGTGTGTGAGTGCGGCAGTGTATGTCAGGGTTGTAGTGTGTGTGTTAGGGGGCAGTGTATGTATGGGGGACAGTGTGTGTATGGGGACAGTGTTTGTGGGGCAGTGTGTGTGTATGGGGACAGTGTTTGTGGGGCAGTGTGTGTAAGGGGACAGTGTTTGTGGGGACAATGTGTGTGTGTATGGGGACAATGTGTGTGTGTATGGGGACAGTGTGTGTGTATGGGGACAGTGTTTGGGGGGCAGTGTGTGTATGGGGGGGCAGTGTGTGTATGGGGACAGTGTTTGGGGGGCAGTGTGATTCCCTGGTGGTCCCAGTGGTTGGAGTGAACTCTAGCCCGCGCTCCCGGGCTAGAGTTCACTCTCGCGAGAATCTCGAGAGAGGAGGACCCGGAGGAGCTGCAGACTGAGCTCCCGGGTCCTCCCTCTCCCTCCGCCGCCGGCTGTCAGCACAGTGCCTGCGGACCGGGGAGGGAGATCTCTGATCTTCCTCCCCGGTCCGCAGGCACATTGCAGGGCTGGCACTTGGGCAATGCCAGCCCTGCGTTAGCCGGCAGGGGGGAATCTCGGGGGGGGGGGGCAATTGCCCCGTTGTCCCCCCCCTGGATCCGCCAATGATTCAGGCTGCAGAGCCAGATGCCCGTGAGAGGATGTATGCTATTGGCCTCCTACTGGTTCTCACTTGTATTCCCTTTTAATGGGGAAAAGTAAAAGCTAAAGATCATTTCGCTGTGTATTTGAAGAAGATGGGAAAAGAGTTGAAGAATCCAGAAAATAAGTCATCTATATCCAAGCATTTCAGGAATGTGTCATAGAAAAACAAAAGTCCATTTCTCTAAAGACGTTTTTAAGAGTGACATTCTTGTGGCATAACAGGTTACACCACGAGTTTCAAGGACATAAGGGAAAAAAAAATTAGAAACATTCTTAAACAGATGTTTTCAAGCATCAGCAGCTCAAAGCAAAAGCCTGATAGTGGATCACTCATTAGCCTGAGCTCAAAAGGTATGACAACCTTAAGAGACATTGTCAAATTGATGTGCAACATGAAATTGACCTCAGGAGTCCTGTGTGAACTATGCACAGAAGCATGAAATGATTTGTCAGAAGACTGGGAGGCAATATTCTCCCCTTACAAGACTGAAAATTGTCCAAATGTGAAGGGGAAAGAAATTGTTCTCATCAAAAGCTGCCAAAGAAGAGGTAGCTACAGATGAAAGATGTCAAGTAACATTTTCTGGTGTCTTCTTGGCTAAGAGGCATGATTATTATTATTTTTGTCATTTTATAGCACAAACATATTCCGTAGCGATTTAACATGACTAGCTTGTTCGGGTTATATGCAACCTTTCCAGCCGGGGCTGGAAAGATGGCGCCTCCATGACTTTAGCTCAACTGCCAAATTTAAGCAAGGGCCTTGGGAGTAGCGGGGACAGGGGATTCTGGGCTGACAGGGTTTGAGTGTCGGTTAGAGATAGAATGTCACCTGGAACTATTTCTTGCAAAATCCTATAAGAAAATTAATAAGGAGTTAACCATGCAAAACTAGCTTGCTAACTAGTGCCGATAGGCGAAGAAATTAACTACCCAGTGACAGGTGAGGCCCTGCTAGTTGCCAAGTGGCTGTGAGAGGCTCTACCTATGATTTGGGCCGTGTGGGCTCATAGCCACAATGCATTGTGACGGGGTGTTGGCCTCTCGGTGACGGTACAAGAGTCAATACGTGTGGCCGTGACATGTGAGGCCCACATGTCGGTATGATAAATACATTATTATTGTTTACCTGATAGGCTTGGGATTGCAAATTGTCTGTATCCTAATATGCCTATTGGTGTAAAACTTTTATACAGAAAAACAGATAGCATGACGAAAATTCAATATTCCATTGGATATCTTGAAACGTAAAGGAACATAGAAAAACGTATATAATATTAAATTGTTTAACGTATGATCAAATGCGTATAGAGGTGCTTGCAAGGGTCAGGTGTGCAGAGACAAGCCCCTTGTTAATGTTGAGGGTTTCAAATTGCATTTGGTAGTCATAACGAAGGCAGAGTGAGGCCTTGATATTTGATATGAACATAAAGGAAAAAAAATTTAATGTTTGAATACCTGAAAAAACTCAAACTCACCGAGAAACTCTTGTTTACCGTATCTTTTAGTTGACATGCTAATGGTTTTTACCTGAATGGTATTTGTAGTGATTGACGCGGACGTGTTTGATTGGTAGCCAATGTATCTGAACGTACCTAATGCTAGTTTAACACCACATGACGTTTGAAACGCAGTATTACTTTAATAGGAGTGTAGCGGAGTAGCAGGGGTTAATCCAATAGCTCTCCGCTGGGAACAAAGATTCAGCATACAAAATCACAGGAACACAGCATAATCCACCTCCCCAAGGACTAGACGACACAGTCTGGGAGTCAGCTCTCAGCTTTATTCACAGGTCTGCTTTTATGCATTTCTCCCATGCAAGGGAGGTAACTTACAGTACCCAATCATATCATGGTCACCTCCCATCCCTCTCCTCCCCTTAGATTAACAGTTAAACAGATTAATGGGGACAGAGTTTTCCCGACTTTATGGATGTTCCCTAAATACAGGGGGTACAGAGTTAAATAAGGGGTCCCCTGGTGGGTCTGATCTGGGTGAGCAACATACTCAAAATTCACCCAGATCGGACCAGGGGTTCGGGAGTTACAGGCATTGAAAGATTTGACCGACCGCAGGGGCTTAGGCATCTGTTACCGTTCATATGAATCCCCTCGTTCGTGGGATTCCACCTACCGAACGCCGGGGCGTTCGTGTGCTTGGTTCGTGCTTTCTGAGCATGCTGGAGGTTAGTCGAATGCCCGGTTTGAGTTCTAGGCGTTCGGCGACCAAGTACCGCTGTTCGTGCGTAAGATGTCCGCCGCCACGTGTTCGGTAGGCGAAATGGCGGCCACACACACAGGCACCCCGGGGTGGTCTCCCGTTCGGTAGTTTCAGGGCATTCGTATTCAGAACAGCAAGAATAACATTATAGTCCGTTCGTGCATTTGGTCACTGCTTTAGCACCCATTCGCTTGTAATAATTCAACTGTTCATTCGCACAGAATAGTTAGTCCAAGTGGCAGGGTTTGCCACAAGGAGGATGATCAGTACTACAATCTCAATCAGTTATTGAAAGGGTTCACCTGAACGGATTATACCTGAAAGATTTGATTTTAAGAAAGGATATTAATCACTGCATGGTATAACTAGAAACTAGATGTACTGTAAACCCACTAATGGGTTAGCCAAAGTAATGAACATTATACCCAATTAATGAATTACCCGCGGGATTTAGTAGTTTGTAAGTGAACACTTAAATCAACCTAATAGTACCTGCCACGTAACTGTTTAAGTGTAAATCTTTTTCAACATTTAATTATCTGTATTTCTGATTTACATAAATACGATTTTAAACTGTTTAATAGACAACGCAATAAATTTAAAATTTCTAAACACAATTCTATTGTGGGGTATTTGCTTTATTTCTGTACTCTTGGTTTGAGCTGAATATCCACGGTAAACCCACTGAAATGTATTTGAGTAAATGAGAATTGAGCGTTTGTTGATTTAATGCAGTTAGTGTGTTTTGCCTTTTTCTGTTTGGGAGTTATTGTGTATGAACCTCTTCCATTCATCTCCCAAACGAGGACTACCCCTGTACCCCATTAGAATGTTCACACCAGCGAATTAATGAATGCCTCCCCTGAGTGGCCGCCATTTTGTAGAACCGAATGCATGTGGTCAACAAAAGATTGGCGACCATTTTGTCTCCCGAACGTGGACAGCGGCACTTGGTTGTCGAGTGCCTGGAACTCTTTTCGGCCACTCACACGAACTCCGGTAAAGATTAGACCGCTGCCCGTTCTACTTTCCAACCAGCAATGCAAACAACGTTAGGGAGATGAGAACTACCGGACAGGGGGAGCATTTGTACCCTGACATTAAAACAATCCCTTGCATGGTGTTCACGTAGGAACCCCTGAACAGAGAGAACCTATAAATTAACATGGTGAGGGGAGGTTCGTGAGTTTAGCATTCGTATTTTTGTACATAGACTATGTTAAACGGAGAACCAACGAATGAATTGATAGGTTAGGGAACGGTTAAACCCACAAAATGCACTACATGCTAAAGATATTGCAGTAAAGTGTCAGATTGGCACGAAAACCCACAGAGTAAAAGGAACATATAACAGATATGAGAATCGAAAAGAGGCGAACAAAGTCAAACAATAGCAACGAAAGTGCAATTAATAGAACTAAGTGAAAACCAACTAATGAACACGTATAATGTAACAAATTTATTTACAAAAACCTAGGAAAGGGAGCCAATCCCCGTGGTTTTTAGGCCCAAACATGGGAACAAACCCAATGGTTATTCCCACGTGTACATATGTAAACGAGCCGGGTCTCCGTAGAGACGGAGGGCCAGAGTCGGTGTAGGCCACAATAGGAGCAGAGACTGGTTAGCAGCAGCACGGGATGGACCCGACCGGAAGAGTAGGTTGACCGAAAGTGCAGGTTGCCGTGGATACCACATCACTTGAACGAAAAAAACGGCGCAGGTAAGCCGGGGAGATTGCGTTTTATGGGTCAAACTCCTCCCACAAATTCATGCCCATGGCCTTCTACATGCGGAACCATTGAGGGCTGGCTTGGAAGGTGATTCCTAGCTAAAATATCTGTCCATGTGGCTTTTGAATTGGAAACATTTTGCCCATGCAATCATTTTGGGAAAAATTATGCAGACGAACCAAAAAGGTGTAAAAATGGGACAGTGCACAGCAAAATAAATAAATATAAATGTTATGTGTATGTTTTACAGTATCCAGATAGGCACATTTTCCCGCCATTTGGTTTACAGGTCAAGTGTGAAGAAGTAACCAATAGAGGGTGAAAAAAAACTGGAACAGAACAAAAATAAATATAAACATATTTATTAACCCAACACGTTTGTAACCAAGGCCTTTTTGGAAAGTTTGCCATGCGTTCATTCTACCATAATTCCCCCCTTTCTGTTTAAGTTCACTCGTACATATTATTTATCATTAGAGGGATAAATAGGGCTTTTATTTTGATACTCTATATAAAAGAGGTATCAAATATTTTAAAAGCAAAAAGGAAACTAAAACACTATATTTTTCTCAGTTTTTCCATTTAAGAATTTCTGCACGCGAAATGAATATTAGGAAAATGAACTCAGTAGATTCACCGATTTGTTCTGATTGTTAAATTTCCCAATATGTCTAGAATTTCATTACATTTTTAAAAGTTATGAAAAATACTGCAAGTAGTGCATTAGGGTTTTAAAGCTCTGCAAAATTTGAATGGACCTACTTTGTCTCTGCATATTTCCTCTGCCTGACACTTCTAGATACTGGGAGGAGCTGCATGCAGTCTAGAAGTGTCATTCTCCCCAGTCGTCACCAGTGACAGCTGCAGTGAATTAACTTGATCTATGGAGGATATCGCGGGATCCTCCATAGACCTCAATGCTTTACTCTCACACATGCACATGGGTACAGCAGTGAACTCGGCTCCTGATGAAGAGGACTCACCGGAAGTACATGGTGGCAACTGTGAGGGACAAGTTCAGGTAAATGGAAATCACCTTTACCTGCCCCCCATCACCGGACTCCCAATGGTGATCTCATCATTGGGGCGATTTGTAAATTCTGTGACAGTGATCCTTTAATAGCAGTCACAGAATCCAAAAGTGCTATCCAGGCCAAGTAACAAGGAGCATTTTGACACTTTTCATTTAAATGAAAACGAATTTGAAATACTGTGCGTGAGCAGGTATTGAGAGGGCTGTGAGCACTGGTCACTTTAAAGGGACACTATAGTCACCAGAACAACTACAGCTTATTGCATTTGTTCTGTTGAGTAGAATCATTACCTTCAGGCTTTTTGCTGTAAACACGGTCTTTTCAGAGAAAATGCAGTGTTTATATTACAGCCTAGTGATAACGTCACTGGCCACTCCTCAGATGGCTGTTAGATGTGCTTCCTGGGTCATGGCTGCCTAAAATGCATCCAAACATTCAGTATCTCCTCCCTCTGCATGCAGACACTGAACTTTCCTCATAGAGATTCATTGATTCAATTCATCTCTATGAGGAGATGCTGATTGGCCAGGGCTGTATTTAAATCATGCTGGCTCTGCCCCTGATCTGCCTCCTTGTCAGTCTCAGCCAATCCTATGGGGAAGCATTGTGATTAGATCAGGCTACCACTTCTGATGATGTCAGCAGGCTGTTTGTTTTTTGAGTCAAACAGCATGCAGAGTTACAGCTTCAGGCTTGAACACAGTAAGATTTTGCTATTTTTATGGGGGCAGGGGGGCTAGATGGTGGTTTTAACAATATAGGGTTTGTGTTCCTGACCCTATAGTGATCCTTTAAGCACTGAACATAGTTCATCTGTCAGTCTGCGGCCCCAGCTGACGGTGGGGACATACAGGTATCGAAAGGCATTTAACCCTTGCTGGTACCTTTACTGCCATGACAGTCTATGTCATCATTGGGCATTAAAGTTCTGCACTACATATTATAATTCTTTTTTCACAGTATGGTTTGAGGTATCAATAATAATTTATTTATGAAACAATTTCAGTGATATTACATACGACGAATGCTTACGTCGTATGGAGATTTGTTTGACTAGGTACGGAAGATAACCTCTTTCAAGAAGATAACGGAAGAAAACTTTTCAAATGAGCTCCATTTATCACCTTGCAGTCAGGCTCTTTCAATTACATTATTCATAACAGTGAATGTTTGAGGCTCTGGAGATCTAATTTCAGCACGCATATTCTCCTTAAGCTATTCAAATGTATGCAGTTTTTTCACATACTCCCACTCCTTCAGATATCCCAACAGTAAGTAATCGGAGAGCTGAAAGTTCGGATTACTGTGGCGGCCAATTATTCCTGGAATTCCTTGAAATGATTTGCTTGCCTAACTGTTGTCTCAGGAGGTCCACTGTGGCCCTGACTGTATGGGCAGTAGCCCTACCCTGGGGCATTTCAGGAAGATTTTCCACTAAAGGACGTAAATAAATTTCAATCATATCCCGATATCTCACACCAACAAAATTCCATTATTTTTACTTGTAGTTCCTTCGTGAAATTACCCATGATGCATCTCCCAAGACTCAGAATATGTACTTGCAACAAAAAAAAAAAAAAACTACTAACAAGTTATTTACCTGTCAAATCCAAGGGGTGGAACAAACATATATACATAGAGTTGAAGTTCCCAATATTGGCTCTTAAATTGTGTTCCACAATTAGGTACAAGAGCTGTGTCACATAAAATATAGTCCCTGGAGCTCCGGACAAACGACGCCTAAAAGGCCTTAAAAGGAAGCCTTGCTGCACTCATAACGGCATTCAACCAGCCCCCGGGGAAACCCCAGTAAGAGAGCAGCAAGCTGATGCCTTTTTTGTACCCGCAAACGAGCAGAAAGACCCGACGGAAAACCGGGGCCTACCCTGCCTACCAAGCCACGAGGCTAGCACAGGAACTTACAGCCCTGAGAGTGCACCAGGACGCCTACCTGCAGATTGGGTCAGCTGTGCCTAACGACCACAACATGGGCAGAAAATCCCAGAGACCCACACAGAATACAAGCAGGACCACACAGGACATAGGCGACCTGCTGCAAAGACCAATGGCGCCCAAGATGGCGGCCTCGCCAGATCGCACAACTGCCTCCCAAGATGAAGGAGAGCAATCCGGAGCCGAACAAGAACTATTAACCGCTCATCCAATAAGGGATCCACAAACTAACAGTACTAACCTCACACCGGCTACCAAACAAGACATAGCCGACCTGCTGAAAGAAATGAGACAAATGCACGCAGCAGATATGGACTTGCTAAGGACCGAAATGCAGGCAATAATTACACGCACTCAAGCCACTGAAGAGGACACCCTTGACTTGAAACAAGAGGTACAGGGGCTAAAAGAACAAATAATACTCATGCAGACATCCCAATCCAACCTCACTACGAGAATGGACCTAGCAGAGGACCGCAACAGACGCACTAACTTAAAACTGAGGGGGATACCGGATAGCGTGGACTCCACAGAACTACCCCACTACCTCAGACGTCTCACAGCCACGCTCCTACCGCATGCCCAAGCCAAAAAATTCACACTAGATGGCTTTTTTAGGATCAAAAAAGCAAGACAAGCTCCAGCCACAGCTCCACAAGATGTCATCATCCGGTGTCACTCAGTAGCAGACAAAATCAAGATCCTAACAGCAGTCCGAGGAAGGACACCACTTGCATTTGAATCATCCCACATTACCTTCTATCAGGACTTAACAAGAAACACGCTGTTGTGGCGCAGGTCCCTGGCACGAGTGACAAGCAGTCTGCGTGAAGCTAAA